CGGGGACTTCTTCCAGCGAGGATTTTGACTCGAGGAGTTAACGACCGCTCGACAGAATTTTCATCGGACCCTTGAACTTTCTCCGAGGAGGTTTACGTACCTTGAATACGAGAAGTTAAGTGTGGAGTATTGTTCTTTTGACGAATTCTCTGATTCCGAGATTCCTATATATAAACACCATTATACATTTTGTTTTGAAGTTTCTTTCGAAGGTCGTCTACGGAGAGAACAATCCCTTAGAGTTTACCCTGAAAATCATGGTAATCGTGGAACAATATGGTAATAATTAAGAGTTTTTCTGATTAATAGTTACCACAATAAAAATGTAGATATTAATTAATTACCATGATTTTCAGGGTAAATTCTAAAAGAAAATTCTCTCTGTGTATGGAAAAATTGGGCACTTTGGTGCAGAAACTCTTTTTTACGAAGGCGAATCTTTGAACTCGCATCGACTCTGATAATAATGCGATTAATTCTAAAGATGTACGCAAAACATTGCCTTTCTTGATAGCAGAGATTTTTTTCAATCTTTAACTATGGTATTTGGTTTTTATTTATATATTATGTAAATTGATATTGATGATAATGTTGCAAGTTCGTAAAAAAATTAATTAAATGTAAGCTTCTCAACAAATTTTCATACAAATCGTCGAATAAGATGGATCAATAAAAAGTTGCCAAAAGTTCAAAATCGTGGGTTTATATTTTGGTGGATGCACCGTGCATGTGCAAGCGAATCCTTCTTAAGAAAGCCGGATTCGCAGATTATATCTTGCTTCGCTAAAAGAAAGAGGAAGAGAGAGACTTGAAATGTGCTGCAGCAACAAGAAAATCTACATTCCTTCGTCCTCTCGTACTACACAGATAGAGAAAGAGGCGAATTCTGCGAATGCACAGCAGAATGTAAAAAAGGACATATTGAGAACAAATTACATATTTTTCGTCTGTCCCGGTCCATATGTTTTTCCCAGCAAATATTCGCTGATTATTCTTGGTCGCAAAAAAAAAAAAAAAAAAAAAAAAAAATTTGACCAGCGATTTTTCAATGCAAGGAGAATTAATAATTATCAATAAATCAATTGTTTATCGATACTTAAAATTGATCGATAAATGAGGGAAAAATATACGTACATATATATAATGCGTGAAAGATCGTTCTTTAATTAATTTCTTCCGCATCGTTACGCTCGCCTCTTTTAACAAAGCTCAGCTCTGGTGTAAATTTCAATCGCATTCGGTATATTGTTCGCTCGAATTGCCATTCGCCGGAAACGGTCTTTATTCATACTCTGCATTATTCATTCCGCGCGCGCCGTCACGTTGTTTTGTATTCGAGAAAGCCGCACTGAATCGTACCTGTGCGTATAGGTATGTAAAATCAATCAATACATACATTCGAGAAATTAATTCGTTAAAGTCCATAATTCTATAAAGAGAGCTACATTATTATTTATTTATTTTTTTTTTTTCACGAAAAATATGGAGCTAAGAGCCGGTTGTTTCAACTCTTACAAACTTACCGAGAAGTTGGAAAAATCGGCCTTGAGAGTGTAAAAAAAGCTATAAGGTAAAAATGTGTTATATTACACATCTATTATTTATGATGTATATTTCTTATTTTATCGATATATTGCAGAAATCGTCTATCAATGTTTATCAATATTAATACTTTAAAACAGATAAATATAAGATAAATGCAGAATCATGCTGCAATAACACAGCGACGACGTATTGGAAAAGTATTTCGCGAAATAAGCGTAAATCAAAATATAAGGTGCAAATAATGTCGCGTTAATTTACGTGAATGCATTCTTTTTATTTTTTTACGAGATGACCGCGACTTTAAAAGTTATGTTTTCCAGGCAAGATTTATACTCATTTCCTCGACCGCACATTTGTTTTATGATATCATTATCGGTTTTGCATTCGAACGAGCACAGATATATCTGGTAGAAGAAACGTAAAAAATTCCGTTATTTTTTCATGTCTAATAGTTTCATTAATATTGATGCGAATTTTAATTATTTAGAACATTTCATGCATCTTAATTATAAAAATCTATCGTATAAAGTAATGTGTGTTATAATATTTTTTAATTATAAAAAGTATAAAAAACTAAAGAAAATTATATGCTTTGTGCGATGACAAATATTTTAATTAAAAAATATATACTTTTTTTCGTTTCGAATTATTTGTAAAAACTTGGAAAATAAAAATTCATGATTTTCGGGATTGTTTATTCTGCTCTAAAACGCGGATTCTGTACGGATCGTTAGCGGCTTGTTATTCTTTGTAATTGTTCCATGCAATTTTGTTATTACGCTACATTACAGTAATGCCATACATCGATGCATTAAATTAATCGTTATGTAATAATCTCGTTGCGCGCATTTAAGGAAACCAACATACGGAACTATCCTTTATCGTATGCTATCATATCGCGAAATAACGCTAATTCAAATAAACAAGGAAAAGCATTGCCGGGTCCTTATTGTAAAACCGTTATAATACTCCACATTTGTCTTATTTCAAGTAATTGAACCGATTATACGATATGTAAGCAGACCCAGAATAAGTCGCGCGAATTAATCACAGTATTATGCAAGTTAGCTATTCTCTATAGAGGAATACTGTATTCTCTTAAATAATATATGATTTGATCTGAGAGTGAAGGAAAAGAAAATATACATATATTAGATTAATAAAAATATACATGTTATTTTTTTAGAGAATATCTGATATTATTAAATTGCGAAAATCATAATAATGAAGACTATAAAAAATTTCCATTATTTTTTTAATTATAATTGATAAAGATTCCCATTGTTTCCGGTGTGATTAAAATTTTAAATATTTATGAAACGCAAAATAAAACGCGTTATTATACCTATACATAATTGATTTTGCCAAATAGTTGTGCGTCAATGTTAATTTGTTTTTATTTAAATCTTTATATACCTATATTTCGCTTTTCGATTTATGATGTGATTCGTACATATACACAATTGCAAAAAATTTTACAACATAAAAGAATTTTTATAACCGAGTATAAGTTGGACAAATATAAAATTCCCATGTTTGATAAAAACGGAAAAGCATATAGATAGAATATACATATATTTCCGCACAAATAATATTTCTTTTCGCTTTGCACAATTTATGCAGTTAGTTAAAGATATCCTGTATAAATCATTGACTCATACTTAACATCTAATTTTAAAATTCGATTACAAAATATACTTAATTTTTAAATATAAAAAATATTCGTAATTCAGGGATTTTAAAGAAATTGTTTATGATACTTTCAACACTGAATAAAATTGCGTTTGAATTAATTCGAGATATCATTTTTTAATAATTATATAATTGACTTGTATTGTATATTGTCATTTCGTTGATCATCGCGGAAAATTATTGCGACGCGGAACATTTTAATTAGCGTCGTGCATGTCGCGGTATTAAATACGTGCCTCCTTAATTCGATTGTGTATACGAGTCTGTCAATTATATAAAAAAGTGTGTGATTATTTTTTAACTCCGTTTGCTTTTGATATTGAATTAATTTCAATTAACTTCTAGAATTCTAGAATTTCAATTAACTCTAGAATTAACTTCTAGTTAACACATACATCTTTATTATACCAATCATTTATAATCAAAATTATATATTAAATACTTTTTATAAATATTATTATACAAAATTATTGAGCAGATCATTTATTACACGAAAAGAAAGAAATTCATTGCAACGTATGTAAATATATGATACGAAAACTCATAAGTATATACAACATTCATATCAAATGTACAAAATTAATTATTAACTATAGCATTAACATTAAAAACTAAAATAGACATTGCGTTAGAAAGTATTGGCGCGTTTCGCCAGAGAAACACTTTCGCAACTCATTGTCTATTCAAAGAATCTTTCCGCTCCACTTTATCTCTGTGTGCTCGTTGATTAATTAAAATATCAAACTTTTACCAGAATATAATATAATTAAATAAACAGTTATATTTTGGAGAAGTGCTATGTCATAAATTAAATAATAATAAATTTAGATCGTAAAAACGATACGCTGAATATTTTGCATTTTTATTTAAAATATAATTTAACATTTCAAATTAATAGCGATTTTGGTCGCTCTTTGTATCGGGATCGACAGAAAATTCGAATATTCTCTTTAACATATTATTGTATATTTATATATTTATTTATAAGCCTTTATTTATAAAATAGTCTCTATAATTTTGTTACACATGGCGAATTGTGACAATTGCATACGTGTTAAATTGAGAGAATTTATTTGTCGATTTGAATTCATGTGTTTCGTGAAAATAACGCATAATTTTTTGCGTAGAAAACGTATATAGTTTACGCATTTCTAAAACGACAGCAGCTTTTACGTAATATAAAGCCGGAGCAAATTAATTGATCCGTTAAATTCGTTGAAATGCCGGCGCGTATGTTTATATGTCAGACATGTGCTCGTTTAACCCGCGTACATTCGCAATGGCAACTTGCAAACGTCACAGATATGATAATAAATCTTCCTCTAATGCTTAGGAATAACTGCATATTTGAAAATAATTGAATAAACGTACATGAAAATTTATGAAGCGATACTTATATTTCCATTGATTAGACAATTATAGACAATTGATAAAATTATTTTATGAGACTAATTATATCAATATTTTTTAATTCTAAATCCGATAGGAATAATGGTCTGCTTGCATTAATCTAATTAAAACCAAAATTAGAAAAATCTAGCCTCCCATATATTTGCTTCTCCGATTCTCATTAACTCTTTTCAACTTGATCACATTTTGATTTCCCTTGCAATTGTCAGATAAATCAACAATAACAAGGAAAGTTAACAAAGAATATCGTTGGACAATAAGATGCATTGTTCTTTGATTAAGATCTATTTAAGATTGAATGACGAATAAATCATTCACGTTTTTTTTATCGTAATTTAAAATTATATACTTACGATCTGGTTGACACAGGAAGACACGATTTCTTCCAAAAGAGCTGGAGATTCGATATAGATTTTTATTTGATAATAATTCACACGATAACATATGCGTCATCGATATTGCACGCGATCCATCATGCGTTTCCAACGATGCAGTCATCGATCAATAACGCATGTCTATCATTCCGAGTAAGTTTTGTATGCATCGACGATTGAAATGAAACTAAAGAGACACGATCGATAATCAATGATCGATTAGTTGTAAAATATGGTATTTATAATTTGTCATAATATTTAGATCAGATGTCACAGAGATTATTTAACATTGTCACACATGCGCATATGCATTTTTCGTTCGAGCTAGCTCATTAAATTCGTTCTTTGCCTCCAAAATTTCTGAACAACGTGTCCGGTATATTGGATAAATCGCATTACTATTATTCAGCCTGTATAACACAGTTGTTACATAATTCGGCATCATTATTTGGCGTCGTTACATCATATTCCCTCTATCTTTCTCTCTATCTATCAATCCACCGATCTATCTCGTTTTCTCGCGATTGATGCACGGTCAGCGAACATCGATGTGATTATGGAAAGTGATCAACAACGCGCGTTGAATCCGGCGATTAGATAATTTTCGCAGTCGCGATGTCGCCCGACCGCGAACTTAACATTGAACTAACGTTTCGTCACGACTGCACGGCGGAATATGAACTACCAGCTTGGACCCGATTCAATTTTATCTCGAAGGCAAGAAGGACGGGAAAGAAAGAGAAGCTCACCGAAATTTCAGCCTCGCTAGACAAAAATCCTCGAGCTAATCTGACTAATTATTTACTTTAATAATTCAGACCCGATTATTAGTTATTAATTGTACGGTTCATCGAACGCGTCGAAGCTTAATAAATATAGGGGAAAGGAAGTAAAATAACAATTTTACAGTTTGTCCATTTTTTTCTAATTTCTATACACGAAGAGAATTTGGTTTTGTATAGAATTTACTTTGAAAATCATCGTGGAACAATATGATATTAAGTTTTCTGATTAATATTTGCCACAATAAAAAATATTAATATGTGTACATAGTAAAATTAATCGAACATATTTTATTTTTTTATTAATCAGATAAACTTTTATAAAATTCTTTCAATATCATGATTTTCAGAGTAAATTTTAAGAAAAAATTTTCTCTGTGTATGTGATGATGTAAAATTATTTAAAATTATTTCAATTCAAATTAAAATAAAGTTAAATATTACATTAAAAATAGAATTAAATTATAAACTACTTAGACTTTTGATACATGACACCGAACCCAAAGATTATATTACATATCTAATATCTAAAACATAATATTGTCTTACCTATTTTGGTAATATGATCCAACTACTTTATTTAAAAAATTAAAAAATTAGTAACTTGTATATGATAAGATTTAAACAGGTGATCAGTATCACACACTAATTAATTATGAGCGCATCATATTAATATTAAAATAATATTTTATTTTTTATATAAATACTTATATATTAAAAAATTACATATGTAAATAATTGTTATATATATTATGTATTTTATTACAGAGAAGTACAGGGTGTATGCGAGTGTGTCATTCGCGGTGCTGCTATTAGGAATCGGCGTACCCCTCTGGTGGCACACTACGGCGGTGCCCCGGGTTGCGCTTCCTTATACCAGGATCAATGATTTGTCGCAGCTGGACATCAGGATCACCACGAGGATCACCCTCGCGGCGCTCTCACACGCTCGCACTGAGCTGCTCGCGCGTGAAATCAAACGTGCGTTCGCGAATGCCGGTGAGTAACAATAAAACGTGAAATATCGAATAAGCTCATTGATAACATGTCGAAATGAGCAATCAATTACAATTCTTTCCTTGCAGTATATATAAAAACCATCAGATAGTTTTTTAATAATAGATTCACTGACCAATTAAAAAATTATTCCAGGAATATCATAATTTTTGCAAGTTTACGTCCAAAAATATATATATTAGTATTCGTATAAAATTGATAAAAAAAACTACTTCTTTCTTCTCCATTGTTAATTATGCACATTTTAATAAATGCCAATGATAAAAACGTATATGTCATGCATTTTATAATTTTTTTCATAAAATAAATCTTGTAATAATTCAACAAGATTTATTATACATCTATAATATTTATTAATCCATCAATTAAAAGTTGTTGATATATTTTAGTAATTTATACTAATCGAATGCAAGTAACAGCGAAAGAACTAAATTAATTAGATGTATAATGTAAAAAATAATTTACATGATTTCTCGCTTCTGATGCCGATAATGCAATACGATTGTAACGAAGGATCAGAAGCTTCAAGAATTATGCTTCATTGTTATGCATGTATGGTCACTTGTGCGACTTGACAATTTATGTGTTTGTGGGCATCGAATGTGATTCGAATCTTATGTTAGTAATTGACATTGGCCTGAATATACCTATTGTGACTACAAAAATAAACAAGGACCTTTGATCCATTCGATGATATATGTATATTAGATATGATCCACGTATACGAATTAAAAATTGAAAGAGTTACGTCAACGATCTTACAATTGTGACGTCAAAGTCGAGAAGATAAGCATCTATACGTCTGTATTTATAACATATAGTTTTTTGAGAAAATAAAAGTAAAAATAGGGGGAAAATATAAAAGATAAAACTTTATTTTAAAAATATCGACATTAATAAAGCGTTGATAAGGAGAGGGAGAGAATAGTGACTAATTAATAATACGATTAATATATACAATTATTAATTATACAATTTTATTAATATTAATTATTAATATAATTAATACGAATACCTTCGAATTTGGCGAATTAATTCGCGTAGAAACATTGATATCAATAAACGTTTAAATTATTTTTTGTTCTAATCTTAATCTGCAATTTTCAGAAATATACCAGTTGGAATTAGAGCACCAGGTGATCTCCAATAATCTGCTGGCGTCCGCTTTCACATATCACGAACTCGAGAAGGTGGCTTCGACTTTCGATCTGGACGTGGGTGATTTACTGCTACTGGAAGCGACGAACTTAAATGATGCTGTTCTAGTCGGCTCTAATAGAACGTTATATTTCTCTACCGAAACTAGTAAGCTGATCAACATTAAAATTAAATTGCATTTACTTGAAACCGCGTCAGCTGATTAGTTAAACACCTGTTGCTACGTTATCCTTATTTTAAAAGTGCTTAGAAATGCAAGTTGCGGTTCGCATAATATAAAACTACTATATTGATGCAATTTACAGCAAAGACAGTCAGTCTTTATATTCTCATTTTACGTTTATTAAATACTAGTAAAATAAAAAACTAAAAAAATGTTTTATTGTAAGAAATATGTAAAATGCATATCAGGATCTCGATATAGTTAGTAATAATCTAAGAATTAACTTTAATATTTTTTCAATTTATAACAATTGTGCTCATCTTTTTGTGATTGATTAAATCAATTTAAGCTATATTAGAATTATATATATATATATATATATCATCTCTAGGTGCCACTAAATTGGTGCAAGTATTATCGGAATGGATCCTTCACGACAAGTCATTGGCATTGACAAAGAACGCGCTCGCCGAACCCACCATGTATAGCTTGGACGAGGAAAACAGGAGACGATTTCCAGTCAGTCCGGCATATGACGTTCTAATCACCCTAGTTAACCCTGATCCCGAGAAGCTGAAGATCGTTTGGAACTTAAGAACAATGACCGAAGGTATTATTTATTTTTATATAAATTAATTTTTATTCATAGATTATTGATCAAATTGCACTATAAAACAAAGTTCTTTAAGATATTTTCACAAATTTGTTATTAATTTATATAATAATGATTTTCGATCAAACTTTTAATTAGATGATTTTTCGTATTTGCTGTCGCATACAAGATATTTTTTCAGCATTTTCCGAATTTTACACTACGATCTTCCGTTTATCAATTCTATTAATTATTTAAGTGACAAAAATTTTGTATTAAGTTTTATTTATTTTATTACTAGAAACTGACTTTCATTTGTTAAATTAAGAAAGTATAGTACAATTCATTAGAAGAGACTAGAGATTTAATTTTATTTTATTACAGACTATATACAGCCGTTCCTAGACGAGCTGTCCATCTTGAGTGATTTCTCTGTCAAGTCGCAGTGGCTCTATTTACTACCGTTGGACGTGAATCCCAAACGCGTGCCTGACAGCAGTCCAAGCCGCAGGCATTTCGCTTTACGCGAGAGCGTTTTGCCACAGCTGGTAACGCCGTTGGAGAAAAAACTAGGTATGTAACATATAGATTCGTAAAGAATTACGCGCACCAAACATTTCTGACTAAATTTTAGCGTCGCAGGTCAGTCTTCATCCATGCATCAACTTGGTCGTCTACATGGTACCGTGCAGCAGCGCGCCTCTGCATATCTACACTCGCAGCGGACATAAATCACGAACAGACAGCAATGTGGAAGCCTTCCTTTCCCCGAGGTATTCCCTTTCGGACAATTTATTTCATTTCACATCGTAATTGCGTTCTCCTATTTTCACTTTATTTGCACGAACATTAAACGAGAACCTGTTTTATGTCTATGATTATCATGTTTTTCCAATTAATTTTTTAGAAATTTAAATGTGCAACTATTAATATTATGTATCAAGATATGTATTAATTTAATATTATAATTTTTATCATTGTTATCGTATCAATAAACATAGATGGGGTGGCGTGGTTTTGATCAATCCACCATCAAAGGTCTGCGATGACGCACAGAAGAATACAACCGTTACTATTGTTCCTGAGGAGACCGCCGTAGTAGGCACGTTCTTGGCACAGCTCAGATTATTGTTGGGCATTCCAGAAACGGTAAGGGCAATTTAATCATTTTTTTAAATTAATTTTTAATTTTGTATTGTTCGTTATACATATTTAAAGTTAAAAAATCATGACTTTTTCGCGTAAATATTCACAGAAACCCATCGACGGGGTGACAATGGTGCCATTAGTGGGGCTAAAATCGCGCGAGTGGGAAATTGATTCCTTACTGAGGTTTCGCACCATCGAGCAATTGACCTCAGCGAAACTGACCCTGCAATCATTGGCACAACTGCTGAAGGAGATCAGCAATATTGTCATTACAGACGTGGTCGGAAATAGGATTAAGACCGCGCTCGAGCTGGTGCACGAATCTGCGGAGCATCTTCAACGTGGCGATCTTGAGCGAAGTTTTGTTCTTAGCAAGGAGGCCTTCGTCACTGCAGAGGCGGCTTTCTCTGATCCGACACTTTTGGCGCTCCTCTACTTTCCGGAGGATCAAAAGTAAGTGAGATTTTTAACTACTTTTAAGAAAAAAAGGAATGTAAAAAATTCCATATTTTAAAAATTCTTACAGTTCAAAAATATAAATGACATTGTTGGTTGAAGGAAAAATAATGCTGTTGCATATAATTTGGAAGAGAAGGAAAGAAATATTACTTATATAATTAATGCAGTATTCCTATTAAAATTGTCGATTATTTCTAGACTTTATTTCGTATAAAATAGAGGAGCACATTGTGAAAAAAAGAAAAATATCGCGGCAAATATGTAATTTTCGAATTATATTACACGCGAGTGACATTTTGCGTTAATGTTGCAGATATGCAGTGTACATTCCTCTGTTTTTGCCGGCAATGATACCGGTACTGTTATCGCTTAAGAATATACGGAGATATTACTTCCCCGAGAAGAGTAGTAAGATAGAAAAGAGGACGGGCCGTAGAGAGAGTAAGAATGACGAGGATGGTAAACCAAAGATCGAATAATGAAAAGGCATTTATCTGATCGATAAAACATAATTACGTGTATACAATCGAATGCGATTCAAAATTATTTTGACCAAGAGGTAATAAATATCAATAATAGATATATAATTTAGTACATTTTATATTGCCGTTTATATATACCAAGTTTCGTGCAATGAACTGTTTATCGTAGAAAAGCTCTTATCTATGTTTATCCATTGTACAGCGCAAAAAGAACGCGTGGTTATCGTACTTCAAGTATTCTTCTTTACACAACGATCGGGTTGTATTATATAAATTTAGGTGCATTTAGGACGGTTGTTCGTTAGATGGAATCGCGTAACGATTATTTTAAGTACGACAATAGTTCTAAGAATTTTTGCAACGATTTCGCATCGAATATTTTCTTGCAAAAAATATCGTAAGGAAAACGTGTGAGAAAAACTCTATTAATAGCTCTATTTTATTTTGAAGAGGCAATGATTCGATGAAATATGAATATATGAAACCACATTCGTGCGAAAATATAATAAACAATTTCTTTCTTGAGCGCCACTTCTTTTTTTCATTCAAACAATGAGGTCTCTGAGCAACATCTCGAGCGATCCGCAGACATAAATAGCTAAACATTTCATTTTCTTTTTCTTTCTTTCTCTCTCATTCATTCATTCATTCATTCATATGTTGTGTACTGATTTGGACGAAGATGCAGTCTGATTTATTGAGAAATTCTCGCCATCATCATTGATTGAATTTCATGTTTGTGAAACGCAAACGAATCTCGCACGACATCCTTCCTCTCACATCCGATCAGATTTCAAAAGTTAATAATCAATTAGATCGTTAGAAACAACTACGAGTTTTATGTATGTTTACACGTGTATCAACTCAATCCTCAACCACATTACCAAAAAAGGTTACAAAAAAAACTGCGAACGTTAAGTTACTAAGAGAGAAAAAAAACGAGAGAGGAAAAATGATATATGTCCATCTACCGTGAGAGACCGCTTTTTTTCTTTACTGATTTATATAACAAGGGGGTCCAATGTCATTCGATAAAGGGAAGAACATAATAATAAAAACACTAAACAATAATAAAACGATTAGCTGCTCGATGCATTTAGCTAGAGTAAAATACGGTACGCGTGTAATAGACACTTTCTTTAAAAAAATAAAAATAAGAAAACCGTATATTTGACATATAAAAAATAATTGCTCAAGAAATGTCCTGTGCTCGTAATAAATAATAATAATAATAAAAATAAATGTATGGAATATCTTGATGGAAATAAAAGATCTCTTGACTGCTTGTGTTTCAACTTTGTCAAGAATTTAAAAACAAGTAATAATAATAATAATACATAGACAAGCGATATCTCGTTTACGACATTACTTAATGCATGTAAGTAGCACGAGAGCTATCAATGAAATGATAACGATAAGATATATAATGAGAAGAAGCGTCTCTTGTGTGTCAACGACACGAGTAACTAACTACTAATCCTATTATAGGAATAATAATGACGATGCCAGCATCATTATCATCATCGTTATTATACCTACGATACGTGCGCGTGGATCTCAAATGGTAGTTGGACATTGTTAAGAGTAAAAATAAATTAGTCGTCGAACTGTGGAGCTTATTCGTACGAAAATAATAGAAAAAAAACAGTAAAGAGCAATTAAGTCAACAAGGACTTTGAACTAACTCTATCGCGTGTTGCAAAGCATCAGCGATATTCTGAAAAACAGGTACACCTTCGCGCGTCGCATAGTCCGACAGGTACATCCTCCCCCGGTTGTAATCTTTTCTGGCTTGTTCAGTCAGCTAAAATCAAAAGAAGAAAATATATTTCTATCGTAAAAAAGAAATTTATTGTACATCGTTATTTACTCGAAATTATATTTTTGAAATTTAATTAATTAAAGTTCTTTAATCTTAAATAATTCAAATTAATTCGATTTTCATTATTCTATTTCATTAGATATAATTTGCGTGACTGACATGTAATATTCAATATATATCAATATATATATATATCATTTTTATAGCGGATATAAGGTACACATGAATCATACTTGTTCACCAGAGACGATAGAATCCTCGGGAAGAGTCTGAACACAAAGAACGAGCTTAGCACGCAGTCCAATCAAATGAGCTGCCAACGCCATAATGGCAATGCCGCGCGAATGTTGCGGCACTATCAGCAGGATCAGCCGCGAATTTTTCATTTTGTGTAATTCCTGCGGTAGTATCCTTGCATTGTACTCATTCAGGCATGATCGGTACAGAGACAATCTCATCGACCTGGAAGAGGATCATCACAAATGAATGAAAAGAGAATTAATTCGCTAAATAATGGATAGATGCTTGGGAATCGATACTCACTCTAGCAACGGCACTGCGGAAGATTCCAACCAAAACAGATCTTTATTTACCACGCCGATATAAATGTCTTTCTTCTCAGACTCTTGTGCCAAGGAGTTGGTCCAATCTGAAAAGATTCGAGTTTGAATGGTTTGTTATAGATTCAGTATATAATTATATTATTATATATACATATATAAATAATATATAATAAAAATATTTTTTAGATTTACTCTACAAGATAGGCGAGATCGATTACGTGTTCAATTGTGCTGTTTCATTTACATAGAGAAGAAATGACAAAACAAAAGATTCAGACGAGGTATAGGAATTATAACAAGTGCCAGAGATTGCGAGGGAAATTCGATCGAAAAATTAGAAATACCTAGAAAACGATTAAAGGGATGTACAATAGCTCGGCGCAGAAAATTTGAAGCCTTCCTACAAAATATATTCCATACTGAAGGTATCTCACTTTCGCAAGAAACGCCATTACTCTTCGTCCGCATCCACGATGACTCGCTGGCCAACGCGCAGAACTGCTCGAAATTGATTCGAAATTCTGTCGGGTCACCTTTCGCCGGAAATCCGTCTATCAAGGTCCTGTACACCTCTGCGCGACAAACGTGTTTACGATTATTATTCTTTTTCACCAAGTTTATTAAATTGTTGTAAAATCTGATGTAGGAATAATTACCGGATTTATTCACCGTGTTGAGCAGATCCGAAAGAGGCATATTGTTGCACACTGCATTCGACTGCAACGTCACCCAAGCCTGAAAATGAAGAAAACCGTGTTGATGTAGTTTTTTAAAAATATTATTTCTCACACGATAAAACGTATATATACATACTTCTCCTAACTTTACTGTACCGCTGTCATCAACGTTCATAGATTTGAAAACCTCTCGCAACGTTCTAAAATATAAAATATCCTTGCAAATTCTCTCCTTTTTTATTTCGTTCAAATTAATAATCGACTATATATAATACATAAATAACTAATTTTTCAGAATCGGTAGAAACTTACACTGCATCTGTCCCATTCTGAGTAAGCGAGATTCTTATAGGTCTGATGCCATCCTCGGTATACAAATCTGTACAATCCTGCACATTGATTTTTTCACGTAACATCTGTACATATATTAATTAATACATTAGTACATGTATTAATCATAAGTTCTGCTGCATAATATGCTCGTTAATTAGAGTCATTACCTTGGATGTGCAGTGAAGGGCAACTGAAACGCTTTCGAATATCGGTATCCTTTGTCTCTCCATTAGATACTGAAGTACCAGCAATCCGTTCATCAAATCGTGATATTCTCTGAAGAATTAAAACAAATACGTGTAAAATGAAAAAAAATTATATCAAGACATAATTTTTTAGATCGAGTAATCAGGCAACGTACTGTGCAGAAACAGTCTCTCCGAGTATAGTCTGACCCTGACGATATGGATAAATAACGAGGACTAAGGACTCGCTGCGTGTAGCTGCCAGTTGAGCCGCTTCGATGATGCCCGCGCTGTTGCGTGTCTGGTTGTCGATAACAAACAGCAAGACCCGTGCCGTCTGCTTCGCCTCGTACTCCTGGGCTATCAATTCTGGACCCCATTGTGACACTTGCTGCAAAGAATACAGAATCTAATTATAATATCTTATGCAAGGACGAAGAAAACGATGATAGTGAGTAACTTACAGGATTATAATAAGTAATTCCGAGGTTCTGAAGAGTTGGAATCGCTATGTCTGACCTCCAGGTGGTTGGATTACAAGACCCGCCCAAAAATACCTCATATGCCATCCTCTCTGAATAATTAATCGATAGATAAGTAATAATTGAGGCTGATTATGTAAAGACAATCGGTAAAATAGCCGATTTGCCAACTTACTTGAACTAGTTTTGTGATTGGTATCCTTTCCATCACCGTGTAATGAGCGAGAGGCGTTCATAGGAACAGCCGTTGTTCTATAAAATATAAACAAGAACAAACACATGTAATATGATAATTCTAAGTTCCACATGATGATCCAATATTATCACACTCGATACTAGTAATGACTATTATGTTTTTCTAGTAATGATTACCATATATATACAAGTTGAATCAAACTTTATATATGATTAAAAATAAATTTTTTCTTTTCATTATTTGCGAATATATTCGATCATCACTGCTAAAAATATATTTTGTAATTTTTCTTATGCAACTGTTGTGAAAACTGTTTGATGATCGTACTTCGAAAAAACGAGTATGTTAATATTGTTAATGAAATCCATCATTCAAAGTTATTGCAATAATCATCTGATAATTTTCATTCACGATAAAAATGACAGTTATCCCGGATCATCTGTGAATCATCTTGTATAGCAGGGAAAAGACGTCATCATTTACATAATTGGCAAACAAAATTTCATCAGAGTGTGGTAATAGGATACACTAGATAGTAGAATCAATTATCGTTTTTGTATTTAACGTACTTCCAGATATCAAATAATTTTGCAACCGACATCGCGTTGCGTTTCATCATTGTTTTAAAACATTCCCCGCTATAATCATAATCAAATGCTCAATATTTTTGCCTGAAACATACAGATTTTCGTTCACCCGACAATCGCGTGTGTGCAGAAAACAAAAATTAAAAAAAGATTATATATTTCAGTGTAAGTAATTTAGCTTATGTGAGGGAGAAGTGAAAACCCGCTACTGCATGGTGGAAATACATAGTAGTCTTCAAAAATACCTAGCAAAGTCAAACCTGTATAATATATTGTAAAGTTTTTATGTTACCCTCGCTCGCACAGACGTGCCAGTTCTGTGGCAAATATGCAAAATTCTTCTAACATTATACAGGCATCGGAACATTCAGGATAGTCCTCAGCGTCGTGCTGCAGCTTGTTGCGCAGCTGCAAAGAGTTTGGGAATAACAGCATCACGTATATTTCTTGTATCTGAAATTAAGAAGCAATTCCTCTTTACTCTGTTTCAATGCTGCTAATTAAATGGAAATTAAATGCAGATATAAAGTTTGCATACTCACACAGGATATACAGGTGACTGTTAAGTTTACGCTTAGTTGAGATCTGGCGATAAATATTCCTCATCATTTAAAACTATACAATTGCTCTAAATTCCTGCTTCCAGAAGTATAAATGTATCTACAAACTTCTTGATTTGGACTTTCACATTTTCCTATGGAAAAAAGAAGCAAAAATATCAACTTTTATTAATTAGAAGAAATATTTTATATTCAAACATACAATTTGAATATATTTATATACATGTACATACATTCACCTCTGACATAATGCAACAAATAATTATGAGATATTCTCCTTTCTGTTTTAAATATAATGATTATGCTAACCTTGATGACATTTGTGTCAGACATGCTAGCGTATTTGTGCCACTAGGAGTTGACGGTCTAGTCTCTTGTTTTCAAGTCGAAAATTTCACCTGAGAATAAAACACAAAGGAAACTTAACTCTCTCGCTTGATCTCTCATTGCATACTTGTGAGATTAACAACGTTACAGATGACTTTATACAATACAAATATACTCAATATATGAATCTCGTGTTCAGTCATATGGTAATATGTCACGATTACTCACTAACGTTCCCAAGAAACGCATACTTGTCACGCTACCGTAATTTCTCGTAATTTCCAATTAATATGACACGAATCGCATGATTAATGCGCCAAGTATTTAAAAAGATATACATCTACACAGGACACGCAAAAAGGACGGGCGTGAGGAAAGTCAAATGCGAAGGTGTCCTGTCAACAAATCTCGAGCACACAACAAATCGCGTCTCCAAGTCACACCGACAAACGCTCCGTATATGTACACATACGCACACACGCGCCAACCACCTTGTCAATCTTCTTACGAAAGCGCGGAATCGATATGACGTATCGTGCGGATAGAAAGTGATGTCAATATTCAAATTTCCGTAAAAAAAATTCGATCTACATTCCCCGTCACAACATTACTTAAACATTCATAATTCGATACCGCAATGACAAAATAATATATCGTACATACATATATTCGCTCGAGAGATTTCTCTCCCCGAAACCGGAACTTTATCCAGAGGGACTCCGAGAATTAAATATCGCTTTCAGTTAAATACACACGAGCTCCGTCCGTCCATCCCGAAGCAGCGACTTTCGTTGAAAGAAAACCGCGCTCTCGCTCCTTCCCTCTCCTTTTCCGCCTCTTTATCGTCCCTCAGTCGACCATCCTTGTCTCTGCGAGACGCAAAACACTAAGCGAGGCGTGCACACTAACCTTGATGTGGTGTTTCGGCGACGTTTGCGTGTCGATGCAGCACAAAGCGTATGAGCGCACACGGTGGGAGAAGAAGTCACGATCGTCGAGTGCATCCGACGTTCACTCTCGCTCGCTTTCTTCTCTCTCTCTCTCTTTCACGCGAGCGCGCGCGCGCGCGCGGAGAGCGCGTGGATAAACAACGCGCGAACGGAAAGAAAAATCAACGGCGCGAGGAGCCCCGCCGCGCACTCCCGCTATTGCTCATACTTATTTATAAACCGTTATATTTAAAATGAAAGAGAGGCGCGCCGCGTGTCGTGTCGTCGTACGCGAACCGATGACTGACAGGAGGAGAGGAGGAGAAGACCGTTCAATCACATCTTCGAAGGGTTGCGAGTTCTCGATATCACAAAGTCTTCTCTCCGGATTTCTCCAATATTTCTGCACGAGTAATTAAGTCTCACTCGCGTAGATGTGTCAATGAAAGATTCCAGAGAACCGAGTTTTTTTGACAGCGAGGAACACACTTGGAAACTTTTGTTGTATCAACGATATGTTGTTGCGCGCGTTTTCCGATTAACAAAAAAAAAAACGTCCGTATACATATATATATATATTTATATCTGTGTGTATATATATATATATAGATACGCTCGCGTATCTTGTCGTTTTACGAGAGCAACTGGAACGAAGCGCGCTGGAGCGTGCGATTAACAAACTCGCTCAGGTCAGCGACGACGGAGTGGGCGACATATTTTATCGCTTGTTGTCTTTTCCGCGACGAAAAGGAGGTTGTCCATCGCATATACGTGCGTGCGTACGTGCGTGCGTGCGTGCGCACGCCCGTCCGTCATCTCTCCGCGCACCGCGTACACTCGTCCCTCGTACGGATTCAGGAGAATGACGTAAACCTCCAACAATGAAGCGTGATGTCACACACGGTGAAGTTCGCACGGGCCGCCGCCGCGTCGTCGACTGGCGCGCATGCGCGCCGCGTCGCGGAGGACCTTGAATTTCGTCGCTCTACGGTGCGCGCACCTAGCTGAGCGATGACGTCACCGTCCGTCTCGCGCGAGACGAAGCGCGCGCGCGCGCCACCGTTCAAAAAAATACTCCCGCGTCAACAAAGCCACGGCCGATTTTTCATCGATACGAGGACGAATCTATCGGATTTTTTGTTGAACTTGTTTATGGAACGATCGCTCCTTTTTCTTCATTCGCGCTGACGCAAGCAAGGATACGAGATTGTCGCGAGTTATTTTATTATAAGAGCTTATCCTTTTTAAGATTTTAGACGAGATTGTCGTTTAATATATTGCGGCCATTGTTAAATTGTAGACACTTCACATTTAATAATAATAATCATAATCGATAATTAGAGAGGAGAAAACGATCAGTAATATATATATATATATATATATATATATATATATATATATATATTCTAGAAATTTGATTGACATGAAGTTATATAGCGATATTCGTACCTGACATTTATCAAAGGCTTTTTTACAAAGTAATCACCGCGTTATCGCTCATGTAATCGATATTGCGCTTCGAGTGTACCTGAGGTCGCGCCTTATTTGCGCGAGCTTTAGATCGGAGCGATTGTCGCAAGTCACGCCAAAATTTTCGCGCGCGAAGACGCGTCGTTGTCTCGTAAGAACGGTCGATGACATCAGTCCGGTTCGGATTCCGCGGTCGTCCTTAAAGGCTCCTCTCCTCCGCGTCTAAAAAGACTTCCCCCGCGCGCTCACGACAAGCTTTTAGAATGTATCGAACGACGCGAGCGAAGTAAAAGGGAGCCGGTGCGCGACGTTTTTGATCAAATATGGTATGGGAATTCGAACGCGACACTTCCAACTTTATTTGCGCGCGAACATATGGGCGTTTCTTTTTTTCAATCGCTCTCGATTGAAAATGCAATGGATAAGAGATGCAGAGAAAGACGTTTTTCGCGACATGTGAATAACAATATAAATAATATTGCGTCAATATATGCGGATCTCTCGGTCTAACATAATTGGAAACTAATGACGCGCACATCGTGAGATTTATTGGCTCTTAAATTATGTATGACAATATTGTGACGATGTCGGCACGTGTTGCGTTGACGTGACTTATTGTTAGTTATTTCGTCGAGATGTTATACAGGGGAGAGATGTCATTATTGTCAAGCTTTATAAGGAAGAGATCGAAGAATTCCAAGATCCGGCAGATATCGAATTGACACACACTGTTGATAGTTCGAAATTAAACGATTTAATCAAACACGTGTAAATGTTTATTCCTTTTGTTTCTTTCTTTCTTCTCTAAAATGTAAATACACACACACATATTGTTTCATCTCTAAAAAAAACAGTGGAAATGTAGGAGAAACATGTCAGATTGATCGAAATGCAGGAAGGAAAATGTTTTAATCGATTTGCAAAAACAATAGTAGAACATACGATACGCGTCTTAAATTATATATACATACAGAACGAATTTTCTCTTAGTATTTAGCCTGAAAATTATAATCATGAGACAGTATTGAAAGAATTTTATAAGAGTTTCTCTTAGCAAATATTAATATCTACCATAATAAAATATAAACTATGCTCGATTAATTTGATTAATTTTATATTATTTTACTATTTTATTTTATTTTTTATTTTTTTAGTAAAATTTACTATGTACATATTAATATTTTATATTCAAAGATATTTTTATAAAATTCTTCCAATACCATATTGTCTCATTTTCAAAATAAATTCTAATTGTAAGAGAACATTCTCTCTGTACAGAAACATACTCACGGTGTGGAAAATTTCGAGATGACTTCCGTCGAGAGATCGCGGAAATTGCGGAGGCGCGGAATCGCGTGACGATCGACAGCGGCGAAATAATAGAGACTAGGAGCTCTAGGAGTCGGAGGAGCTCTCGCTCTCGCTCCCGCGGAGAATTTGTGCGCGCGCTGCGATGTTTACGAGAGGCAGATACGAGAGAGGACGCGATAAGGAACGGCGTGGTACACTTACTATTTTTGCCGTTTCTTTTTCGCCTTTTTATTTCACCGCTCGCTTTCTACACCGTCTCTGCCCACCCAGGGCTAGAGGTAGGCACGGTCCACCTACGTGCGAGGATTGATTCCCGCTCGAAACGATGACAAAAACACGTATGTTATCCTACAGTTGCGCGAAAATATATATATGTATGCCTGCGAGATTCAGCTCTTTAAACGCGGGATATCGGGATGTCCTGATTAATTTGACAGTCGCAAATGTCTGATGAAAGAAAAAAAATGATTATATTTCATGTTGAATCTACATATATATAAATATAATGTATTCGACCCGGAAATACGTAACTTCATACATGACGTCAAGTTTTATGCTATCGCGCGAAATGATACAATCGTCTATATTTGCCTTATTTGTCGTTTCTCTCCCTCTCCTTCTCTTTCTCTTTCCCTCTTTCTGTAATTCCTTCTCTTCGTGGGAGATTATTATCGAAGTGAAGCGAATGTGATTGATAATGCGGAAATCATTCAGAGTGATATAATCATTATTTTCATTGCGCTTTCCAAACGCGCGCGTCGCATAATGTCATTTAATGTAATAATATTTTATTTTTGTCTGCGATTATAAGTTTGAATAAATCATATAATTATTGTTTAAAAACAGTTTAACACATTAAGTTATTAAGTATTATAATTATAAAATATTTTAATAATTTGTAGATTTCCAGTGGCGGCGAATTTCGGGACGCAGCCATTTTGTTGACTCAGAACAAACTCTATACTCATCGATTTAGTTCGTTTTATTTATTAATTTACTGTTTTAAATTTGCAATCTCAGCGCTAAAATTCATTTAATTGCAAATTGGTGAAATTTACAAGAAAAATCTATTCATTAATATATTGATAAATATAGTCAATATAATAAGATTAAAGTGCAACAATACGCGGTTTCTAATACGCTTGAAAATTCATTTCTGAATTACTAGGAGAATATACTTTGCAAAGAAGTCGATAATACAGTTCACTAGCGATAGGTCTTGGTAAACTCTAAGTCTTAAGAAATTCACCAATAAAGCGGAAAGCACACACTTTTGCATAGACGCATAAGCGTAAACATGAGAATCTTGATTGGTCTATAAATGTATGCATAAGAAATTTAACCAATCGAATTTCTTATGCATATGCTTATGCGCTTATGCAAGAGTGTGTGCTTCCCGCTTAACAGTCGATTATTCTCTTCATTCTTGACTGCGATTGGTGAATTTCTTAAGGCTGACAGTTTACTACACCTATTGTAGACCCGGCCTAAACACCACTGATTGGCTGAATCGCGGACCAATAGGAAACGATCCGTCATTTTCATTGGCCCGTCAAGTTAAGCCTCCGTTTCTATAGACCGGGTCCCAACCAATCAAACGCGTGTATATTTTAGCTCAAGCGCCCGTCGCGGAGAGTATACATCTTCGCGAAATATATTCTCCTAATTATTCAAAAACCAATTTTTCCCGTACTATCGTTCGTGAAATGAATTGTCGACAAATTATAGATTATATCAAAATATAATTAAAATTATAAATTAAAATTATAAATTAAAAATTATAGATTAAAAAATTAAAATTAAAAAATTAAAACAAAAAATTAAAATGATTAAAATTAAAAATTATATCGGGCGAATTTTCTTCCGATGAGATTGCAAATTTAAATTAATAAATAAAATGAAATAATCACGGTCGTATACACAAGTCTGGAAACTCTCATGGTGGGGGTAACAGATCAATTCTTTAAGAAAACAAATTATAACATCGAAAAATACTACAATGAGACATAGTAATGATGCATCCGATATATCTTTTACTATAAAAATAAAGTGCAGAACAGATAAATTTATGCATTTTTATTCAGCTACTGCGCATGCGTGCGAGGATCTCATGATTCGGAATACTTTGGTTCTGGTGGAGGGAGCGCAGAAACGATTCAACAGAGCTGGTGTAAACATGCGGTGATGTGCCTGTAGAAGTTTTCCAGACTGTTCCGTGACCGGTACAGAAGGAATATCGTAGAACGCGATAGAATAATCTAGATGCATCGTAAAAATGCTCGGTATAATTGTAGCTGGACGACTTGTAAGTGTAACCTTGTTGATGTGATTTATTAATTGCATTTATTATAATTATTGTTAGTGTGCCAAAGCTATTTCGATTATATGTGTACGAGAAAAAAAATGTCGTTCTTCTTGGAATAAAATCTTGCTTTTACTTTTAAAACTTTGGAGCTTCTGTCTTAAAGTACATTTTATTCGATGATAATATTAAATAACGATGAGAGAGATTATAATTTGCATTGAATTGTTTTTATAAATATGAATTCAGATTGACAGATTGATTCTTTATTAATTGATCTTGTACAATTTATTATATGTATACACTATTGTGCTTAGCTCAGTTTTCTATACATTTGGTTCATATTAAAAACTTGTGCACTTAATACAAATTAGTACATTCAATTAAATTTAATTTAAATAACATTTATAGAGGAATAGAGAATATATACAATTGATATAAAAATATGATATTCTTTTTGTTATTCTCTAATTCTTTTATTTTTTAAATTTGTTTCACATTTAATATGGAAGCATTCTGTTTTGTTTAATAAATAGTGAAAAAAGCACATTTAATACAGGTATGATTTTTCCTTTTCAAGGTGCAAACTGATTTTCAACAAATTGGGGAGAATCAATTTTTAATTACCGTGCCTGATGCCGACAACATAAATCATATAGTAGTCTTTCTCACTGGCATTATACCGTTTCCAGATGGCATGGGAGGTGCAGGTAAGATAACGCAATGGACATTATTTTTACATAACAAAATTATAAAGATGTAAAGTTTTATTGTATACTAATAGTTGTATTAGAAATTGATCATTAATACGACAAACTCTTCGCAGTGTATTTCAGTTGGCCAGATGCAAATGCGCCACCAAATTGGCAATTTCTTGGATACGTTTCCAATGTCAAACCATCAGCTATCTTCAAAATATCGAATCTGAAGAAGAATCACGAGTTCGAGAACAGCAACGTGGGCATTTTCGGGATTGGTAAGATCTCGCACGTCGCGCAGATCGGTGTTTCGGTGGAACCGCTAGCAATAATCGAGCAGCAGGCTGCTACAGTCGCCGCAACCACCACCAACACCTTTGTGGACTTTGTGCAAAAAATGCTGACGAGTTTCGTGAATTATGTGACGAGTTTTACAGTGACGCAAGGGCAAATGACACCAAATCCTACCGAAAACTTTGTACCCTTATCTACGTTACAAAACTGGTATGAGACTTTCGAAAGGCGATTACAGCAAAATCCGAATTTCTGGAAGTCGTGATTGTGGAAAGTGCGTATAATATGAAATTTTAGATCTTCTGTCAATATAAATACACAAATACTTTAGCGATGGCCAAATATGACTCTGAAGTTTCAATATTGTTGTACGACATGCTGAATTATCAGTATGAATAAAAGTGAATTTGTCACTTTTATATTGTTGTAATAAACAACTCTGAGTTTGCATAAAAAGTTTTAATATTGATATATATATATGTTTATAAGATTTATTAAAATATCTTTAATATATCTTAAAGAAAACATTGGAGCATTGCTAGATTTAGATAATATATTGCATACTTTTTCTTAGCTTCTGTCTTTTTATAAATATTTAGATTTAATTGTTGATAATTTTTGTAGAATGACATCAAAATTAAACAAGTCTGTTTGTGCTGACTGCACTCTTGCACTTTTTGCTCGACATTGGAAGAAAAAAGACCTCTGAACTAATTCAAGAGTGCAGTCTACACAACAAACCTACTTTTATTAATAATTATACTACATTAGAAATGTTATTCTACAAGTTAATTAATGATAAAGTTAAATCACATTTAATAAAACGACAATTTTTGTTAGGAAATGATAGGAAATAAAATTAAAGAAATGGAATATGTTGCAAAAATATATTTTTATCAACAAATGGAATAAAATTAACTCTCACGAATAGACTTTTAAGTGTTTCACAAAGATTAGTGACTTGTAACTTTTTCAAAATTAAGTATATATGTATGATCATTATGTGCATTATTTGACATCATCGTTATCATTCTAATTTACCGTAAAGATACCTTTTCACGAACCGTTGAAATCGATTGTTTGAAATCACGTATCAACTTTTGTTGCTGAATTAAACAGCGAAAGTTGCTTTGTAGTTGAACCGATTCAAACTACAAAATTGTGAATTATGAGCGATAAATCTGTTGCTTCGATCACTGTTTTAGCGACACGTGAAATTGCTCCTTCATTGTTACAATTCAGCTTGATTACGAATTTTCGCGCGCAGAGATCGTATTCGTATCTAGTAAATTTCGAACGACAAAAAGTTCCTAGGCGGGGGACGAAAAATCGCACGTGCGGATCCGTCTTGACGTTTCGCCACCACGTGACACGCGATGCGTCATGAGAAGACGCCTTGAAGTTATACGTGTGTACGTATCTGTCACAGAGTACGGTCGAGCACGGCAGCTTTCACGTTCTACGAGTATATACTCGAGACTTTCGGGTGATTTCGCGAAGGCTTGTCGAGGTCCCGTCCCGGTCGCGACGAAGGAGCGGTCCGGGTCGCGCGAGGATACGCGCCGACGAATTCTCGTGCGTGACACAGGCATGAGGTCCAGCCGCAGTAATGAGAACTGATGGTCGTCATCGTCGCCGCCGCCGCCGCCGTCCTGCACTCGCGTCGATCCGTCTCTCTGGCGCCTCGGTGTTGTCGCGGTGGTGTCCCTGAGGACGATGCCCCGCGTCGCGGAGCGAGATTGTTAATGCGCGGCGTTTCTCCATAGATTCTCGGCACGCGTTCTTTGATTTATGGATTCCGTGAAGAGAAACGGGGACTCTGTATAAGGAAAGAGAGAGAAATAAAAAGAAAGAGAGAGAGGAGAAATCTTGACGACGTACGTGCGTTGTCATTCATCGTCTTGGAAATCACGCAAGTGAGTAGGAAGCAAAGTCTCTTCGTGCAATTACTCTTCTCTCTCGCTCTTGAGGGAGGAGGAGAGAAAGAATGAGGGAGAGAGAGAGAGTAATCGCGCGAGTAATTACGCGCCGTATGCGACGCGCGTCTCAAGGTTGACACATGTCGCCTGGCTCGGCCGCACAAGAGCCGAGGCGAAGGAAGAGCCGAGTCTCGCGTCTCTCTGGTCGGCAGCAAGTAAAGCGTAACGAAATAATACGGCTGCGCCGTGCTGCGCTTTTGCTCCTCGGTCTCGCGTCGCCAGCTGCGATTTCAAACGGGGAGACGCAATAATGGATCTGTGTGCTCGTCTCTTCTCGGCCGCGCTCGCACGTTACGTATCTTTTCGCAATAACTATACGCATCCGGCCCCGTTCGGGGGAAAGAGACGGAGCAATCAAATGGATTAATCAAAAAAATTGTGCAGAGAAAAATAATGATTAAAGAGAGCAGGGAAGGAGGTAAATTATTAAAGTGCGATTTTTTCTTCTGGAACTGTCAAGTAAAAAGCAGGTGTCGGTCGAAATATATATATATATTTTTTTTTAATTTTATATATTTTTTTTTTCAACGCTGCGAAGTGTCAAAAGTGCGCCAGGAGAAAGAGAAAAGCTTCCCGCATGCAGCCTCGACTCGGAATCGGGGATTTAATTGATCTACGGTCGCTGTCCCTTTCTACTACGCGCCACTACGGTCCCACCTATATGTGTGCACAATGTAGTAGACGGGAAAAAAAAGTCGGTCGGCCGGAATTGGCGATAATCGACGTCGGTGTCCGGAGCGAGGCAAAGCGGGATCTCTGCTTTCCCTGCGCGCACGATGACACTGCGATTAAACCGCGATGAGGACGCGGTCCGCCTCTGTCATTCCGATCGCGAATTGTCCTGAGGTAGAGAAACGGAAGTGCCGGATGAAATATAATGTGCAAAAAAAAAAGAAAAGAAAATGGAAAAATTGCTCTGCACGTGATTCAAAGTATAATGCTTAATTTGCATTTGAAATGAAATATATAGATGTACAGAGGGAAGTGGAAGTGCCAGATGAGAAATAGTGTACAAAAATAAAGAAGTTTTGTGAATGAAAAAAAATTGCACATGATTCAAAGTATAATGCTATGCGTTCGTTTGATTTGCATTTGAAATGAGATATAGATTCGGATTCCAGACAAGGGATAAAGAGTAAAAAATATACACACAATTGAAATAAATATGAATAGACCTATTGTAGACGAGAGTGTGAAAAGAAGGGGCAGCTATACTAATAAATAATATTAAATTGTATTATTAAAATATACAATAAGTGCAGTGTCAAGTTAATTCGATGTATTACTTGGAAAAGTTTTGACATTCATTTATAGAATTCATTATAGTTGTATATATTTAAAGCATTATTTCATAGAGAATTAATTATAGAGTATAAATAAAACAGATACATTTACTGAAAGAGAATATATCAATAATTTCTATATTGTCCAGTAAATATAATTTTTTTTCTTGTGCTTTAATTTACATTGCGATAGCATAATTGAATAATTAAAATTATTTTTAATCTTGGAACATTGTAAAAATGCTAAAGGCTATTGACAATGTAAATAGGATACTTGTTTAAATCAGAGCATACATTATAATGGCATTATACAAATTACTGATATGTTACAGGAAACAGGATACCTAATCTTGGGATATTGGATACTCGCTGATAAAGTTTCTATTAAGTAAGTTGAATTAAATTAAAGGAACAATGATCCAGAGTGATGAAGATAAAATATTGTATCATTGTTCCATATCATATCACACCTCTGTTTGCTTCAAGATTTTAGATCTTTGTGCATGTTTTTAAGACAGATATATATACAGAGTTGATTACCATTGAATGACACGTGTAAATTTTTTTTCTTGCAGAAGACGCAGAGATGGAAAGTTCCGAGGAACCGACCAGTCTGCAGTCCATATGCCATCTGCATGCTTCGGAACTGTTCCCCAAGCATACGCATTTCGAGTGCGAGGATGAAACCCTGACGATTCCATTCACGCCGTTGAGCGGGGAATCAGTCGTGGCTCTGGGACGAACGACGGACGGTGTTTTGGCCCTTTCGAATTATAGACTTTATTTGCAATTAAGCCAAACGTGTTACAATATACCTCTGGGTCTCATTGAGCAATTAGAAGTCAAAGAGATTTTCTATCTGCACATTGGATGCAAAGACGCACGTTCTTTAAGGTACTTCTCCAATTCTACGTCTTTATTCTTCATTGAATTCATTCGTTTCGTCTTTTGCGATTATTTTATGGATTTATTGTGAGGATTGTGTGACGCGACTGGATTTTTATAGTCATTTCAATCCAGTGAATATTGTGTTTTTATTTCAGTTGTGCATTTACCACGAACGAACATTGTTTAGAGTGGTTTAAACGATTACACAAAGTGACCTATCCGCGAAAAAGTATAGAAGATATATTCGCGTTTGCTTACTATGCGTGGTCTATAGAAGAGGGCAAAGATTATCCTAGGCTTGGAAAAGATAATAGTTCTTATATTACTACTTTTAATTCGGAGGTGGGTATATACCTTTTAAATTTTTCTGATTACCGAGTGTGGAAAATTTTTACATAACATACAAATGTCTACAAAATTATTAAATATTTTCTTAGGTCGAGCGATTAAAGTTCAATTTACACGGTACATGGCGTATAAGTCAAATAAATAAGGATTACCGGATGTGTCCATCCTATCCACCGCAGCTCTTGGTACCTGCTTGCATCTCCGATGAAACCCTAGAATTTGTTGCCAAATTTAGAAGTTCCAGACGTATTCCAGCTATTGTATGGAGGTATATGGTCTTTTCTTCTTCTGCATGATTTATAATTATGTGTCGCATTCTTGTCTTACAAAAGAGATTACATATTTTTAAGGCATGTGAATAACGGTGCCGTGATAGCTCGCAGCAGCCAACCGGAAGTTGGTTGGCTCGGCTGGAGAAGTTCCGAGGATGAGGATCTTCTGAAGGCTCTCGCGGACGCGTGTAGCTACGATAAGGGCGAATCTACGATGGTAGACTCGCCTATTACATACTCCGATGCCGGTGACGATACTATAACACCGAGCGCTCCCAAGGTAAGAGTCTTTAGTCACAGATGATTAATCAAATCAACGAAAAATTTAATTACAAGAAAAGGAAATAAAACTTAAATATTTATTACGTATCATTTGAATATCAGTCTGTATTATTTAAGTGCGCGTAAGATTATATCCTGCGGATATTTTATATTAGATTTTTGCTTTATATTTATAGAAAGTTCTAATCGTCGATGCGAGATCGTATACAACAGCTGTAGCGAATCGGGCACGCGGTGGTGGCTGCGAATGTCCAGAATATTACCCGAGTTGTGATATACAATTTATGAATTTGCCGAATATCCACTCGATACGGAAAAGCTTCCACGCTGTGCGACAGCTTTGCGCGTCGGACGCGGATCAACCAAAGTGAGTTGTTCTCCCAAACTGTCAGGTTCATTCTGTGTATGCATTTTGATAGAAATTCAATGATTTATCCTAATCAGTTATATGTATAAGTATAATATACTTTTTTTGTTATTCCAATTTTTCTCTTACAGTTGGTTAAGTTTGCTGGAAGGTACGCGATGGCTGCAACATATGTCGGGTTTACTGCGGGCGGCTGTTACTGTGGCTTCGGCGATTGAGAGGGATGGTCGACCAGTATTAGTGCACTGTAGTGATGGTTGGGATAGAACGCCCCAAATTGTCGCATTGGCGCAGATATTACTTGATCCATACTATCGCACTATGGAGGTAGACAACGACTTTTGAAGAGGATGACATAGATTAAATGCAATTACTGATGTCATCCTTTTTTAAAGGGATTCCAAGTTTTGATTGAGAGAGAATGGTTAGACTTTGGACACAAGTTCGCGGATCGATGTGGTCAAACGATCGGTTGCGACGATCCCAACGAACGTTGTCCGGTATTTCTTCAGTGGCTCGACTGCGTTCACCAGTTGATTCTACAGTTTCAATGTAGCTTTCAAATGTCGTCGGCGTATCTTGTAAATATATAAAAATAACAGTTCTACTGCGAGATATATTAGAAGAAATTCTTCCCAAACGATCTGACAATAACAATGTGTTTCAGGTGAAATTAGCCCAGCATACATATTCACAATTATTTGGTACATTCCTGTGTAATACTAGGCAGGAGAGGCTGCAATTGAGAATACGCGAACGTACGTTCTCAGTTTGGCGTTTTCTCAACTCGACTGCGTTTGTAAATCATTTATATTCGCCGTTAAAGAATCAAGTATGTCAATCAAAAGTATATCGTGTGATTAACATGTTTCTATGTATGATAGCGAAAAAAGATATCTATTTTTATTGTTTTTGTTATGCCAGGTATTATGGCCAAGTTGCAACGTGCGCGATCTTGTCCTGTGGTCCGAAGTGTATTTAGGCTCTATGGAATCGTCGCTCGGTATGAGAGATGATAAGCAGAGGGTGACGATGATCGACATTGAGGGCGGCGAAAGCGAGGAACCGCAAGGACAGATGACGAAGACGAGATCGTATGGCGACCTCATGCACGCTCCCGATCATGCAGCTTATTTACACCGAAGACGTAGTGATCCGAGTATTTCCATGGAAAAGTACGTAATCGATGATAGTCGAGTCTTTACTATAAGAATGTTCTTAAATTTATGCTGATTTTTCCGCTGCAGAAAATTCGATTCTCTAGTGCTTGAGACTGAAACGGATCAGAAGAGCGCGAGAACCGTGGACGATAATAAAAATGAAGCTGCGAACGAGAACTCATTGGAGACTGAAACCAAGACGAAACGATGTACTGTGAATCAAACATCCAACGATTCACCCGCCAATCCCTCGGTAGATAGTTCTACCGACACTTTGATACCTAACAATGATTCTGCCATTGCAGCAGTGAACGGAGAGAAAGAAGTGTACGTACTTGTCACTTCATATTTTTATATGCGCGTATGTGTTGACAAGAATTTATATAAAATTGATGAAAATTCACAGACCACAGACGAATCCGTCGCGGGATATTGTATCGCCATGGATCGAAACCGGCACCACCACAACAGGACGGGCCGTTTGCTCATCGTGTAATCGCAATCACAACGAGGGTAGTGATGTGAGTGATACTAGCGCCCCATTGATATCAAGAACTCCCAGTAGCATATGTCCGGCTTCTCCAACCCATCAGGACGTTATGCTAGATAATCCTGACTGGCTGGACGATGTTGACGGTCTTCCTGTCATATGTTGTGACGTCCAAATGCGAGTACAACAAATTATCGTAGAGCATAAGGTACTTGAAGCAGCAGTTATTAGTATTTTATCGCACTTTTCGCGAAAATTTCCCCGAAAATATAAGCCGGCGACACATTACAGCGTCCCACTCTCTAAAGTCCTTTAAAGCGACAGGCATCGTGATTGGTACAAATTTTTATTTACTTTTCCAGCTTAAGGAAGAAGCTCTAAGGAAAGAATTGCACACAACAAGGTTGGCACTAATCAAGCAAGTTTGCAATCACAACGTCGATACTGATCGTATCGACGACATTGTGAGTAGAACTTCTATATCTCTGATTCTCTCTCTCTCTCTCTCTCGCACAAATCTGCAGTGACATAACGAAAAATTTATGCATTTATCGATTCGCAGGGCTCATTACCGGATTCCGTGGGCAGCACTGGTGAACACGGAGAGTCACTACCGTCGGATATGTCCTGGGAAGCCGTAGAGGAGCTGAGTCCCGCGCCTACTCTTTGGGTACCCGATCACGCCGTGACCCGGTGCATGGGTTGTAACACGGAGTTTTGGCTCGGTAGACGTAAGCATCACTGCAGGTATGCATTTTGCACGGTGAAACCGTAATAGACTTGCTAGATTTGCTGCTAAAAGATGGGAAGGCACGCGATAATGCGTGCCTTCTAAAAAATAAATCTAAGCACAATCTTGCATTACGCGATTAGATGCTGTGGCAAGATTTTCTGCGCCGACTGCTCCGAGAACTCCACCCCTCTGCCTAGCGAGCAGCTCTACAATCCCGTGAGGGTGTGTAGTGACTGCTACACGCGGCTTCACCACCATCATCACACAAACTCGTGTCCTTGCAACGCTCGTCATCAGAATGCTAAAGCGGAGAACGAGATCGATCCTTCTGAGGTAACTCCACCGCCGCAACCGGTAACATATCAAAGGTCGAGAAAGCTGCCGCCCGCAGTAACGAAGGATACTTGCTGCGATAACTTGTTGCAAGCGACACATCAGAAAACGCAACCATCCGTCGCAGCGGCTACGGCAAATTGAGAAGAGGAGAGTTTGAAGAGCAGTGGGAGAGAAGAAAAGCCGAGGGAAGGCAATTCGTTGGGGATGGCGCGATTCCTTTCTCCATCGATTGCCGATCAGCATCACCTAACTCCGCGCGATGTGCATTGCATCGCCGGATTTATACATACTTTGTATCGAATATATACATAGCATGCGGACTAACGCGTCTAGAGTGTCCTAAGCGATTTAATATATTTATTGCTAGATTAATAATTTGTACGCGAACAAGAATATAATGGATACGCAGAAGAAAACGGTAGAGAGAGGAGGAGAGATAGAGAGAGAGAGAGAGAGAGAGCGAAGGAGAAAGATAGTATACGAGGTTGTATATACCCTAGGAGTAATCTCGAGCTAAAATTCCTGGCTTCTTCTGAGAGATAACTCTTCTGAGAGATTCAGGGAGATCTTTCAAGTTTACCCGTTTCTCTAAATATCTTCGCGCTTAGCACGATGAGAAAGGGTGGTGAGTGGCAAATTTTTAGATAGGCTGTGATCGACGTCTAACTTTGTTAGACGATTATACTACGGAGCGAAGTGCTAATTAATTGTCAATTTGATCACGACGAGAGCGATCGTTCGTTAATTAGCGGTCGAGCGAAACAAACGAGATCGTATTTCTTATATCACCGCCGTATGTACGAGAATTGGGATATTAAATGTCATTATCGCACGCGTCTGATATCGATCGGTTCACATCCAAAACCCATATTTCACCCTACATCGATCCCTTATCATTAGACCCCTATCTGTGACGAAAAAAAAAACGTTCGCCATTGTATTAGTAAATGTTATGCTTAAGTTAAGGAATTGGTTCGCACCAAATGTGTGTTATGTATTCCGTGTGCGCTCTGTTAATTTCATCATTTTTTAAAGTCTGATATCACATCTGAAATCTGCATCTTTCTGCATTGCATTCGTCTCGACTTGATTCTTTCGATCGTGGATATTTTACGAATAAATGTGTGGGCGACGTGTACTAAATTTTAAAAAGCTTTATTATAGATTCGAAAACATAAAAAAAGTAAGAACGAAGAGAAGCACAGTTTATCCTAATTTACAGGCCTAACCTTCCCGCTGTAATATTGTGAAGCGTCGTCGCGTTCTTCAGCATTTGCGTAGCATTCTTCAATATGTTGTCGAAACTACCCTTTGTGTCGTCCTCTTTTTGGAACTGGATCAATATTACGAGATACGTTGTGACTGCGCCAGCAATCTAGAAATATTTTTTGTAAATTTTTTTTCTACATTTCTAAAGTTTTGGCACGCGGAGAGAAGAGTCAAAATTTATTTACTGAAGTCACGAGAGTACGATCCAGAGTAAAGAGTCCGCACGCTGTGAATTCTAACGGGCGATGCAGAAGCTGAAGCGAAAAGATTTCTAGTTGTTTCGTACCTTCCTTATCAGGACTCACGGGCAGCAATTGGCTTATCAATTCTGCTGTTTTCTTTCCCTGAACATAGTCGTACAATTCACAAGATCGAAATATAAAATAATAAATTACTCAACGACAAAAATTATATTCAAATTCTACTTTCAAGAAATAGATAAAGATTTATTGTGATTTGTTATATTTCTGAGTTTTTTGAAATTTTGTTTTATTTTTGTCTCGGCAAATGAAAGAGGACTTTAATTCCAGATTTTGATCTTGATATACATATATTGTCATGATCGTGAGTGATGAAAAAGGCTTTAATTATCGCTAATTATCTGTTAAAAAATTATTAAATGAAGTGCAAATAGATATTGCATGTTAAATTATGATATTTAGATAGATGAATATAGAAACTCATATTTACGTATTTATTTTATAATAAATAATAAAATAGTGTATATATTTCAATCTTTAACATAATATAAAATGTATTGTGTTTAATAAGCGTGGACGTGTATAATATAAATAGAGTAAAATACTTACATTAAATTGTTTAATTAAATTTTTTATTATTAGTTCACGCTTGAATTTTACGTTGCATGGACTTTTATTTGTTAATTTTTATAAACAATAAGCGACGGTCAAAATCTTTTACTCAATCGTAATCTTGACAATATATGACAATGTCACGATGATCGAAACTGAATCTTCCTGTCACCATTGACCATGTAATAAAATTATTATGTATAAATGTATGTTAATTTATTAATTTAAATTTGATTATATTACCTGCATTGTAGTGGCATATGTGGGCTGCACGATCATGAGCAGTCTCCAAATGTGAAAGACGCACCACAATGCTTGTACCGCGAGGAATAGGGGGTCGCGCCTTCCGTCAGCTTCCATTATCAAAAAGTACGGCGTAATAATGAGATGTATTAAGCAGGTAACCGTAATTACAAGTAAAACGACGCCATAAGCGCTATTTATAAGCGAAATCGTGTCACATAAAGATGAGTGTACTGCCAACAGTCGGGATATTCTGTCCGTGAAGCTTCTATTATCTAAAAAAGGAATTTGCTACAGTTTTAATCATTACCGAAGAAATTTATCTTAAACTATATATTATTATTATATATAATTTTCGTTATTTTCTAATGCATTTAACATTTAATTTATCCTATTATTCAAATTGTAATGTAATTACTAACGTGATTAGTACTCGTAAATTTTTTATCAAATACTTCGTTAATACAAAGGCTACAACCGTACCATTTGCGACAGTGGAATCCATGATATTCGATTTACGAAACAGTCTGGTATTTCCCATCATTTCTTGTTGGATATACGTAATGAGTTGTCCTTGATCTCGCAGATCACCAGCTAAAGAATTTGAGGATCTCTTTAGAAGCGTTAATTTATAGATTTAGTAAAAAATGACTGATGATCATTACTATAACGATTAGAAAATATGAACCTAATCCAAGATCCTTCCTGAATTGATTCGTAATCTTGCTACTGTTTAGGATATTTTCAAGGCTCTTATTGATCCTAAAAAATCGCTGGCCCACGTTGTACACAAGAATGGCAAACTGGACCTCCATCATAATGATAACGATGTACATAAAGTACAGGGGAAGATAATTGAATGGACCCGTGGCGTCCGGCTTATTATTCAGCTTCACTTCGTACTTCCATGTATAGACATCGAGACAGGAAAGACTGATGGTGTAGGAGAGGCTGGCCAACGTCAGCAGGATGGTGACCCTTTGCAGCTTCTTCGGTGAGAGGATTCCCATCTCCTCGTCGCACTTGCAGTGCATAAACCCAGGAATTTGAATGCGATAGTCTCTCGATAAAGATAATTAGACGAAAGAAAAAAATGTACCTCAACCAGTTTATCGATGACAATCTGCACATGCTGCCAGTACAGAATAGAACCGATGATGGAGGCGGCTGTGAGACTCATCACACCCAACACGTCGCCCGAGGTGACGAGCACCGCGTTTTGCGACTTAAGTCGGGTGCTGCTTTCCCATCCATGTCTGAGATCGCGCCAGAAACCAAAGATCTCGCTGCCTAACAGGATCGCCAATAGAAGCAGACTGCGATACATTATTTTAATTATATTTTGCTTATTTAATATATTAAAGTTAGTCTAATAATTTCATATATTTTCATATTTAATTTCATTGTTAAATACTTTTCGTCTTTTAAACTTCTAAATATGGAAACTGTTTGTTACTGCCTTTTTAGGTAAAAATAGAGGATATCTTATATAGGAATCAATCTCTATATAAAATAAATATATAAACATATATATTTCATATGTTAAACTTTGATCTTTATCTACACGTGGTCGACAAGAATGTGAAACGATTTGATTGTCACCTGTAAATGCTATCGATGACGCTCAATCGCCCTTGATACCTGCCAGACACCTGTCGGACAAATCTCGTTGGAAATACACCGGTCAGTTTGCTGATGTGATAAATCGGAAATACTGCTTGGTATAAATCGCTGTTTATCGACTTGTTATTACTCGCCACGTTGTATTCGTCCACGTTTAAGGGTTTGTCTATATACACATTATTCCATCAGTTTGAATCGCCCATTCTCATACGATTATAACACACGTGTTACATCGCACAAATAAAGTACAGGAATTCTTTGCATGACATATATGTGATTGTTAAATTTTGTATATCATGTTCCGTAATTTTTGCGAACTCTCAATCAATTTTTTAAATATTTATTTTGTTTTACTTGTTATAAAAACAATTTAAAAGTGACATTTTAAATATATTTAAATGTTAAGAGAAATTTGGCGATTTCATGAATTTCAATGAATAATATATTAAATTGTTGATGGCAAAATTTCTTGTTTAAAGACGTGTTTTTCACCAGATACTTCAAACTCATTGAAATAAACGAAATCATTTAGTTTGAATAAGAATAAATATTTTTTTTTAAACATGTAATATGTATATCTTAAGATGTTTCTTTTCCTTAATATTAAAAAATACTTATTTTAAGTTTAAAGTAATTTTAATTATAGAGGAAGAAAGAAAGCAAAATATAAATATAAATATGAATGTCTTAACATTACATAAATTTTGAATTAAGCTCATGCTTCAGAATCATCAAGCGTTCTATAGTATTTGATCTCAATCTTCCTACTCTCACATGGGGGTAAACGTAAATGAATTTTGAATTTTATAGAACACAGACGTAAAATGAAGGTTTGTATTATCTTACTGTTTGTCATTTTATTCGCCGTTTGTTGTTTATCGAAATCGTTCCACCGCAGATGCATTTTTCTGGACATAAGGGCAGTTTCGTCAATGACGTTCGAAGGCGCACTCGTAAAATAATTCGCGAACACCATTGAACGGACACCTACGATTATATAACAATTATATTTATAATTTGACAAATCTACAACATTTTAGTATATTAAAATATAAAGTGCGTGTGTGTATGGTGTACCAAAAAATAAGAGAGTAATGTGCAGACGATGAAAATTTCACCCTTTTAAATTTGACAGGACGAAGAAACAAAGTCACGAGGAGATCTTTTGCAAAAATATCGTTGCTTCGGAATAGGCTTGATGAGAATCACCGCTAAAAGCATCGTCGATTGCTGAAAATCTAGTGTTGCGAGATTAATTGAGAATTCTTGTCGAGACGCGAATTACGTACGGAATGAAATGCGGCACAGTTCTATCAGTTGCATTCGCAACCCTATGCGCTTTATGCACCCGCTCCTCCATTCGTACTCGTCAGATTGTCGACGGATAATTATTGTTGACGGTCGCGAGAGATACTTATCCTTTGAAAAACATACCCTTATCTAACTCCTACGTGCGTACTCAAACACGCGACGAGATTTTGCACGTGTAAAGGTACACACCGTAGTCTATAAAAAAATAGGCTCCCCGGTCTCAAGTAGATCAGTGATTCCGCTGTTATACAAGGGTGCTCATTGAAAACAAGGGAAAGGCACAACAAGTCTCTTGCTTGTTTTTGTGATCGAATCACTGAAATAGAATAGGACACGAGTCTCAGCAATTATATATTATCTCTTCTATCGTGCCACGTATATATTATTAGGCAAATATTACTCAAGAATATTAAATGAAAGTTGCAGCGCATTGTTCTTCTTCGTTTTTGCATTCATTCTTTTAATACGTGCACGATACTTTTAATATTACTCGAGAATATTAAATGAAAGTTGCAGCGCATTGTTCTTCTTCGTTTTTGCATTCATTCTTTTAATACGTGCACGATACTTTTAATATTACATACATTGAAAAAAAATCATTGCACTTAACAAAATCTGCGGTCGAACACGTGCAAATGAATATCAATGCAATAAAAATTAAATATTGTGTTAAAAACAAAATATTTAGTTCTTAAAACATTGACATTGCAATTAAACAAAATATTTAATTCTTATTATTACATTGATATTTATTTGCACGTATTCGTGAAAATTATAAATATTTTAAATAAAATAATAAATATTGAAAATATAAAGTAGTTTACATTATATTATAAATATTATAATATTTATATTTTGCACACATTTTAAATAATTATATAAAATTATACTAACTTTCTCTAATTACCACGGCACGTCGAATACGTGGTTTATACAATAACGATCGCACTTGCAACGTTATAAACATAATTGCATATGTAGTACAAATGTATACACATGCACACATAACACATACGCACATACTATACATATTTTACAGATACCATTAAGTGTTATTTGATCGATACGACGAGTAATATCTGACTTTGTGTCAATCATTTGTCACGAACTACATCTGTAATCAGAATCGATTACGATTTTTACAATCTATTAGTTATATGGTGGCAAACACAATTTTCGTTGCTGTACATGTATTTTTAGTGTTTCTTGCATATTTTTCTTTAATTTAAAGATAAGTAGTCTAGAAATACATTTCTTGTATTTATTTTCTCTAGCAGTGCACACGTGTGATAATGTATACAACACATTAATAATTGTCATAAAATTGCTACTTTTATAAAAACAGTATAAAACTATAATTATCTTTCAAAAAAGAAATGTTCTTCATATGAAATATATAATAAAAAATTAAGATTGATCCATTATTTCACAAAAAACTGTGATTACTGTGATATTTAGACAAAAATATATAGTACTGTTAAAATTGTAATTAAGAGTGTCGCTTCTTAAAATGTAACACAGAAAGAATACTAAGAAGGTACCTGAAAGTATATTTGTCACAAGTCATCTGATATTATTTTGGATAGTTTGAAATAATTTGGAAAAATGTTAAATAATTTTGTTGTTCAGTGTTACACGTACTGCTTGTTGAATAGATAAAGACACGGGTAGAACTGAAGCTAGGTCGTCATCGTCGTTGAAGCAAGGAGAGTTATCGTAAAAAGAAAAGCTTTAGTGTGTCAATATTGTAACTTCGATCACTCTCGTATTTCCCGCACAATCGATCAAGCGCCGCGATAAAAGTCCGTAATTACACGAGGCTGTGAGATACAAAAGACTATATATAATGTATAATTTATTTCACAATTAGTATAAGTAAATAAGAAATTATTTTTTACATAAATTGTTTTGCGACATGTTTAAATGAATGCCTGTGACATAATTGCAGTTTTTATTTCATCTCTTTATTAAAAGTTTGAATAAAAAAATTATTAGAACATTTACTTCTTTATTCAGATATTTACTTTAGATTTAAATTTAAATAAAAATGTGGGTGAATAATAATTGAGATTCTATTCTTTCTTAATTGATTTTAATCTTTACTTTAATTTTAACTCGACATTCTCGTTAATATATTAATCGAAAGGACTTTATATGCAGAAAAAAACGATATTAATTTGAAAAAATATATGTTAAACAAAATTTGGATGCAGATTTTCAATTTTCAATAATTATTTTTAAATATTTCTATAAAAGGCAAAATAAATTTATATATAAGAATCATCGTTTTGTTAAAATAATATAATACCTATTATTTTAATTATATAATTTTTAAATTAATTCTTCCTTGCAAAAATATTACGAAGGAATTGTGTTTATGTTCTTTGCATACATAATTGCGTTGGAAGCGCGATAGAAAAATATATGTATAAGGAACTCTGGAGATGAAATTGATCGTAGAAAATTGTTCTGTTTGTTATACGTGGTGAAAGTGAATGAATAATGAATGGCAATATATTTTATGTCGTTTAATATTTTGAAGGAAATTAGGTCATTGTCATTCTCTATGATTTTTATCTACTTTTCATGCATCTTCACATTTTTTAGTTGTTTTTTAAAATTATTATTTATAATATATATAGATTGTTTATAGTCATTATATTTATATTTAAACTATTCTCAAATATTTAATCTATATCTAAACAATAGCATTAAATGCAATTTTAATAATAATATACGTAGTTATGTACTAATTTTGTCTTTACATATTACAATTACAAAATATTAAATTATGTTTATATGTGTGTGTGTGTGTGTGTGTGTGTGTGTGTGTGTGTGTGTGTGTGTGTGTGTGTGTGTGTGTGTGAGCGTGCCATAATTAACAAATATTTTTATTAAAATTATATTATACTTTTTATATTTTTTATAAAAATAACACAATACATATTTATTCCTTCTCTAGTACTATGTATATTAGAAGCTACTCACGCATCCACTTTTTGAAAACTTATACACAGGGCAAGTAGGTACGTAAAAAACAAATTTATAAAACTTTAGTCCACGATCACGATGACAGTGATCATTCGTTAATTAGCGATCGAGCGAAACAAACGAGATCGTATTTCTTATATCACCGTTGTATATATGAGAATTAGGATATTAAATGTTATTATCGCATGCATCTGATATCGATCGGTTCACATCCAAGACCCATATTTTATCCTACATTGATCCCTCCCTTATCATTAGACACATATCTATAACGATAAAACGTTCACACAACATTGTATTAAAATGTTAGGCTTAAGTTAAAGAATTTGTTCGCACAAAACGTATACCTATTAATTATGAATTTCGTGTGCGCTGTGTAGATTTTATCATTTTTTTAAAACTCTGATATATCACATTTGAAATCTGCATCTTTCTGCATTGCATTCATCTCGATTTGACTCTTTCGATCGTGGACATTTTTCAAATAAATATGTGGGCAACTAAATTTTTCAAATAAATATGTGGGTATACTAAATTTTAAAAAGCTTTATTATAGATTCGAAAACATAAAAAAAATTGAGATCAGTGGAAGAGAAGCACAGTTTGTCCTAATTTATAGACCTAACCTTCCCGCTGTAATATTGTGAAGAGTCGTCACGTTCTTCAACATTTGCGTAGCATTCTTCAATATGTTGTCGAAACTGCCCTTTGTGTCGTCAGCTTGTTGAAACTGCATCAGTATTACGAGATACGTTGTGACTGCGCCAGCAATCTAGAAATACATTTTGTAAATCTTTTTTCTGCATTTTTAAAGTTTTGGCACGCAGGAGAGGAAAGTCAAAATTTATTTACCGAAGTTACTAGACTACGATCTAGGGTAAAGAGTCCGCACGCTGAAAATTCTAATGGGCGGTGCAGAAGCTGAAGTGAAAAGATTTCTAGTTGTTTCGTGCCTTCCCTATCATGATTCGCTGACAGCAATTGGCTTACCAATACTGCTGTTTTCTTTCCCTGAAAATAGTCGTACAATTCGCAAGATCGAAATATAAAATAATAAATTACTCAACGACAAAAAATATATTCAAATTTTACTTTCAAGAAATAGGTAAAGATTTATTGTGATTTGTTATATTTCTGAGTTTTTTGAAATTTTGAATGTTTCATCACCTATCGAACAAAATGCGCGCTTTCACGATTTGAATTGAATACGGTTGCTTTTCAGAACATTAAATCCATCTATCGCCAAAAACTGCACAGTCTTATTAGCCAACCCAATATATGTTCATTCATTAATTTAAATTTGACAATATACCAAATATTACCTGCATTGTAGTGGCATATGTGGGCTGCACGACCACGAGCAGCTTCCAAGTGTGAAAGACGCACCACAATCCTTGTACTGCGAAGAATAAAGGTTCGCACCATCTGTCACCTTCTATTATTAAAAAGGACGGCGTAATGACTAGATGTGTTACACAGGTAATTGTAATTAAGAGTATAACGACGCCATAAGCGTTATTTATATGCGAGATTGTGTCACATAGAGATGAGTGTACTGCCAACAGTCGGGATATTTTGTCCATGAAACTTCTATTATCTGAAAATGGCTACAATTTTAATCATTACCGAAACTATTTATCTTAAACTATATTATTATACATATATAATTTTTGTTATTTTCCAATACATTTATAGCATTTAATTTTATCCGACTATATGAATATTATATTTTAATTATAATTGTAAAATTTTCATCAAATACTTTGTTAATACGAAAGCTAAAATCGTACCATTTGCGCCAGTGGAATCCATGATCTTCGATTTACGAAACAGTCGAGTATTTCCCATCATTTTTTGTTGGACATACGTAATGAGTTGTCCTTGATCTCGCAGGTCACCGGCTAAGAAATTTGAGAGTCTTTTTAGAAATGTTTATTTAAAAATTAGTTAAAAATAACTGATGATCATTACTATAACAATTAGAAAATATGCACCTAATCCAAGATCCTTCCTGAATTGATTCGTAATCTTGCTACTTTTAAGGATGTATTCGAGGCTCGTGTTGATCCTGAAGAATCGATGACCCACGTTGTACACGATGATGGCGTATTGGAGCTCCATCATAACGATAACGATGTACATAAAGTACAGGGGAAGATAATTGAGTGGACCCATGTTGTCCTGCTTTTTATGCCGTCTCACTTCGTATATCCATGTGTAGAAATCGAGACAGGAAAGAATGATAGTATAGGAGAGGCAGACCAACGTCAGTATGATGGTGACTCTCTGCAGCTTCTTCGGCGATACGATTTTCATCTTCTCGTCGCACTTGAAGCAAATGAACCGAGGAATTTGAATGCGATAGTCTCTCTTTAAAGGCAATTAGACAAAAGAAAAGAATTTACCTCAACCAGTTTATCGATGACAATCTGCACGTGCTGCCAGCACAGAATTGAACCGATGATGGAGGCGGCTGTGAGACTCGACACACCCAACAGGTCGATCAAGGTGGTAATCACTGTGTTCTTCGTCTTAAGTCGGGTGCTGTGTTCCGAGCCACATCGGAGATCGCGCCAAAACCCCCAAATCTCGGTGCCTATCAGGATTGCCAATAGGAGCAGACTGCAATACATTAATTTAATTATATTTTGCTTATTTAATATATTAAAGTTAATATAATGATTTTTTATATTTTCATATTTAATATCATTGCTAAATATTTCTTTTCTTTTAAACTTCTAAATATAGAAAAGTATTCGTTATACTGCCTCTTTGAGGTAAAAATAGGATGTCTTACATAGGAATCAATTTCTATATCAGTTAAATATATATGTATATTTTTTAAATGTGAAATGATTTGATTGTCACCTGTAAATGCTATCGACGATGCTCAATCGTCCTTGATACCTGCCAGACATCTGTCGCACAAATCTCATTGGAAATACTCCGGTCAGTTTGCTGATGTGATAGATCGGAAACACCGCTTGGTATAAATCGCTGTTTATCGACTTGTTATTACTCGCCACGTTGGGATTTGCCACGTCGTATTCATCCACGTTTGAGGGTTTTTCTTCGAACAAATAAAGTACAGGAATTCTTTGCATGATATATGTCATATATGATTATTAAATTTTGTGTATCATGTTCCATAATTTTTACTAATTCTCATAATCGCATCATTTATCAATTTTTTTAAATACTGGACAATAAACGTGCACTTCGCATGCTCCTTTGATAACATTTTTATTGCTTATTTTACAACTGTCAAATTATTAATATTCACAATGACAGTTACTTGATGCTATGACCATAATTTTAATTTGCCGAATTTTTTCGTACATAATGTTAATTCCCGCGTGCAAATCTCTATTATGTACATATTATTTAAATTACTGAAATTCTATTATGTACATAATTTTAAATCACCGAATTTTTATTATATACATAATTTTAATTCCCGAATTACCATTATATGCATATAATCTTAATTTATTGAATTTCTATTATGTACATAGTTCTAATTTGCCGATTTTCTGATGTATTGTTTGAGAACTATTTTGTATATATATATGTCTCTTTATATATTTTTTCCTATTTTGTTTAATTTAATGTTTAATTGAATATAATTACATCCGCGAAGCGCGCAGCGTGATAGATGTAGGGGGAAAGTATATTATTCTTTGGTAATAAAAACTTAAAAATGGCAACGCATGTATAAAATTATTATTGCAATGCATGCATAAAAATATATTTATTTATTTCGTGATTCCAATAAATTCATTATACCTATACACTTTTAACTGAAAACAAAAAATATTATTTACTACAAGAATCTTCCGATCAGATTATCTTCGCTTCCATTCCAACATCTAATTTCACAATCAGTAATGAATCAGTCCCAATGAAAGCAACTCTCTCTTTCTATCCTTTTCAGATTAATACATCCCCTACATCTATCACGCTGCGCGCTTCGCGCGGAACTGATTCTCGTGCGAGGTATTGCGAGCGCGGGACCGTTGGTCACATGACTAGTGGTCACATGACCAGTGGGTCTAGTGGTCACGTGACCTCGGTTTCGCACTCGCGATATCTCGCACGAAAATCAGTTTCGCGCGAGCCGCGCAGCGTAATGGATGAGTAGGGTGTTGAAGCTCGCGCGAGTTTAATGAAAGCGTAGATTTGATCACAAAAGATTCGAAAATTTTATTTCTACGTTCGTATTTTTTGTTAAAGATTTAAATATTGAATTTTTATGCGTTGCATAATTAATCAATATATTATTTATGTATCGATTGAAATAATAATTTATGCATGCCTGCGTCGCAATTTATGAGATTTTATTTACAAAGAATAATATATATTTGCCTTGCGTGCATAATTATAATCAGTTAGATTAAACAAAATGATATATATATATGCTACATAAATTTAGTATTTAAAAGCAGATTTGGTAGTATCTTAGGAAGTTACAAGTAAAAGTAATTGTGTCGACTTATAAATCAAACTCAGTTTTGTTATCAAAGTTTAATTATAATAGCAAATTATTGTTAGTATAGTAAATTGATGGCAGAATACTAATACAAATTTGAGAAATACAATTCAATAATCTTTATTAACAAATAACGCAGGTATAAATGATGCTACACTATATTATATTAAACAGTTATATTTTAATTTTATATTTTATTATATTTTTTATATTTTTATATTTTTATATTTTAATTTTAATTCTCGAATATCTTTTACAAACTTGATTTTAATTTGCCGAGTTTTAATTATGTATATAATTTTTTAATTATGTACTAGACAACACAAATTTTATAATCAAAAACGTAAAAAGAAGACTTGTATTATCTTACTGTTTTTCATTGTATTTGCCATTCGTTGTTTATCGAAATCGTTCCATCGCGCATGCATTTTTCTGGACATGAGGGAAGTTTCATCAAAGTCGTTCGAAAGCGCACTCGTAAAATAATTTGTGGGCTACATTAAACGGACTCCTACAATCATATATGTAGAAATTATATTTACAATTTGACAAATTTTCATAACATTTCGTACACTCAAATATAAAGTGCGTGTGTGAATGGTGTACAAAGAATGAGAAAGTAATGTGCGGACGATGTAAACTTCACCTTTTTATATTTGACGGGACGAACAAATAAAATCACGAAATCTTTTGCAAAAATATTCCTTCGGAGACAGACTTGACGAGAATCACCGTCAATGGCATCGTCGATTTCTGAAGATCGAGCGTTGCGAGATTTATTGAGAATTTATGTTGAGGCGCGAATTACGGAGCGAAATGCGACACAATTCTATCAACTGCATTCGCAACACCATGCGCTTTATGCACCAGCTCCTTCCATTCGTACTCGTCACTCGTCAGATTGTCAACGGAGAATTAATGTTCACGATTGTGAGAGATACTTATCCTTTGAAAAATATACGCACTTATCTACCTCCTACGTGCGTATTCGAACATGCGATGAGATTTTGCAAGTGTAAAAGTACATACCGGAGTCTATAAAAAGAAATAGGCTCCCCGATAACAATAAGTAGATCAGTGATTCCACTCGTATATAAGGGTACTCATTGAAAACATAGGAAAGACCCGACATGTCTTTTTCTTATTCACAAGTGATCGAATCAATGATATAGAATAGAGGACGAGTTTCAGCAGTTATATATGCATATTATCTCTTCTATCGTGCAACGTATATATTATTAGGCAAATATTAGTCAAGAATATTAAATGTAAAGCCGCAGCAAATTGTTATTTTTTATTTTCGCAATTTATTCTTATAACACGTGCACAATACTTTTGATATTATATGTACAAAAAGTATATCTAAATGTTTCGCCTAAAATTAACTCAAAAGAAATATTGCAGTGCTTTCTAATTGTGCTATTTTTTACCATTTTCTATAAATCATTGCAAGATACGTAAAAATATGTAATTACGTGTATATTTGCACATACACACATGCACACATGTATATAAAAGCAAATAACTTATATATTTACGTATATATATAAACTATAAACAAAATAATTTACTTGATATTATAAATATTTGAAATATTTATATCTTTCACACATTCTAAATAATTATATAAAATTATATACTAATGTTTATTCTAATTATTACTGCACGTCGTATACAACGTGGTTTACACGATTGCATTTGCAATATTATAAACAATTGTATGTAGTGCAAATGTGTACATAATATACACATACACATATATATTTTACAGACACACCATTAATATTGTCATTTGATTGTTACGACGATATCTGACTTTGTGTCAACCATTTATCACGATTTACATCTGTAATCAGAATTGATTACGATTTTTGCAATCTATTAGTTATATCCTGGCAAACACAATTTTCGTCACTGTATTTTTAGCGGTTCTTCATATTTTCTTTAATTTAAAGATATGCAATCGAAATTTCTTTTATATTTATTTTCTCTAGCCGCGCACACGTGTGATAATGTATACTACACATTAATAATTTTCATAAAATTGTTATTTATATATAAAGACAGTATAAATATAAAATTATCTTTCAAAAGAAAAGTTCTCCATATGAAATATAATAAGAAATTAAAATCGGTCATCATTTCACACAAAAAACTGTGATTATTGTGATATTTAGACAGAAATATATAGTCTTGTTAAATAATTAAGATTGTCGCTTCTTAAAAAGTAACACAGAAAGAATACTTACAATTAGATTGTACCTGAAAGTATACTTGTCACAAGTTCATTGGATATTATATTTGAAAGTATGAAACAATTTTAAAAAATGTTAAATGATTTTGTTGTTCAGTGTTACACGTACTCCTTGTTGAATTAGAGGACACGGGTAGGACTGAAGCTATGTCATCATCGTCGTTGACGCAAAAAGAGCTATCGTGAAGAAAATCTTTTGTGTAAATATTAAAGTGTAACTTCGATCACTTCCATATTTCCCGCACAATCGATCAAGCGCCGCGATAAATGTCCGTAATTACACGATGCTGTGAGATACAAAAGACTATATATATATATATATATATATATATATATATGTTCTTTATTTCAGGATAAGTGTAAATACGAATATTTAATTATGGCATAAATCGTTTCACGAAATGTTTAATATAATACCTTTGACATAATTGCACAATTTTCATTTTACCTTTTTATTTAATGTTTGAATAATAAAATTATAAGAACATTTACTTATTTATTCAGATATTTATGTTAGATTGAAATTTAAATAATTTAAAAAATGTGTGTGAATATTATTGAGATTCTATTCCTTCTTAATTGATCTTAATAATTTCACATTCTCGTCAACATATATTGACCGACAAAATTTAATATGATAAAAAAACGATTAATTTGGAAAAAGTATATGTTAAAAAAATTTAGATGCAGATATTCAATTTTTATTAATTATTTTAAAATATTTGTATAGAAGACAAAATAAATTTATATAGCATCATCGTTTTGTTAAAATAATACAACACCTATTGTTTTAATCATAATTTTAAATTAATTTTTCCTTGCAAAATAATTACGAAAGAATTGTGTTTATGTTTTTGCATACATAATTGCGTTTGAAGCGCGATAGAAAAATATATGTAAAGAACTCTGGAGATAAAATTGATCGTAGAAAATTGTTCTGTTTGTTATATGTAGTGAAAATGAATGAATAATGAATGGTAATATATTGTATTTTGTTTAATATTTTAAAGGAAATTAAATCATTGTCATCCTTTATGACTTTTATCTACTGTTTCATAAATCGTGATATTTTTTAGTTATTTTTCAAAATTATTATTAATGATATTTATTGATTGTTCATAATTATTATATTTATATTTAATCTAAAATTTCTTCAAACAATAGCATTAAATGCAATTTTAATAAAAACATACGTAGTTATGCACTAATTTTGTCTTTATATATTACAATTACAAAATATTAAATTGTTATATGTGTATGTGTCACAGCACACCGTAGTTAATAAATATTTTTATTAAAATCATATTACACTATTTTTTTATGTAAATAACACACAATACAATTTGGAATTTCATTTCTAATACTATGTACATTAGAAGCTACACAACATCCACTTTTTGAAAAAATATAAGTAGGACAAGTAGGTATGTATAAAACAAATTTATAAAACTCTAGTCCACGATCACGACGACAGTGATCTTTTGTTAATTAGCGATCGAGATTAGCGCTCAAACGAAACAATTGAGATTGTGTTTTACTTACATCACCGCTATATGTACGAGTATTGACATATTAAAAGTCATTATTACATGCGTCTGATATCAATGGGTTCATATTCAAGACTCATATTTTATTATACATTGATCCCTCCCTTATCATTAGATCTCTATATCTGTGACATAAAAACGTTCGCCATTGTATTAATAAAATTAGGCTTACATTAAGGGATTGTTTCGTACAAAACGTGTACCTATTATGTATTCCGTGTGCGCAGTGTTGATTTCATTCTTTTTTTAAATCTGATATCACATTTGCACTCTGCATCTTTCTGCAATGCATTTGTCTCGACTTGAATCTTTCGATCGTAAATATTGTACGAATAAATGTATGGGCGACGTATACTAATAAATTTTAAAAAGCTTTATTATAGATTCCAAAACACAAAAATATAGATCAGTGGAAGAGAAACACAGTTGATACTAATTTATAGACCTAACTTTCCCGCTGTAAAATTGTGCCGCGTAGTCGCGTTCTTCAGGATTAACGTAGCATTCTTCAATATGTTGTCAAAACTGATCTTTGTGTCGTCCTCTTTTTGGAACTGGATCAGTATTACAAGATACGTTGTGACTGCGCCAGCAATCTAGAAATATTTTCTTGTAAATTTTTTCTGCGCATTTCTAACGTTTAGGCATGCAGGAGAGGAGAGTCAAAATTTATTTACCGAAGTCACTAGACTACGATCCAGGGTAAAGAGTCCGCACGCTGAAAATTCTAACGGGCGGTGCAGAAGCTGAAGCGAAAAGATTTCTAGTTGTTTCGTGCCTTCCCTATCATAACTCGCTGACAGCAATTGGCTTACCAATACTGCTGTTTTCTTTCCCTGAAAATAGTCGTACAATTCACGAGATCGAAATATAAAATAATAAATTACGCAATGACCAAAAATATGTTCAAATTTTACTTTCAAGAAATATAGGTAAAGATTTATTGTGATTTTTTATATCTCTAAGTTTTTTGTTTATTTTTATCTCAATAAATGAAAGAAGAATTTAATTCCAGATTTTGATCTAGATATATATTGATTTAGATTTTACAATATAATATATTACCTGCATTGTAGTGGCATATGTGGGCTGCACAATCATGAGCAGCTTCAAAGTGTGAAAGACGCACCAGAGTGCTTCCACCGTGAAAAATAAAGGTTCGCGCGTTCTGCCAGGATCTAATATCAAAAAGGATGGCGCAATGACTAGATGTGTTACGCAGGTAATCGTAATTAGTAGTATAAAGACCCCATAAGCGATATTTATATGCGAGATTGTGTCACATAGAGATGAGTGTACTGCCAACAGTCGGGATATCTTGTCCATGAAACTTCTATTATCTGAAAATGGCTACAGTTTTAATCATTACCGAAAACATTTATTTTAAACTATATATTATTATACATATATAATTTTTGTTATTTTCTAATACATTTATAGCACTTAATTTTATCCTACTACATGAATATTATAATTTAATTACGAATGTACTTGTAAGATTTTCATCAAATACTTTGTTAATACGAAAGCTAAAATCGTACCATTTGCGCCAGTGGAATCCATGATCTTCGATTTACGAAACAGTCGAGTATTTCCCATTATTTCTTGTTGGACATACGTAATGAGTTGTCCTTGATCTCGCAGGTCACCGGCTAAGAAATTTGAGAGTCTCTTTAGAAGTGTTAATTTTAAAATTAAGTAAAAATAACTGATAATTATTACTATAACGATTAACAAATATGCACCTAATCCAAGATCTTTCTTGAATTGATTTGTAATCTTGCTACTTTTTAAGATGTTTTCGAGACTTTTGTTGAGCCTGAAGAATCGCTGGCCCACGTTGTACATGATGATGGCAAATTGCAGCTCCATCATAACGTTGACGATGTACATAAAATACAGGGGAAGATGTTTGAGTGGGCCTACGTCATACAGCTTTTTATTCTGCTGTATTTCGTATTTCCACAATGTATAGACATCGAGACCGGAAAGAATGATGGTATAGGAGAGACTGACCAACGTCAATATGATGGTGACCCTCTGTAGCTTCTTCGGCGATACGATTCCCATCTTCTCATCGCACTTGAAGCAAATGAATCGAGCAATTTGAATGCTATAGTCTCTCTTTAAAGGCAATTAGACGAAAAAAAAATTTACCTCAACCAATTTATCGATGACAGTCCGCACGTGCTGCCAGTACAGAATTGAACCGATGATGGAGGCGGCTGTGAGACTCATTACACCAAACAAGTCGATTGAGGTAGTCATCACTGTGTTCCTCGACTTAAGTCGGATGCTGTTTTCCCATCCACATCTGATTTCGAGCCAGAAAGCGTAGATCTCGGTGCCTATTAGGAATGCCAATAGGAGCAGACTGCAATACATTATTTTAATTACATTTTGCTTATTTAATATATTAAAGTTAGTCTAATAAATTTATAATTTTCAATTTTAATATTATTACTAAATGCTTCTTATTATTTAAACTTTTACACAGAGAGAATTTTCTCTTGGAATTTACTTTGAAAATCATGGGACTCGTAAGACAATAATTTTATATTGATATTGAAATAATTTTATAAGAGTTTCTCTAATTAATATTTACAATAAAAAATATCTACAATAAAAATATAAATATTTACCACAATGAGATTTTTCCAATATCATATTATCCCACGATCACCATGATTTTTAAAGTAAATTATAAGAGAAAATTCTCCGCGTAAATATAGAAAACTATTTGTTATTGCCTTACATCTTTGAGGTAAAAATAAGATCTTTTATATAACAATATATATATATATATACATTTATATTTTAAATGATCTTTAACTACACGTGGTCGACAAGAATATGAAACGATTTGATTGTCACCTGTAAATGCTATCGACGATGCTCAATCGCCCTTGATACCTGCCAGATACCAGTCGTACAAATCTCGTTGGAAATACACCGGTCAGTTTGCTGATGTGATAGATCGGGAACACCGCTTGGTATAAATCGCTGTTTATCGACTTGTTATTACTCGGCACGTTGGCATTTGCCATGTCGTATTCGTCCACGTTAGAGGGTCTGTCTACATACACATTATTCCATCGATTTGAATCGCCTATTCTCATGATTATAAGACAGTGTTACATCGGACAAATAAGGTACATTAATTCTTCGCATAATATATGTGATTTTTACATTTTGTGTATTATGTTCCTCAATTTTTACTAACTTTTATAATCGTGCATCACTTATCAATTTTTTAAAATATTTATTTCTTTGTTTTACTTGTCATAAAACTATGTATTTAAATGTTAAGAGAAATTTGACATTTTATCAATTTCAATGATTTTACAACATATTAAATAATTGTTGATGGCAAAATTTTTTGTTTAAATCTTGATCAGATACTTTAAAATCATTGAAATGAACGCTGCCATTTAGTTTGTAAAGATAAATATTTTTTTAGAATATATATGTAATTTGTATATCTTTTTATGTTTTCTTTTTTTAATAATGTACTTATTTTAAGTTTAAAATAATTCTAATTATAGAGGAAGAAGAAAATAAAAAATATAAATGTTATAAATATTTTCTAATCGAAACTTTCCGATCGGATATTTTTATTTTTGATCGGTTATCTTGGCCTTTATCGGTTTTCTTTAATTAAATCGATCGGATAATATCCGTTTGTTAATTTTTGAACGGATCTTTTTTCTCAGTGTGACAAAATTTTGAATTAATATCGTGCTTCAGAAAGAGAAACATTAAGTTCAATAGTACTAAATCTCATTCTTTTTCTCAAACATGGGAATAAACATAAATGAATTTTGAATTTTATAATCAAAGACGTAAAATGAAAGCTTGTATTATCTTACTGTTTGTCCTCTTATTCGCCATTTGTGGTTTATGGAAATCCTTCCATTGCGCATGCATTTTTCTGGACATGAAGGAAGTTTCGTCGAAAGCGTTCGAAGGCGCATTCGTAAGACAATTCGCGAGCTACATTGAACGGACTTCTACGATCATATATGTAACAATTATATTTACAATTTGAGATATTTTTATAACATCTCGTATACTAGAATATAAAGTGCGTGTGTGTATGGTGTACAAAAATAAGAAAGTAATGTGCGGACGATGTAAATTTCACCTTGTTATATTTGATGGGACGGAGAAACAAAGTCACGAGACCTTTTGCAAAAATGTTTCTTCGGGACAGACTTGACGAGAATTACCGTCAATAGCATCGTTGATTGCTGAAGATGAAGTGTTCCGAGATTTATTGAGAATTCATGTCGAGGCGCGAATTACGGAGCGAAATGCGGCACAGTTCTGTCAGTTGTATTCGCAACCACATGCGCTTTATGCACTAGTTCCTCCCATTCGTACTCGTCAGATTGTCGACGAAGAATTAATGTTCACGATCATGAGATATATCCATCCTTTAACATACGCACTTATCTATCTCCTACGTGCGTATTCGAACATGCGACGAGATTTTGCACGTGTAAAGGTACATACCGTAGTCTATAAAAAAAATAGGCTCCCCGATAACAATAAGTAGATCAGTAATTCCGCTCGTATATAAGGGTGCTCAATGAAAACAAGGGAAAGAACCGACATGTTTTTTCCTTGTTTTCCACGAGTGATTGAATCAATGGAGTAGAATAGGGCACGAGTTTCAGCAGTTATATATGTATATTATCTCTTCTATCGTGCAACGTATATATTATTAAACAAATATTTGTCAAGAATATTAAATGAAAGGCGTAGCGCATTGTTCTTTTTCATTTCCACATTAATTCCTATAACACGTGCACGATACTTTTGATATTATATATACAAAAAATATATTCAAATGTATCGTCTAAAATTAAATCATACGAAATAATCCAGTGCTTTCTAATTGTGCTATTTTTTATCATTTTCTATAAATTATTGCAAGCTACGTAAAAATATATATTACGTATATATGTGCCCATACATACATGCACGCATATATACAAGCAAATAAAATATATATATATATATATATATATATATATATATATACACGAAAACTACAAATTAAATAATTTACTTGATATTATAAATATTTGAAATATTTATATTTTTCACACATATTCTACATAATTATATAAAATTATACCAACGTTTGCTCTAATTACTACTTCACGTCGTACACAACGTGGTTTACACGATTGCATTTGCAACATTATAAACAATTGCATATGTAGTGCAAATGTGTACATATACACACATAATACACATACACATGCATATTTTACATACACTATTAATAGTGTTATTTGATCGATACGACGAGTAATATTGTGTCAATCATTTGTCACGATCTACATCTGTAATCAGAATCGACTACGATCCTGCACGAAAAAAATACATGAATACGAAAAATTTACTGATATAATAATATTTCTTCAAAAATACATTATTCGTATGCCAATAATTGTTTTGTATTCTTGTAGTTTTTGTTCGTATGGGATTCTTGCAATTAATTATATGCTGACAAACCCAATTTTTGTTCGTGTATTTTTAGCGTTTTTTTATATTGTTCTATAATTTGAAAATTTGCGAAATTTTGGTACCAATTTCGTGAAAAAATTTATTCAAATAATAGCATTAATGCAATTTTAATAATAACATACGTAGTTACGCAATAATTTTATCTTTATATATTACAATTACAAAATATTAAATTGTTTATATGTGTGTGTGTGTGTGTGTGTGTGTGTGTGTGTGTGTGTGTGTGTGTGTGTGTGTGTGTGTGAGCTTACGTAGTTAAAAAATATTTTTATTAAAATCATATTAAACTATTTTTTTTATATAAATAACACACAATACATTTTAGACTTTTTTTTCTAGTACTATGTAAATTAGAAGCTACACAACCTCCACTTTTTGAAAAAATATAAGTAGGTCAAGTAGGTACGTAAAATACAAATTTATAAAACTCTAGTCCACGATCACGACGACAGTGATCGTTTGTTAATTTGTTTTAGTTTGTTAATTAACGATCGAGATTAGCGGTCGAGAGAAACAATTGAAATTGTATTACTTATATCACCGCTATATGTACGAGTATTGGAATATTAAATGTCATTATCACATGCGTTTGATATCATTAAGTTCATATACAAGACTCATATTTTACCTTACATTAATCCCTCCCTTATCATTAGACACCTATCTGTGACGAAAAAAAAACGTTTGCCATTGTATTAATAAATGTTAGGCTTATATTAGGGATTGGTTTGCACAAAACGTGCATCTATTATGTATTTCGAGTGCCTGTGCTAATTTCATCTTTTTTTAAAATTCTGATATCATATTTAAAATTTGCATCTTTCTGCAATGCATTTGTCTCGACTTGATTCTTTCGATCGTGGATATTGTACGAATAAATGTGTGAGCGACGTATACTAAATTTTAAAAAGTCTTATTATAGATTCGAAAACATAAGAAATAGAAATCAGTGGAAAAAAACCATAGTTGATACTAATTTATAGACCTAACTTTCCCGCTGTAAAATTATGAAACGTAGTTGCGTTCTTTAGGATTTGCATAGCATTCTTCACTATATTGTCGAAACCGAGCTTTTTGTCGTCCTCGTTTTGGAACTGGACCATTAATACGAGATACGTTGTGACTGCGCCAACAATCTGGAAATATTTTTTTGTAAATATTTTTTCTGCATTTCTAACGTTTGGTACGCAGGAGAGGAGAGTCAAAATTTATTTACCGAAGTGATGAGAGTACGATCCAGGGTGAAAAGTCCGCACACTGAAAATATTACCGGGCGGTGCAGAAGCTGAAGCGAAAATATTTCTAATTTTCTCGTGCCTTCCCTGTCATGACTCTCTGACAGCAACTGGCTTACCAATACCGCTGTTTTCTTTCCCTGAAAATAGTCGTACAATTCACGAGATCGAAATATAAAATAATAAATTACGCAATTACCAAAAATATGTCCAAATTTTACTTTCAAGAAATAGGTAAAGATTTATTGTGATTTTTTATATCTCTAAGTTTTTTGTTTATTTTTATCTGGGTAAATGAAAGAATAATTTAATACCAAATTTTGATCTTGATATGTATTGTCATATAAGTGATGAAAGAGCTTTTAAACGTCGCTAATGCATGTTAAATTTTGATAATCAAATTAGAAGAAAAACTCTTTCACTCACGTACTTATTTTATAATAAATAATAAAATTCAGGTATATATTTCAATTCTTAACATATAAAATGTACGTGTTTAATAACTGTGATTGTGTGTATTATGAACAGAGTAAAATACTTTTATGAAATAGTTTAATTGTCAAAATAGTTTAATTGTGAAAAAGTTTTTATTGTCAGTCTACGCTTAAATATTACGTTGCATGGATTTTTATTGCTTAATAGTTTTTATAAATGAGCGACTGTTAAAATCTTTTACATATAATTGTAATAATCTTGATAGTATTTGACGATGTCATGGTGATCGAAACTGAATCTTGCTCTATCATCATTTACCTTGTAGCAAAATTATTATGTACATATGTCTGTTAATTTATTAGTTTAAATTTTATAATATTACCTGCATTGTAGTGGCATATGTAGGCTGCACAACCCCGAGCAGCTTCGAAGTGTGGAAGACGCACCAGAGTGTTTCCACCGTGAAGAATAAAGGTTCGCGCATTCTATCAGGTTCTAATATCAAAAAGGACGGCGCGATGACTAGATGTGTTATGCAGGCAAGCGTAATTATGAGTATAACAACGCCATAGGCGTCATTTATGAGCGAGATCGTGTCACATAGAGATGAGTGTACTGCCAACAGCCTGGATATTTTGTCCATGAAACTTCCATTATCTAAATACGAAATTTGCTACAGATTAAATCTTTACTCTAAAAATTTATTATAAACTATATATTATTATATATAATTTTTATTTTCTAATATACTTAGCATATAATTCTACCCGACAATATTAATATTATATTTTAATTATAAATGTACTTGTAAAATTTTCATCAAGTACATACTTTGTTAATACGAAAGCTAAAATCGTACCATTTGCGCCAGTGGAATCCATGATCTTCGATTTACGAAACAGTTGAGTATTTCCCATCATTTCTTGTTGAATATACGTAATGAGATGTTCTTGATCTCGTATATCACCAGCTATGAAATTTGAGAGTCTTTTTAGAAATGTTTATTTAAAAATTAGTTAAAAATAACTGATGATCATTACTATAACAATTAGAAAATATGCACCTAATCCAACATCTTTCATAAATTGATTTGTAATCTTGCTACTTTGTAGGATGTTTTCGAGATTTTTATTGAGCCTGAAGAACCTCTGGCCCACGTTGTACACGATGATGGCGAATTGGAGCTGCATCATAACGTGGATGATGTACATTAAGTACAGGGGAAGATGTTTGATTGGGCCCACATCATACAGCTCTTTATTCTGTTTTATTTCGTACTTCCATAATGCGTAGATATCAAGAGAGGAAGCAATGATGGTATAGGAGAGGCAGACCGACGTCGATATGATGGTGACCCTCTGCAGCTTCTTCGGCGATAGGATTCCCATCTTCTTATCGCACTTGAAGCAAATGAACCGAGAAATTTGAATGCGATATTCTCTCGATAAGGTAATTAGACGAAAGAAAAATTTACCTCAACCAATTTATCGATGACAGTTCGCACGTGCTGCCAGTACAGAATAGAACCGATGATGGAAGCGGCTGTGACACTTATTACACCCAACACATCGATTGAGGTGGTAAACACTGTAGTCTTCGACTTAAGTCGGATGCTGTATTCCCATCCACATCTGACTTCGAGCCAGAAAGCCCAGATCTCGATGCCTATCAGGAGTGCCAATAGGAGCAGACTGCAATACATTATTTCAATTATATTTTGCTTAGTTAACACATTAAAGTTAGTCTAATAATTTCATATATTTTCATATTTAATATCATTGCTAAATGCTTTTCTTCATTGAAACTTCTGCACAGAAAGAATTTTCTCTTAGAATCTACCCTGAAAATTATGATAATTGTAAGACAATATGATATTGAAAGAATTTTATAAAATTTTCTCGAATTAATATGTACTACAATAAAAATATTAATATTTATCATAATAAGATATATAATATATTGTATATTCAATTAATTTTACTATGTACATAGTAAATTTTCTCTGTGTAAATATAGAAAACTATTTGTTACTGCCTCTTTGAGGTAAAAATAAGATATCTTATATAACAATCAATTTCTATATAAGTTATATCTATATATATATTTTAAATGTTAAATTTTGATCTTTATCTACACGTGGTCGATAAAAATGTAAAACGACTTGATTGTCACCTGTAAATGCTATCGACGATGCTCAATCGCCCTTGATATCTGCCAGACACCTGTCGGACAAATCTTGTTGGAAATACACCGGTCAATTTGCTGATATGATAGATCGGGAACACCGCTTGGTATAAATCGCTATTTATCGACTTGTTATTACGTGGCACGTTGAGATTTGCCACGTCGTATTCATCCACGTTGAAGAGTTTGTCTACATACACATTAATCTATCAGTTTGAATCGCCCATTCTCACGATTATATGACACACTTAACGTGTTACATCAGACAAAAAGTACAGGAATTCTTTGCATGACATATGTGATTGTTAAATTTTGTGTATCATGTTCCATAATTTTTACTAATTTTTATAATCGTGCATTGTATATCAATTTCTTAAGATACTAGACAATAACACAATTGCGCGCTTATTCGCGGGCTTCTTTGATATATATCAATTCTTTTTGTTTATTTTATGACTGTCAAATTGTTAATCTTCGCAATGACAGTTGCTTGTTGCTATGACCATAAATTTAATTTGCCGAATGTCTATTATGTACATTGTACATAATTTTAATTCTCAAATTTCCATTATATATGTAATTTTAATTTATTGAATTTCTTTTATGTACATAATTTTAATTTTGCGAATTTTAATTGTATTGTTTGAGAACTATTTTGTATATATATGTGTCTCTTTATATATTTTTCCTATTTTGTTTAATTTAATGTTTAATCGAATATAATTACGTCTGCGAAGCAAAGGTATATTATTCTTTAGTAATAAAAACTTGAAAATGGCAATGCATGTATAAAATTATTATTGCAATGCATGCATAAAAATATACTTGTTTATTTCGTGATTCCAAAAAATCATTATATACATTTATATACATTTATTATATACATTTTTAATTAAAAACAAAAAATATAATTTACTGCAAGACTCTTTCGATCAAATTATCTTCGCTTCCATTTCAACATCCAATTTTATCCAATCAATAATAAATCAGTCCCAATGAAAGCAATTCTCTTTCTATCCTTTTTAGATTAATACATTCCCTACATCTATCACGCTGCGCGCTTCGCGCGGAACTGATTCTCGTGCGAGGTATTGCGAGCGCGGGACCGTTGGTCACATGACTAGTGGTCACATGACCAGTGGGTCTAGTGGTCACGTGATCTCGGTTTCGCACTCGCGATACCTCGCACAAGAATCAGTTTCGCGCGAACCGCGCAGCGTAATGGATGAGTAGGGTGTTGAAGCTCGCGCGAATTTAATGAAAGCGTAAATATTTGATCACAAAAGATTCGAAAATTTTATTTCTACGTTTGTGATTTCTGTTAAAGTTTTAAATATTTAATTCTTATGCGTTGCATAATTGATTAATATGTTTTTTAATCATTAAGAAGTAATAATTTATCCATGCCTGCGTCGAAATTTTTGAGATTTGATTATCAAAGACTAATATGAATTCGTCTTGCATGCATTATTATATTTGATTAGATTAATAGAAATAATTTTTATTAAAAATAATGCAGATATAAATAATGCTACAGTATATTATATTAAACAGTTATATTTTAAATTAAGAGTTTAACAAGGCTCTGTAATATAAATATAAATTTTAAGATATAAGACAGGCAGTAAGAGCCAACTCGCGGATGACAGTGCGTTATCCTAGTTATATTTTAATTTTATATTTTATTATATTTTTTATATTTTAATTGTGATTCTCGAATGCCTATTACGTACATAATTTTAATTTACCGAAATTTAATTATGTATATAATTTTAATTTATGAATTTTTGTTATGTAACAGAACATAAACGCGCGCTTCGCGCGCGTTAATAATGTTTTGTTTCCATTCTTTATTTTACATTTTCTAATTGTAAACCTTCACGATGCTAGTTGTTTGATTCTATTAATATAATACACAAATGTTAATCGAGACAACTAATCAACATTGCGGTAAAACAGCAACAATATTTGCGATATTCTACTTTGCTTGCCTTTTTTGATAGAGATTTATTTTGTTTTATATGTCATAAAAATAATTTAAGAGTAATATTTTCGAAGCATTTAGATATATTTAAATGTTAAGAGAAATTTAGCACAATTTTATTAATTATTCAATGATTTTACAACATTTTAAATAATTGTTATTGGCAAAATTTTTTGTTTAAATCTCGATCAGATACTTTAAAATCATTGAAATAAACGCTGCCATTTAGTTTAAAGGTAAATATTTTTTTAAAATATATATGTAACTTGTATATCTTCTTATGTTTCCTTTTTTTAATATAAATATACTTATTTTAAGTTTAAAATATTTATAATTATAGAGGAAGAAGAAAATCAAAATATAAATGTTATAAATATGAATATTTTGACATTAAATAAATTTTGAATTAGGATCGTGCTTCAAAGAGAGAAACATAAAGTTCAATAGTACTTGATCTCATTCTTTTTCTTAAACATGGGAAACACATAAATAAATTTTGAATTTAATCAAAGACGTAAAATGAAGACTTGTATTATCTTACTGTTTGTCCTCTTATTCGCCATTTGTGGTTTATGGAAATCCTTCCATTGCGCATGCATTTTTCTGGACATGAGGGAAGTTTCGTCAAAAGCGTTTGAAGGCGCACTCGTAAGACAATTTGCGAGCTACATTGAACGGACTTCTATGATCATATATGTAACAATTATATATACAATTCGAGAAATTTTCATTACATTTCGTATACTAGAATATAAAGTGCGTGTGTGTATGGTGTACAAAAATAAGAAAGTAATGTGCGGACGATGTAAATTTCACCTTGTTATATTTGACGGGACGAAGAAACAAAGTCACGAGACCTTTTGCAAAAATGTTTCTTCGGGACAGACTTGACGATAATCATTGTCAATGGCATTGTATTACTGAAGATGAAGTGTTGCGAGATTTATTATGAGAATTTATTTGAGGCGTGAATTACGGAGCAAAATGCGGCACAGTTCTATCAGTTGCATTCGCCACCCTATGCGCTTTATGCACCAGTTCCTCCCATTTGTATACACGTCAGATTGTCTACGAAGAATTAATGTTCACGATCGTGAGATATATTCATTTTTTGAAAAACATACGCACTTATCTACCTTTTACGTATTCGACCATGCGATCTGATTTTGTACGTGTAAAGGTACATATCGGAGTCTATAAAAAAATTGTTTTTCCTTGTTTTCCTCGAGTGAATAGGGCACGAGTGTTAGCAGTTACATATGTATATTATCTCTTTTATCGTGCAACGTATATTATTAAGCAAATTTTTGTCAAGAATATTAAATGTAAAGCCGCAGCGAATTGTTATTTTTTATTTTTGCATTTATTCTTATAACACGTGTACAATACTTTTGATATTATATATACAAAAAATATATTTAAATGTATTGTTTAAAATTAACTTAAACAGAATATCCCAGTGCTTTCTAATTGTTCTATTTTTTTTTTAATTATTGCAAGATACGTTAAAATATATAGTTACGTGTATATGTGCCCATACATACATGCACATATATATAAAAGCAAATAAATTATATATATATATATATATATATATATATATATACAGAAGCTATAAATAAAATAATTTACTTGATATTATAAATATTTGAAATATTTATATTTTTCACACATATTCTACATAATTATATAAAATTATACCAACTCTTTGCTCTAATTACTACTGCACGTCGTACACAACGTGGTTTACACGATTGCATTTGCAACATTATAAACAATTGCATATGTAGTGCAAATGTGTACACGTACACACATAACACACACATACACATGCATATTTTACAGACACTATTAATAGTATTATTTGATCGATACGACGAGTAATATCTGACATTGTGTCAATTATTTATCACGATCTACATCTGTAATCAGAATCGATTACGATCCTGCACGAAAAAATACACGAATACGAAAAATTTACTGATATAATAATAGTTCTTCAATAATACATTATTCGTATACCAGTAATTTTTTTGTATTCTTGTAGTTTTTTTGTTCTTAAGGGATTCTTCCAATCTATTAGTAATATGCTGACAAACACAATTTTTGTCCGTGTATTTTTAGCGTTTTTTCATATTTTTCTATAATTTAAAGGTATGTAATCAAAATTTCTTTTGTATTTATTTTCTTTAGCAGATATTGTTATTTATAAAGACAGTATAAATCTGTAATTATCTTTTAAAAGAAATGTTCTTCATATAAAATATAATAAAAAATTAAAATTGGTCTCATCATTTTACACAAAAAACTGTGATTACTGTGATATTTAGTGAGAAATATATAGACTTGATAGATTTGTAATTAAAAGTGTCGCTTCTTAAAATATAGCACAGAAAGAATACTAAGATTGTACTTGAAAGTATACTTGTCACAAGTCCATCAAATATTATTTTGGAGAGTATGAAACAATTTGGAAAAATTTTAAATGAGTGTTATTGTTTAGCGTTACACGTATCCCCTGTTGAATTGGAGAACACGAATATGACTGAAGCGAGTCGTCATCGTCGTTGATGCAAGGAGAGCTATCGTGAATAGAAAACCTCTCGTGACATTGTAACTTCGATCTCTCTCATACATCCTGCACATTTGATCAAATGCCGCGATAATTAAACGAGACTATGAGACACAAAAGACTATATATACCTAATATATATGTACTTTATTTTAGTATAAATAAATAAGAAATTATTTCTAGCTATATAGAAATTATTTTTATGAATTTCCAGCTATATAGAAATTTATTTTTATGAATTTCTAGCTATATAGAAATTATTTTAATGAATTTCTGGCTATATCGAAATTATTTCTATGAATTTCTAGCTATATAAAAATTATTTCTATGAATTTCTAGCTATATAGAAATTTCTTTGAATTGTTTAGCAAAATGTTTAAATTAATGCCCGTGACATAATTGTAATTTTTATTTCTTTTTTTTATCAAATGTTTGAATAAAAAAATTATTAGAACATTTACTTCATTATTCAGATATTTACTTTAAATTTTAATAATTTAAAAAATGTGTGTGAATAATAAGTGAAATTTTATTCCTTTTAAATTGATCTTAATAATTAGAAATTCTCGTCAACATATTGATCGAAAGGATTATATATGAAAAAAATGCAATTAATTTGGAAAAAATATATGTTAAACAAAATTTATAGATACAGATTTTCTTTTTCAATAAATTTTATTAAATATATTTATAAAAGACAAAATACAGTTTATATATAAGCATCATCGTTTTGTTAAAATAATACAATACCTATTATTTTAATCATAATTTTTAAATTAATTCTTCCTAGCAAAAGTATTACGAAGGAATTGTGTTTATGTTATTTGAATACATAATTGCGTTTGAAGTGCTATAGAAAAATATATGTACGGAACTCTGGAGATAAAATTGATCGTAGAAAATTGTTCTGTTTGTTATAAGTGGTGAGAGTGAATGAATAATGAGTGGCAATATATTTTCTATTGTATAATATCTTGTAGGAAATTAGGTCACTGTTATCCTTTATAACTTTTATATACCGTTTCTTCTCAGCAAACACAAAGTAACAATTACATAACATCAATGTTATAATTTCCCACTCAATAATATAACTGTTATTTACAAGCCATGTTATATTGCGATTATATTATTGAGTGGAAAATTATAACATTGATGTAACAATGTTATAATTTCCTACTCAATAATATAATCGCAAAGTAAGTAAGTAAGTAAGTTTAAACACAAAGTAACTACAATTGTTACTTTGTGTTTACTGGGATGCATCTTGATTATTTTTAGTTGTTTTTTAAAGTTATTATTTATAATATATATATAGGTAGTTAATAAATGTTATACTTATATTTAATGTATTTATCCAATCAATAGCATTGAATGTAATTTTATAATATAATACGTTAATAAAATTACAAAATAATAAATTGTTTATATATGTGTGTGAGCATACGTAGTTAATAAATATTTTTAATAAAATTATAATACTTTTTTATTTTTTATAAAAATTACACAATACATATTTAGACTTTTCTTTCTAGTACTATATATATATTAGAAACTACACACAATTCACTTTTTGAAAATGTATACGTAAGGCAAGTAGATACATAAAAAACAAACTTATGAAATTCTAGTCCACGATTACGACAAGAGTGATAGTTCGTTAATTAGCGATCGAGTGAGACAAACGAGATCGTATATTTCTTAAATCACCACTGTATGTACGAGAATTGGGATATTAAATGTCAGTATCGCATGCGTCTGATATCGATTGGTTTACATCTAAGACCCATTTCACTTTACATTTACATCGATCTCTCCCTTATCATTAGACACCTATCTGTGACGAAGAGAAGCGTTTGCCATTGTATTAGTAAATATTAGATTTAAATATGCATATTTATACATGACGAAAGAGTTAGATTTAATTATATATAAATATATATAATATTTTATACTTTGCCATTTACAATTATACATATTTCTGCACCTAATATGTATAGTTCTGTACAATAGTATCTAATTCTGCATAAATGTATTTCCGAAAAATTTTTTCCCGGGAGTTAAGAAATTGGTTCGCACAAAACGTGTACCTAATATGTATTTTGTGTGCGCTGTATTGATTTCATTATTTTTTTAAAACTCTGATATCACATTTGAAATCTGCATCTTCCTGCAATGCATTCGTCTCGACTTGATTCTTTCGATCATGGATATTTTACGAATAAATATGTGGGTGACGTATACTAAATTTCAAAAAGCTTTATTATAGATTCGAAAACATAAAAAAAAAAAATAGAAATTAGTGGAAAAGAAGCACAGTCCTAATTTATAGATCTAATCTTCCCGCTGTAATATTGTGAAGCGTTGTCGCGTTCTTCAGCATTTGCGTAGCATTCTTCAAGATGTTATCGAAACTGCCCTTTGTGTCGTCGGCTTGTTTAAACTGCATCAGTATTACGAGATACGTTGTGACTGCGCCAGCAATCTAGAAATATTTTTTTGTAAATCTTTTTCTGCATTTCTAAAGTTTTGGCATGCAGGAGAGGAAAGTCAAAATTTATTTACCGAAGTCACGAGAGTACGATTCAGGGTGAAGAGTCCGCACGCTGAGAATTCTAACGGGCGGTGCAGAAGCTGAAGCGAAAAAATTTCTAATTGTTTCGTGCGTTCCCTGTCATAACTCGCGGACATCAATTGACTTATCAATATCGCTGTTTTCTTTCCCTGAAAATAGTCGTACAATTCACAAGATAGAAATATAAAATAATAAATTACGCAATTACCAAAATATGTTCAAATTTTACTTTCAAAAAATAAATAAAGATTTAATGTGATTTTATATATTTTAAAATTTTTTATATTATTTTTATCTCGGTAAGTGAAAGAGAAATTTAATTCCAAATTTTGATCTTGGTACATATATTGTCATGATCCTCTGACAAAAGAACGGTCGAAAATGACCCTATCGTATTCTGTTATTATTTACCTTCTAGTAAAATTATTATGTACATATGTATGTTAATTTATTAATTTAAATTTAATAATATTACCTGCATTGTAGTGGCATATGTGGGCTGCACCACCACGAGCAGCTTCCAAGTGTGAAAGATAAACCAGAGTCCTTCCACCGCGGAAAATAAAGGTTTGCGCCTTCTGTTATCAAAAGCTTCTATTATCAAAAAGGACGGCGTTATGACTAGATGTATTACGCAGGTAATCGTAATTACAAGTATAATGACGCCATAAGCGCTATTTATAAGCAAAATTGTGTCACATAAAGATGAGTGTACTGCCAACAGTCGGGATATTCTGTTCGTGAAACTTCTATTATCTGAAAATAAAATTTGTGTTACAGTTTTAATCATTACCGAAAAAAAATTTATCTTAAACTATATATTTTTATATATAATTTCTGTTATTTTCTATTATTATATTTAGCATTTAATTTTATCTGATTATATTTATATTCCAATTTAATTACAAATGTGATTAGTGTTTGTAAATTTTTGTCAAATATTTTGTTAATGCGAAAGCTAAAATCGCACCATTTGCGGCAGTAAAATCCATGATCTTCGATTTACGAAACAGTCTAGTATTTCCCATCATTTCTTGTTGGATATATGTAATTAGATGTCCTCGATCTTGTATGTCACCGGCTAAGAAATTTGAGAGTCTCTTTAGAAGTGTTAATTTCAAAATTAAGTAAAAATAACTGTTGATCATTACTATAACGATAAGCAAATATGCACCTAATCCAAGATCCTTCCTGAATTGATGCGTAATCTTGCTACTTTTTAGGATGTTTTCGAGGCTCTTGTTGATCCTGAAGAACCGCTGGCCCACGTTGTACACGATAAGGGCAAACTGGACCTCCATCATAATGATGACGATGTACATAAAGTACAGGGGAAGATAATTGAATGGACCCGTGTCGTCCGGTTTTTTATTCAACTTCATTTGGTACCTCCATGAGTAGATATCGAGACAGGAAAGAAAGATGGTAAAGGAGAGGCTGACCAACGTTAGGATGATGGTGACTCTTTGCAGCTTTTTCGGCGAGAAGATTCCTATCTTCTCGTCGCACTTGAAACAAACGAACCGAGGAATTTGAATGCAAATAGTCTCTCGATAAAGGTAATTATACAAAAGAAGAAATTTACCTCAACCAGCTTATCGATGACAGTCTGCACGTGTTGCCAGCACAGGATCGAACCGATGATGGAGACGGCTGTGAGACTCATTACACCCAATATGTCGATCGACGTGGTAATGATGTTACTCTTTGACTTAAGTCGGGTGCTGTTTTCCCATCCACATCTGAGATCGCGCCAGAAACCCCAGATCTCGGTGCCTATCAGGATTGCCAATAGGAGCAGACTGCGATACATTATTTTAATTTAATTTTGCTCATTTAATATATTAAAGTTAGTCTAATAATTTCATATATTTTTATATTTATTATTATTATTATTATTGCTAAATACTTCTTTTCTTTTAAACTTCTACATATAGAAGATTATTTGTTGCCTCTTTGAGATAAAAATAGGATATCTTATATAGGAATCAATTTCTATACATATTATATATATTTTAATATTAAACTTTGATCTTTATCTACAAGTGGTTGACAAGAATATGAAACGGTTTGTCACCTGTAAATGCTATCGATGACGCTCAATCGCCCTTGATACCTGCCAGACCCCTGTCGGACAAATCTCGTTGGAAATACACCGGTCAATTTGCTGATGTGATAGATTGGGAACACCGCTTGGTATAAATCGCTGTTTATCGACTTATTATTACACGGCATGTCGAGATTTGTCACGTCGTATACGTCCACGTTTGAGGATTTGTCTACATACATATTATTCCATCGATTTGAATCACCCATTCACAAGATTATAACACACGTGTTACATCGATCAAATAAAATACGGGAGTTATTTGCATGACATATGTGATTGTTAAGTTTTGTGTATCATGTTTCAGAATTTTTACTAACTCTCATAAGCGTGCATCATTTATCAAATTTTTTTAATACTAGACAACATAAGCGCGCGCTTTGTGCGCTCTTTTGATATATATATCATTTCTATTGTTTATTTTACAAATGTCAAATTGTTAATCTTCGCAATGACAGTTGCTTTATGCGCTATGATCGTAAATTTAATTTGCCGAACTTTTATTATGTATATATAATTTTAATTCCCGAATCTCTATTATGTACATATTTCAATTACCGAATTTTTATCATGTACATAATTTTACTTTGTCAAATTTTAATTTTGTATTTAATTTTAATTTACGAATTTTTGTTATGTACCAGACAACACAAGCGCGTGCTTCGGCGCGTTACTAATATTATTTTTATTTTTTATTCTACAACTGTCAAACTATAAATCTCCATATGAGGTTTGACAGTTGAAAGTTGTTTGATGCTATTAATATAACACACAATGTTAATTGAGACAACTTATCAACATCGCGGAAAAGCAGCTACAATATTTGCGATAATCAACTTTGCATGCCGTTTTTTAAAGAGATTTATTTTGTTTTACTTGTTATAAAAATGATTTAAGAGTAACATTTTCGAAGCATTTAGATATATTTAAATGTTAAGAGAAATTTGACACAATTTCATCAATTTCAATGATTTTACAACATTTTAAATAATTGTTGATGGCAAAATTGTGTGTTTATATCTTGATCAGATACTTTAAAATTATTGAAATAAACGCTGCCATTTAGTTTGTAAAGATAAATATTTGTTTACAATATATGTAATTTGTATATCTTTATATGTTTTCTTTTCTTAATATAAATATAATTATTTTAAGTTTAAAATAATTCTAATTATAAAAGAAGAAGAAAATCAAAATATAAATGTTATAAATATGAATATTTTGACACTAAATAAATTTTGAATTAGGATCGTGCTTCAGAGAGAGAAACATCAGATTCAATAGTACTTGATTTCATTCTTCCTTTCTTACATGGAAGTAAAAAGTAAACGTAAATGAATTTTGAAATTTATAATCAAAAAGGTGAAATGAAGACTTGTATTTTCTTACTGTTTGTCATCGTATTTGCCATTTGTTGTTTATCGAAATCGTTCCATCGCGCATGCATTTTTCTGGACATGAGGGATGTTTCGTCAAAGACGTTCGAAGGCGCACTCGTAAAATTATTCGCGAGCTACATTAAACGGATTCCTACGGTCATATATGTAACAATTATATTTACAATTTGACAAATTTTCATAACATTTCGTTTATTAGAATATAAAGTGCGTGTGTGTATGGTGTACAAAAATTAAGAAAGTAATGTGACAATGTAAACTTCACCTTTTTATATTTGACGGAACGAAGAAACAAAGTTACGAGATCTTTTACAAAAATATTCCTTCGGAACAGACTTGACGAGAATCACCGTCAATGGCATCGTTGATTGCTGAAGATGAAGTGTTCCGAGATTTATTGAGAATTCATGTCGAGGCGCGAATTACGGAGCGAAATGCGACACAGTTCTATCAATTGCATTTGCAACCCCATGCGCTTTATGCAGCTCCTCCCATTCATACTCGTCAGAATGTCGACGAAGAATTAATGTTCATGATCATGAGAGATATTTATCTTTTGAAAAACATACGCACTTATCTACCTCCTGCGTAGTCGAACATGCGGCGAGATTTTGCACGTGTAAAGATAGTCTATAAAAAAAAAAATAAATAAGCTTTCCGATATCAATAAGTAGATCAGTAATTCCGCTCGTATATAATTGTGCTCATTGAAAACAAGGGAAAGACCCGACATGTCTTTTACTTGTTTTTTGCGAGTGATCGAATCAACGGAATTGAATAGAGCACGAGTCTCAGCAGTTATATATCTATATTATCTCTTTTATCGTGCAACGTATATATTATTAGGCAAATATTAGTCAAGAACATTAAATATAAGCCGTAGCGCATTGTTCTTCTTTGTTTTTGCATTCATTTTTATAACACGTGCACGACACTTTTGATATTATATGTACGAAAATTTGATATTATATATACAAAAAATATATCTAAATGTTTTGTCTACATACATATATTTTACAGACATCATTGATAGTGTTATTTGATCGATATGTCGAGAAATCTGACTTTGTATCAACCATTTGTCACGATCTACATCTGTATAATCAGATTCGATTACGATCCCGCACGAAAAAAAAACTACGAGAATATGAAAAAATTTTTGATAGAAGAATATTATTTCTTCAATAATATATTATTAAATAATATATTATTAAATAATATATTATTGGTATAATATATTATTAAATAATATATTATTGGTATACCACTTTTTTCCTAAGGGATGCTTGTAATCCATTCGTTATATGCTGGCAAACACGATTTTCGTCGTTGTGATTTTAGCGTTTCTTCAATTTTTCTTTAATTTAAAGATAAATGAATCAAAATTTCTTTCGTATTTATTTTCTCTAGTAGATATTATTATTTATAAAGACAGTATATATCAGTAATTATCTTTCTAAAAAAATGTTCTTCATATTAAATATAATAAAAAATTAAGATCGGTTATCATTTCACACAAAAAACTGTGATTACTGTAATATTTAGACAGAAATATATAGTCTTGTTAAATTTATAATTAAAAGTGTCGCTTCTTAAAAAGTAACACAGAAAGAATACTAAGAAGGTATTTGAAAGTATACTTGTCACAAGTTCATTGGATATTATTTTTGAAAGAATGAAACAATTAAGAAGAATGTAAAATGATTGTTGTTTATTACACACGTATCTTCTGTCGAATTAGAGAACATGAGTAGAACTGAAGCTACATCATCATCGTCGTTGACGCAAGGAGAGCTATCGTGAAAAGAAAACCTTTTGTGTAAACATTGTAACTTCGATCACTTTCATATTTCCTGCACAATCGATCAAGCGCCGCAATAAATGTCTGTAATTACATTAGCCTGCGAGATATGTACAAAAGACTATATATAATATATATATTTTATTATTTCAATATGGAGTAAATAAGAAATTATTTTTTGGCATAAATCGTTTCGCGAAATGTTTAAATTAATGCCTTTGACATAATTACAATTTTCATTCATCTCTCTGTTAAATGTTAGAGAGAATAAAAAGTTATTAGACCATTTACTTCTTTATTCAGATTTTTACTTTAGATTTAAATAATTTAAAAAAGTGTGTAAATAATAATTGAGATTCTATTCCTTCTAAATTGATCATAATAATTTACGATATTCTCGTCAACATATATTGATCGAAAGGATTTTATGTAAAAAAAAAATGCGATTAATTTGAAAAAAATATATGTTAAATAAAATCTAGATGCAGATTTTCAATTTTCAATAATTATAAATATATTTCTATAGATGATAAAATAAATTTATGTATAAGTATTATCGTTTTGTTAAAATAATACAATACCTATTATTTTAATCATAATTTTGGAATTAATTCTTTCTTGCAAAAGTATTACGAAGGAATTGTGTTTATGTTCTGTGCATACATAATTGCGTTTGAAGCACGATAGAAAAATATGTGTACGGAACTCTGGATATAAAATTGATCGTAGAAAATTGTTCTGTTTGTTATAAGCAATGAAAGTGAATGAATAATGAGTGGCAATATATTTTATGTTTAATATTTTGAAAAAAATTAGGTCATTGTCATCCTACACTTTCATCTACCGTTTTATGCATCTTGATATTTTTTAGTTATTTTTTACAATTATTATTTATAATATATATAGATTGTTCATAATCATTATATTTATATTTAATCTAAATTTATCCAAATAGTAGCATTAAATGCAATTTTATAATATAATACGTAGTTATGCACTAATTTTGTCTTTATATATTACATTTACAAAATATGAAATTATTTATATGTGTGCGTGAGCACACGTAGTTAATAAACATTTTTATTAAAATCATATTATACTCTTTATATTATATAAAAATAACACAATATACAATTTAGATACCATTATATACTTATCTGTGACGAAAAAAAAACGTTTACTTATGCAATGTATTTCGTGTGCGCTCTGTTAATTTCATAATTTTTTTAAAACTCTGATATCACATCTGAAATCTGCATCTTTGTGCATTGCATTTGTCTCGATTTGACTCTTTCGATCGTGGACATTTTTCGAATAAATATGTGGGCAACGTATACTAAATTTTAAAAAGCTTTATTATAGATTCGAAAACATAAAAAAATAGAAATCAGAGGTCTCAACTTGATTTTTTCGATCGTGGATATTTTACGAGTAAATTTGTGTAAGCGATGTATACTAAATTTTAATAAGCTTTAATTATTATAGATTCAAAAATATAAAAAAAAAAGTATGGATCAGTGAAAGAGAAGCATAATTTGTTCTAATTTATAGGCCTAACCTTCCCGCTGTAATATTCTGAAGCGTCGTCGCGTTCTTCAGCATTTGCGTAGCATTCTTCAATATGTTGTCGAAACTGCCCTTTGTGTCATCATCTTTTTGGAACTGGATCAGTATTACGAGATACGTTGTGACTGCGCCAGCAATCTAGAAATATTTTTTTGTAAATTTTTTTCTGCATTTTTAAAGTTTTGGCACGCAGGAGAGAAAAGTCAACATTTATTTACCGAGGTCACGAGAGTACGATCCAAGGTGAAGAGTCCGCACGCTGAGAATTCTAACGGACGGTGCAGAAGCTGAAGCGAAAAGATTTCTAATTGTTTTGTGCCTTCCCTGTCATGACTCACTGTCAGCAATTGGCTTATCAATATTGCTGTTTTCTTTCCCTGAAAATAGTCGTATAATTAACGAGATCGAAATATAAAATAATAAATTACGCAACAAACAAAAATATGTTCAAATTTTACTTTTAAGAAATAGAATAATAAGCGTGAATGTGTGTAATATGAACAGAATAAAATACTTACAGAATATATATAAATATCATTTTTATAATTTAAATTTGATGATATTACCTGCATTGTAGTGGTATACGTGGGTTGTACGATTATGAGCAATTTCCAAGTGTGAAAGACACACCAGAGTCCTTTCACCGCGACGAATAAAGGTTCGCGTGTTATGTCAGCTTCCATTATCAAAAAGGACGGCGTAATGACTAGATGTATTAAGCAAGTAATCGTAATTACAAGTATAACGACGCCATAAGCGCTATTTATAAGCGAGACCGTGTCACATAGAGATGAGTGTACTGTCAACAGTTGGGATATTCGGTCCGTGAAACTTCTATTATCTAAAAAAGAAATTTACTACAGTTTTCATCATTACCGAAGAAATTTACAATATTTTAAACTATAAATTATAATATATAATTTTCGTTATTTTCTAATACATGTAGCACTTAATTTTATCCGACTATATTTATATTATAATTTAATTACAATTATGATTAGTGCTTGTCAAATTTTTATTAATTACTTTGTTAATATGAAAGCTAGAATCGTACCATTTGCGGCAGTGGAATCCATGATCTTTGATTTACGAAAGAGTCGAGTATTCCCCATCATTTCTTGTTGGATATACGTTATTAGTTGTCCTTGATTTCGTAGATCACCGGCTAAGGAATTTGAGAATCTCTTTAGAAACGTTAATTTGAAGATTTTGTAAAAATGCCTGATGGTGTGATCATTACTATAACGATTAGAAAATATGGACCTAATCCAAGATCCTTCCTGAATTGATTCGTAATTTTGCTACTTTTTAAGATGTTTTCGAGGCTCTTGTTGATCCTGAAGAACCGCTGGCCCACGTTGTACACGATGATGGCGAATTGGAGCTCCATCATAACGATGACGATGTACATAAAGTACAGGGGAAAATAATTTAGTACACTCCTGTCATCCAGCTTTTTATTCAGCTTTATTTGGTATTTCCATGTGTAGATGTCGAGACAGGAAAGAATGATGATATAGGAGAGGCTGATCAACGTCAGTATGATGGTGACCCTCTGCAGCTTTTTTGGCGAGAGGATTCCCATCTTCTCGTCGCACTTGAAGCAAATGAACCGAGGAATCTGAATGCGATAGTCTATCGATAAAGGTAAGTAGACGAAAAAAGAAAGTTTACTTCAACCAGTGTATCGATGATACTCCGTACGTGCTGCCAGTACAGTATTGAACCAATGATGGATGCGGCTGTGAGACTCATGACACCCAACACGTCGATCGAGGTGGAAATCACCGTGTTCTTTGACTTGAGTCGGGTGCTGTTTTCCCATCCATATCCGAGATCGCGCCAGAAACACCAGACCATGGTGCCTATCAGGATTGCCAACAGGAGCAGACTGCGATACATTATTTCTAATATATTTTGCTTATTTAATATATTAAAGTTAATCTAATAATTTCATATATTTTATATGTAATTTCACTTTTTGTAAAATATATATATATATATATATATATATATATGTATATATATATATATGTATATATATATATATATATATATATATATATATATATGTAAATACTTCTCTTCTTTTAAATTTTTAAATATAGAGAACTGTTTGTTACTGCTGTCTTTGAGGTAAAAAGGATATTTTACATAGAAATCAATTTTTATTTAAATTACATATATATATTTTTAAATGTTATACTTTGATCTTTAGCTACACGTGGTCGACAAGAATGGGAAACGATTTGATCGCTCATTGTCACCTGTAAATGCTATCAATGATGCTCAATCGGCCTTGATACATTCCAGACACCTGTCGGACGAATCTCGTTGGAAATACACCGGTCAATTTGCTGATGTGATAGATCGGGAACACCGCTTGATAAAAATCGCTGTTTATCGACTTGTTATTACTCGCCACGTCAAAATTTGTCACGTCGTGTTCGTTCACGTTTGAGGGTTTGTCTACATACACATTATTCCATCAATTTAAATGACCTATTCTTACGATTATAACACGTGTTACATCGAACAAATAAAGTACATTAATTCTTTGTATGATATATGTTGAATTGTATATATTGTGTTTCTTAATTTTTAATAACTCTTACAATCGTGCATTATTTATCAATTTATTTTAATATTTATTTTGTTTTATTTGTCATAAAAATAATTTATAAGTAACATTTTCGAAACATTTAGATATATTTAAATGTTAAGAGAAATTTGGCCTAATTTCATCAATTTCAATGATATTACAATATATTAAATAATTATTGAAAATTTTTGTTTAAATCTTTATTAGATACTTTACAATCATTGAAATCAACGAAGCCATTTATTTTGTAAAGGTAAATGTTTTTTTTTAGAAAATATATATATGATATTTGTATATCTTATATGTTTTTTTCCTTAATAGTAAAATATTTAGTAATTTTAATTATAGAGGAAGAAGGAATTCAAAATATAAATGTTATAAATATAAATATTTCAACATTACATAAATTTTGAATTAAAATCATGCTTCAGAATCATCAAGTTCTATACAGGGTTGAGAAAGTGTTTCTAGTTATTTTGTAAAAATATCTAGTTGCAGTTACAGTTTTTTTCACTGAAAAGTTATTATATATAGTTTATAAATTTTTTACCGGGATAGTACTTGATCTCATTCTTCCTCTCGAATATGGAAGTAAATGTAAATAAATTTTGAATTTTATAAAACAAAGACGTAATATAAAATCTTGTATTATCTTACTGTTTGTCATCTTATTCGCCATTTGTTGTTTAACGAAATCGTTCCGTCGCACAGGCATTTTTCTGGACATGAAGACAGTTTCTTGAATAACGTTTGAAGGCGCACTCGAAAGATAATTCGCAAGCTGCATTGAACGGACTCCTACGATCATATATGTAACAATTATATTTACAACTTGACAAATCTTCACAACATTTTAGCATATTAAAATATAAAGTGCGCGTGAGTATGGTGTACAAAAAATAAGAATTAAAGTAATGTGCGGACAATGTAAATTTCACCTTTTTTATATTTCACAGGACGAAGAAACAAAGTCACGAGGAGATCTTTTGCAAAATTATTCCTTCAGGACAGACTTAACGAGAATCACCGTCAATGGCATCGTCGATTGCTGAAGATCTAGTGTTGCGAGATTTATTGAGAAGTGCGGCACAGTTCTGTCAGCTGCATTCGCAACCCTATGCACCCGCTTTATGCACCCGCTCCTCCCATTCGTACTCGTCAGATTGTCGACGGAGAATTATTGCTGACAATCGCGAGAGATACTTATCCTTTGACAAACATACGCACTTATCTACCTACTATATACGTGCGTACTTGAACACGCGCTGAGATTTTACACGTGTAAAGGTACACACCGGAATCTATAGAAAAATAGACATCTCGATCTCAATAAATAGATCTGTGACAAAAAATTTATCTAAATGTTTGGTCTAAAATTAATTCAAATGAAAAATCGCTGAGTTTTCTAATTGTACTCTTTTCAACTATTTTCTATAAATCATTGCAAAATACGTAAAAATATATATTTACGTGTATATATGTACATATACACACATGCACACATATATAAAAATAAATAAATTTTGTGTACATATAAACAAAAATAAAGTAGTTTACTTGATAATAAATATTCATTATAATTCAAATTATTCGTTTATTATAATAAATATTCAAAGTATTTATATTTTTCACAAATACTAATAAATAATTATATAAAATTATACCAACTTCTTCTAATTACTACGATACATCGTACACAACGCGGTTTACACGATTGAATTTGTAACATGTTATAAACATATATGATTGCATATATGTAGTGCAAATGTGTACACATACGCATACATATTTTACAGATACCATTAATAATGTTATTTGATCGATACGATGTCTAATATCTGACTTTGTGTCAATCATTGTCACGATCTATATCTGTAGTCAGAATCGATTACGATTTTTGCAATCTATTTGTTATATGCTGGGAAACACAATTTTTGTTGCTGTATTTTTAGTCTTTGTCATTAAATATTTTTCTTTAATTTAAAGATATGTAATCGAAATTTTTTTTGTATTTATTTTCTCTAGCAGAGTGCACACGTGTGATAATGTATATAACACATGTATATAACACATTAATAATTTTAATAAAATTGCTATTTATAAAGACAGTATAAATCTGTAATTATCTTTCAAAAGAAATGTTTTTTATATTAAATATAATAAAAAATTAAGATCGGTCATCATTTCACACTAAAAACTATGATTACTATGATATTTAGACAGAAATATATAATCTTGTTAAAATTATAATTAAGAGTGCCGCTTATTCTTAAAATATAACACAGAAAGAATACGATTGTACTTGAAAGTATACTTGTCTCAAGTTCACCCGATATTATCTTGGAGAGTATGAAACAATTTGCAAATTGTTAAATAATTTTGTTGTTCAGCGTTACACGTATCTTCATCTACATCGTAATTATACACAAGGCTGTAAAATACAAAAGACTATATATATATATACATTTATGTATTTTCATTGGGTGATTTTAGGGAAAAGGTTTTTGGGGTTAATCCTTCCCCCTTGCAAATTAAAATAATTCGTCGTTGATCCTAGAATAATAACTAACGATAAGCATAAAACAAAAAAAAATAATTTTGCAGAACTCCTTTACTCCTCTTATCGATGCCAGGATTTACTAATGTATGTTTTATTTCAGTATAAAATAAATAAAAAATTATTTCTGGCATGAATTGTTTTGTAAAATGTTTTAATTAATGCCTTTGAAATAATCGCAATTTTTATTTAATCATTTTATTAAATGTACGAATAAAAAAGTTATTAGAACATTTACTTCTTCATTTAGATATTTACTTTGGATTTAAATAATTTAAAAAATGTGTGTGAATAATGAGATTCTATTCTTTCGTAGTTGATTTTAATAATTCGACATTCTCGTCAACATATATTGATTGAAAAGATTTTATATGAAGAAAAAAACGTGATTAATTTGGAAAAACTATATGTTAAACAAAATTGAGATACAGATTTTTTAAATTGTTTTAGTTATTTTTTAAAACTATTATTTATAATATATATAGATTGTTTATAATTTTTATATTTATATATTAGATCTAAATGTATCCAAACAATAGTATTGAATTTTATAATATATAATACATAATTATGCACTAATTTTGTTTATATAGTTATAATTACAAAATATTTTATTGTTTATATGTGTGTGTAAGCACACGTAATTAATAAACATTTTTATTAAAATTATATTAAACTTTATTTTTTATAAAAATAATAACACACAATACATATCTGGACTTTCTTTTCTAGTATTATATTAGGAGCTATTCACCCATCTCTTTTTGAAAACATCTATGATACGTATAGGACAAGTGGATACGTAAAAAACAAACTTATAAAACTCTAGTCCACGATCACGATAAGAGGGATTGTTTGTTAATAAGCGATCGAGCGAAACAATCGAGATTTTATTTTTTATATCACCGCTGTATGTACGAGAATTGAAGTTTTAAATGTCATCATCGCACGCGTCTGATATTGATCGATTCACATCCAAGATCCATATTTCACCCTACATCGATCCCTCTCTTATTAGATCCTTATCAGTGACGAAAAAAAATGTTCGCCATTGTATTAGTAAATATGTTATGCCTTAATTAAGAAACTGGTTCGCACCAAATGTGGGTTGTGTATTTCGTGTGCTCTGTTAATTGAAATTAATGATGAATCATTTTTTTAAACTGTGATACCACATTTGAAAATTGCATCTTTGTACATTGCATTCGTCTCCACTTGATTCCTTCGATCATGGATATTTTACATACGAATAAATGTGTGGGCGAGACGTGTACTAAATTTTAAAAAGATTTATTATAAATTCGAAGACATAAAAAAAATAAAGATCAGTGGAAGAAAAGCACAGTTTCCTAATTTATAGGCCTAACCTTCCCGCTGTAATATTGTGAAGCGTCGTCGCGTTCTTCAGCATTTGCGTAGCATTCTTCAATATGTTGTCGAAACTTCCCTTTGTATCATCATCTTTTTGGAACTGGATCAGTATTACGAGATACGTTGTGACTGCGCCAGCAATCTAGAAATATTTTTTGTAAATTTTTTTGCTGCATTTCTAAAGTATTGGCACGCAGGAGAGGAGAGTCAAAATTTATTTACCGAAGTCACGAGAGTACGATCCAAGGTAAAGAGTCCGCACGCTGTGAATTCTAATGGGCGATGCAGAAGCTGAAGTGAAAAGATTTCTAGTTGTTTCGTGCGTTCCTTGTCAGGACTCGCGGACAGTAATTGGCTTACCAATACTGCTGTTTTCTTTCCCTGAAAATAGTCGTACAATTCACGAGATTGAAATATAAAATAATAAATTATGCAATGACTAAAAATATGTTCAAATTTTGCTTTCAAGAAATAGGTAAAGATTTATTGTGATTTTTTATATTTCTAAGTTTTTTGAAATTTTGTTTTATCTTTATCTCGGAAAATAAAAGAGGAATTTAATTCCAGATTTTGATTTTGATATATAATATATTGTCATGATCCTGAGTGATTAAAAAAACTTTAATCGTCGCTAATTATTTATTAAAAAATTATTAAATAAAACGCAAATAGATATTGCATGTTAAATAATGAGATTCATGAATATCAATCAGAACGATGAATAGAAACATTTTCACTCGCATACAAATTTACTTTATAATAAATAATAAAATTTAGGTATATATATTTCAATTTTTAGCATAATATAAATGTATGTGTATAATAAGCGTGAATGTGTGTAATATGAATATAGTAAAATACTTTTTTAATAGTTCAATTAATTTATTCATTTTCAGTCTACGCTTGAATTTTACGTTGCATAGATTTTTATTTGTTAATAATTTTTATAAACAATAAGCGATGGTCAAAATCTTTTACTTATAATTGTAATCTTGACAATATATGACAATGTCATGATGATTGAAACTGAATCTTCCTCTGTCATCATTTACCTTGTAGTAAAATTATAATGTATATATATGTATATTAATTAATTAATTTAAATTTAATTATATGTATTACCTGCATTGTAGTGGCATATGTGGGCTGCACGACCACGACCAGCTTAAAAGTGTGAAAGACGCACCAGAGTCCTTCCACCGCGACGAATAAAGGTTCACGCGTTCTGTCAGCTTCCATTATCAGAAAGTACGGCGTAAGGATTAGATGTATTAAGCAAGTAATCGTAATTACAAGTATAACGACGCCATAAGCGCTATTTATAAGCGAGATCGAGTCACATAGAGATGAGTGTATTGCCAACATTCGGGATATTCTGTCCGTGAAACTTCTATTATCTGAAAAAGAAATTGCTACAGTTTTAATCATTACCGAGATAAATTTATTTTAAACTATATATTTTAATACATATAATTTCGTTATATTCTAACATATTTAGCATTTAACTTTATCCGACTATATTTATATTATAATGTAATTACGAATGTGATTAGTGCTCGTAAATTTTTATCAAGTACTTTGTTAATACGAAAGCTAAAATTGTACACTGGAAAAAAATTTTGTTGTATTTCGAAACAGAATTATTATTGGTTAAATCGACCAGAATTCCTTTTAATGCAACAAGAATCTTTAAGAAACAAGATTCTTGTTGTATTAAAAGAAATTATGGTCGATTTAACAAGTAATTCTGTTTCGTCGATTTTGTAACAAAATTTTTGTTATATAACAATATTTTTTGTCAGTGTACCATCTGCGTCGGTGGAATCCATGATCTTTGATTTACGAAACAGACCAGTATTTCCCATCATTTCTTGTTGGATATACGTAATGAGTTGTCCTTGATCTCGCAGCTCACCGGCTAAGGAATTTGAGAGTTTCTTTAGAAGCGTTAATTTAAAGAGTAAATAAAAATTACTGATGATCATTACTATAACAATTAGAAAATATGCACCTAATCCAAGATCCTTCCTGAATTGATTCGCAATCTTGCTATTTTTTAGGATGTTTTCGAGGCTCTTGTTGATCCTGAAGAACCGCTGACCCACGTTGTACACGATGATGGCGAATTGGAGCTCCATCATAACGCTGACGATGTACATAAAGTATAGGGGGAGATAATTGAATGGACCCGTGTCGTCCAGCTTCTTATTCTGCTTCACTTCGTGCCTCCATACGTAGACATCGAGAGAGGAAAGAATGATGGTATAGGAGAGGCTGACAAACGTCAGTATGATGGTGACCCTCTGCAGCTTCTTCGGCGAGAGGATTCCCATCTTCTCGTCGCACTTGAAGCGAAGGAACCGAGAAATTTGAATGCAATAGTCTCTCGATAAAGGTAATTAGACGAAAGAAAAAATGTACCTCAACCAGTTTATCGATGACAGTTTGCACGTGCTTCCAGCACAGAATTGAACCGATGATGGAGGCGGCTGTAAGGCTCATCACACCCAACACGTCGACCGAGGTGACAATCACCGCATTCTTCGATTTAAGTCGGGTACTGTTTTCCCATCCATATCTGAGATCGCGCCAGAAACCCCAGATCTCGGTGCCTATCAGGATCCCCAATAGGAGCAGACTGCGATACATTATTTCAATATTATATTTTGCTTATTTAATATATTAAAGTTATATATATATATATATATATATATATATATATAATCAAATAATTTCATATATTTTCATATTTAATTTTATGCTAAATACTTCTCTTCTTTTAAACTTCTAAATATAGAAAAACTATTCGTTACTGCCTCTTTGAGGTAAAAATATATAGGATATCTTACATAGGAATCAATTTCTATATAAATTATGTTAATTTTTTATGTTAAACTTTGATATTTAACTACACGTGATTGACAAGAATGGAAAACGATTTGATCGCTCATTGTTACCTGTAAATGCTATCAACGATGCTCAATCGCCCTTGATACCTGCCAGACACCTGTCGGACAAATCTCGTTGGAAATACACCGGTCAATTTGCTGATGTGATAGATCGGGAACACCGCTTGATATAAATCGCTGTTTATCGACTTGTTATTATTCGGCACGTCGGGATTTGCCACGTCGTATTCGTCCAAGTTTGAGGGTTTGTCTGCATAGACATTATTTCATCGATTTTAATCGCCCATTCTCACGATTATAACATACGTGTTATATCGAATAGATAAAGTACAGGAAATTTTTGCATGACATGTGATTGTTAAATTTTATGTTTCATAATTTTTACTAACTCTTATAATCATGCATCATTTAAGAAAATCAATTTTTTTAATATTCAATTTGTTTTACTTGTCACAAAAATAATTTGAAAGTAACATTTTTGAAACATTTAGATATATTTGAATGTTAAAAGAAATGTGACACAATTTCTTCAATTTTAATAATTTTACAATATTAAATAAATGTTGGTAGCAAATTTTTGTTTAAAGACATATGATTTTGACCAGATACTTTGAAATCATTGAAATCAACGAAACCATTTATTATGTGAAGATATTTATGTTAGAAAATTTGTAATTTGTATATCTTAATGTTTCTTTTCCTTAATATTAAAATACTTATTTTAAGTTTCAAGTAATTTTAATTATAGAAGAAGAAGGAAATCAAAATATAAGTGTTATAAATATAAATATTTCAAAATTAAATAAATTTTGAATTAAGATCGTGCTTCAGAGTGAATCAGAAGTTCTATAGCACTTGATCTCATTCTTTCTCTCTAATATAGGAGTAATCGTAAATAAATTTTGAATTTTATAAAACAAAGGCCTGAAATAAAGATTTGTAGTATCTTACTGTTTGTCATCTTATTCGCCATTTGTTGTTTATCGAAATCGTTCCATCGCGCATGCATTTTTCTGGACATAAGGGCAGTTTCGTCAATGACGTTCGAAGGCGCACTCGTAAAATAATTCGCGACTTCCATTAAACGGACTCCTATGATCATGTTACAATTTGACAAATCTTTACAACATTTTAGTATATTAAAATACAAAGTGTGTGTGTGTGCATGATGTACAAAAAATAAGACGGTAATGTGCGGACGATGTAAATTTCACCTTTTTATATTTGGCGGAATGCAGAAAGAAAATCACGAGATCTTTTGCACAAATGTCGTTTCTTCGGGACAGACTTGACGAGAATCACCGTCAATGGCATCGTCGATTGCTAAAATAAAGATCTAGTGTTCCGAGATATATTGAGAATTCATGTCGAGGCGTGAATTACATACGGAGCGAAATACGGCACAGTTCTATCAGCTGCATTGGCAACCCTATGCACTTTATGCACCCGCTCCTCCCATTCGTACTCGTCAGATTGTCGGATAATTATTGTAGACGATCGCGAGAGATACTTATCCTTTGAAAAACATACACTTATGTACCTCCTACGTGCGTACTCAAACACGCGACGAGATTTTGCACGTGTAAAGGTACACATCGGAGTCTATAAAAAAATAGGCTCTGAGGAGCTCAATCTCAAGTAGATCAGTGTTTCTGCTCGTATATAAGAGTGCTCATTAAAAACAAGGGAAAGACACGACAAGTCTTTTTGCTTGTTTTTCACACATGACCGAATCGATAGAATAGAATAGGGCACGAGTCTCAGCAATTATATATGTATATATATTATCTCTTTTATCGTGCAATGTATATATTATTAGGCCAACAAGAATATTAAATGAAAGCCGTAGCGCATTGTTTTTCTTTGTTTTTATTCCTTTAACACACGTGCACGATACTTTTGATATTATATATACATAAAATATATCTAAATGTTTCGTCTAAAATTAACTCAAAAAAAAATTGTACTATTTTCTACCATTTTTTATAAATCATTCCAAAAATACGTAAGAATATATAATATACACATGTACACATACACACATGCACACACATATATACATATATATAAAGTAAATAAATTATACATATATATAAACAAAAATAAAGTAGCTTACTTGATATTATAAATATCCCAAGTATTTATATTTTTCACACATTTTAAATAATTATATAAAATAATTTTAACTGTTTCTAATTATTACGGCACGTCATATGTACAGGGTGTTTCCAATACATACGCATTATTATATTGGGTTGCCTATCTGCTACAACAGGGGCATGCTTTATGAGAAAAAGAAATCGACTTTATCATTCTATATATACAGTGAACACTTGTGAAATTGGATAATATAGATAAAATATATATGTATTAATATAAATAAAATAACCTAAGTAAAATTTATAATAATCAAATTTTACTAAAATTTTACTATAAAATATTTTTTAATTTATCTGTAATATAATTTTTATCTATCAATATAATATAATATTCATAAGTCATATAATAAATTTTTAGTAAATATAAGTCATATAATAGATTTAATCTCTGAATATAAGTCATATAATAAATTTATTATATGACTTATTATATTTACTAAAAATTTATTATATAACTTTTATATTTACTATAAATTTATTATATGACTTATTATATTTATAGATAAAAATTATATTAAAGATAAATTAAAAAAATATTTTTAGTAAAATTTAATACAATTGGATTATTAAATTTTACTTATATGTTATTTTATCTATATGGTCCAATTTCACAAGTGTTCACTGTATATACAAAGTAATAAAGTCGATTTCTTTTTCTCATAAAGCATGCCCCTGTCGGTAAGCAGATAGGCAACCCGGCATAATGATGTGTATGTATCGGAAACACCCTGTACACAATGTGATTTATACAACGATTGCATTTGTAACATATTATAAACATAATTGTATATGTAGTGCAAATGTGTACACATACACACATATATATTTTACAAACACTATTAATAGTATTATTTAATCGATACGAAGAATTATATCTAACTTTGTCTCGATCATTTGTCATGCACGATCTAGTATATCTGTAATCAGAATCTATTATGATTTTTATTAGAATCTATTTGTTATATGTTGGGAAACACAATTTTCGTCACTGTATTTTCAGCCTTTGGTATTACATATTTTTCTTTAATTTAAAGATATGTAATCGAAATTTCTTTCGTATTTATTTTTTCTAGCAGAGTGCAATGCACACGTCTGTTAATGTATAACACAATAATTTTCATAAAATTGCTATTTATAAAGACAGTATAAATCTGTAACTATTTTTCTAAAGAAATGTTCTTTATATAAAATATAATAAAAAAATAAGATCGATCACCATTTCACACAAAAAACTGTGATTACTGTGATATTTAGACAGAAATATATAGTCTTGTTAAATAATTAAGAGTGTCGCTTCTTAAAAAGTAACACAGAAAGAATACTTAAATTGTACCTGAAAGTATACTTGTCACAAGTTCATTGGATATTATTTTTGAAAGAATGAAACAATTAGGAAAAATGTAAAATGATTATTGTTCAGCGTTACACAAATCCCCTGTTGAATTGGAGAACACAGGTAGAACTGAAGCTACGTCGTCATCGTCGTTGACGCTAGAACTATCGTGAAAAGAAAACATTTCTGTGTAAACATTGTAACTTCGATCACTGTCATATTTCCCGCACAATCAATCAAGCGCCGCGATAAATGTTTGTAATTACACAAGGCTATAAGATATAAAAGACTGTACATATGTCTTTTATGTCAGTATAAGTAAATAAGAAATTATTTTTGACATGAATCGTTTCGCGAAATGTTTAAATTAATTCCTTTGACATAATTACAATTTTTATTTCATTTCTTTATTAAATGTTTGAATAAAAAATTATTATTACATTTACTTTTTTATTAAAATATTTAGTTTAGATTTATATAATTTAAAAAATTTATGTGTATAATTATTGAGATTCTATATTCTCGTCAATATATGTTGAAGGAAAAGATTTGATATGATGGAAAAAAAGGTTAATTTGGAAAAAATATATGTTAAACAAAATTTAGATACAGATTTCCAATTTTCAATATTTATTATTAAGTCTTTCTATAGAAGTTTATATATCAAGAATCGGAAGAATTTTATATATAAGCATCATTGTTTTGTTAAAATAATACAGTACATATTATTTTAATCATAATTTTTTAATTCTTCCTTGCAAAAAAATTACGAAGGAATTGTGTTTATATGTTCTTCGCATACATAATTTTGTTTGAAACGCGATATAAAAATATATGTAAAGAATTCTGAAGATAAAACTGATCGTAGAAAATTGTTCTGTTTGTTATAAATGGTGAAAGTGAATGAATAATGAGTGATAATATATTTTATGTTGTTTAATATTTTGAAGGAAATTAAGTCATTGTCATCCTTTATGACTTTTATCTACTGTTTTATGTATCTTTATATTTTCTTCGTTATTTTTTTTTATTAATTAGAAATTATTATTTATAATATATGTAGATTGTTCATAATCTTTATAATATAATTCGTAGTTATGTATTAAATTTTTGTCTTTATAGTTAATTACAAAATATGAAATTGTCTATATGTGTGTGTGTGAGAGCAAACGTAGTTAATAAACATTTTTATTAAAATTATATATATATGTTATACTTTTTTTATTTTTTATAAAAATAACACACAATACATATTTGGACTTTCTTTTCTAGTACTATGTATATTAGAAGCTACTCAGCATCCACTTTTTCAAAACATGTGATACGTAGGACAAGTAGGTACGTAAAAAACAAATTTGTAAAATTGTAGTCTTGTATGATTATGATAAATAAGTTTTTTTTTACCATTCGCTTAAATATGTTTCTTCAAGGCAATTATAAAGTTTAATATTTTGATTCATTCTGTAAAAAAATTATATACATTTGTTTTATACATATATATTTATACACATTCATATATATGTATAAAAGAACAACGCAAAATAATTATTTGCTTACCCTTTGAAGGCTTCGCCTATTTCCGCAACTTTCGAGGGATGACACACTATGGTAGTTTTACATTTTTTCGGATCAAACAATGGCTTGAGATACAAAGTCGCCACACGAGTCATATCATCCATAGTAACAGTGGCAATACGTCGCACCATCTGATGATTATAATCATGTGGCACATTTCTAAAATAGGACAGCAACGATTGAGTTACAATATCGCCTATGGTCTTTTCCTGTTCAATAATCTCGAAGATCAGAGACGATTTCGCTGATTCATAAAGCAACTTCTCCCATTTATCGCCAGCGAGCTGTGCTTCCTGTGTAATAAAAAACATTTAATTAATTTTATTTTAATTAATCCCTCAGTTTTCTCGCTGTTGCCTTATCTTATTTATTATGTATTTTTAAATTTTATATCTGATATGAATCTGTTTTCTGTAATTTACTTTGCATTTTCAATAAAGTTATTAATACCACTATTGATTTTGTTTCCTTATACGCAGCTACTGCGTTTGTAGCCTTAAAAAGAGTCAAATACATCAGTCCTTCATTTGGTTTCGGGAATATGCTATATCCATATGAAAGTCCCTGTCCTCGGATTAACCTCCACATAGGTCCCTAGAATTATGTATTTTCAGAATGATTGACTTTTTATGAATTTTTCAATCAATTGTCATGCACTCACTTCTGTTTGCGTCAAATACTGCAAACAAACGGCCAGAGCTGGCAGATCAGGATGCTGATAATCGCTTATGCCTGGACAAGTCTGACAGAAGAATGAAGACTCTATACAACCCAATCCAGTGACACAGCCATTGAGAATAATATCCTCTGCAGGATTCATCAGTGACCAGTCAGTAGTAACATTAAGCCTAAAATTTATTATTTTGATATCAATATATTACATATTTTCATAATGCTTATTTTTTTCTCACAATTAAAATCGAATTACATCAGTCTGAATCATTTATTTGCAATTATTTATAAAAAGTTTAAAATTGTTAAATAATTGAAAGAAGTTATCTAAAAAATGTATATTTTAACTTTACTTTATTTAAAAGGAAAAGTTTTCATATTTGTTATATAACTCAAGACTAAAAGTCGTTACTGATTACTTTGCCTCTTTCTAAATATTATCTTGCCTGTAATATAATAAAAAAAGTTGAATTAATTAAAAATAGCATTCAAATAGCATTTGCGCAAGTTATATTTACTTTGCCTTCTCTGATGTTGTCACATCAGAAAAGAATTTATTCCATGGAGCATAGACGTCTGGAACTTGCACCGTTAATTTATCGACGTTAACAGCTATATACAAAATCATATTTTTCAATGATGTTACACTCTTTCTGACTGATTCAATTTCTGCAATAACTTCTTTCTGGCCTACATCGTCATTCAAACGTTCCATAATATCAGTAAGAAACTTTTGCTGTCGCAACATGCTGGATGTGTAAGGATTGCTATCTACAAATTAAAAAAAAGTTATAAATCTCTTACACTTTATCCAATTTGTATTACATTTTCAGTGTATTAATTTAAAAAATTAAAATTTACCTTTATTGTATATTAATCCTTTCATTAAATCACCTACTACTTTGTGTCCCCTTCTCTTTAGTTGCGCCACATCGTTTACCATTTTTGCTGCTATTACTTTTAATCTATCAACTGTTAATTCAGTGTCATATAAAAGCTCTTTAATCCATTGTACACCTTTTTCATACTTTTCTAATTCAAGCTAGACAAAAAGATATGTGAAAATTATAATTTATTTTGAATAATCCTAATTTTTTATTTTTTGAAAGAAAAAATGTAACAAGTTATACATTACTTGAAGCATCAAGTAAATGCTATGACTGTAGGCTCCACTTGAAAATCTCGTAGAATTATTAAAGCCAATGTGTGCAGCAGTTCCTATAGTATCAGCTTCCAATAGAGCTACTACTTCTTCATAAGGAATCAGTTGACCATCTCTTCTTATTGGAGATTCCATAATAACTTCCAGCAATAGGGGGATATACTTTCTATATTCTCTATCAAGAGAAGCAGTGTCCATCACGACAAATAGCTGAATTTAAAAATAAAAATAATGATTAATAAATATCATATTCAATAATCAATATGTAGCTATAAAATATGATTTTACAATGCTTTTGCTAAATAGAAAATAAAAAAAGATATTTTACATTTTTCTACAAATTATATTTTAATGAAATGACACAATAAAAAGAAAACAATACTCACATAAACAAAATTTGTGTTAACATGATCTAAATAAGTAAACAATGGCAATTTAGTGACATCTAATCTAGAATGCTGTTCCGACGTTTCTGTGGTGTAACTTTTAATATGATGAAAGTTAATGGAATCTGTGCTAGGTATAGGCACATTTGCTAATACTTCATCAGGCACAGGTTTCTTAAAAAGAAATGAAAACAATAGTAAGATTAAACATCATCAGATATAAAATGTTATACAAATATATTCGTAATTTATGTAGCAGTATATTTAGATACATACTTCGTTTTCCTTGATAGCTTCCTGAAGTTCTAGCTCTTTTTGCTCCAATCCATCTGTACCTAATTTCTCTATCTGTTTGGCTATTCGTTGCTCCTCTTCTTGAGTCATTGTACGTTGCTTCTCTATGCTAGGTATGCCTTTTACAACAATCATTGGCGCGAGAATAAAATATTTCTTAAGAAGATTTATCCAATATGATTCAGGCTCATTTTTTAATTTCTTGAGATCACGTATAGTATTTAATCTTTGATCAAGCTGTCAAAAAAATAAAATTAATTATAATCTCGATGTAATAAGTAAAATATAAATCGTGAATCAGTGAAATAAGTATAATAATATATAACATACATCTTCGTTTGTGTTTCCATATAATATGTGTCCAAAAAGCATAGCTGCGATTGTATCGTGCGGATCGTTTTCCAAGGCACTTAGAGTTTCAAGAACACTTCTATGGATTACAGCCTTCATTCTTCTCATGTTTATGTTGCCAACACAGCATATATCATTAAGTACTTTTAGCAAAAAATCCTTTAGCAAAGGAATTTTATTCTTCGGCACATTTTCAAACATGAAACTTAAAGCTGAAGTCGAACATTCATATGGTTCATAATCTACATTACTGGCATAAGGATCATCTCTCTCGACAAATTCTTTTTGCAATGGACTAACAGATGTGTCAGTAAGATATTTCAAAAGTAAGCAACAACCAAGATAATCGTACACTTCGTAAACCGTAGACGGTCCTCGCCAAGCAACATAGACCATTCCATTGTCTTCGTCATCGCATGGATAACAAACATCTAGATCTACACTTTTTGTAAGTGGTTCAACTGGAGTCTGCCAAGGCCTCTTAAATGTACTTTTTTTCCCCTATAATTTCATAACATTAAAAATAAGAAACATTTACATAAATATATAATAAAATATTGTATAAGATATGAAGATTATGACAAATGTTAAGAGATAATGTCAAGATTATTATATATCTTTCAAATACATTTATATTATATTAAATTCTATTTAAATAAATAACTTGCAAAATAATCAGCATTTATTTTGCACTATCTTTATCTTATGTCTAAGATTAACTTTTAATTTAATTATAATATTAAAATCAAAATCATTTAGTATACCTTTAATATTATTTTTTGTTCTAAGGGCATTAATGCTTGGAAAACATCAGCATGTTTCACTTGGCCTGCTATAAACACAGTCAAGTTTTCTGGTCTATAAAAATCCTTATGATACTGCTTAACTTTCTCATTATTAGTACTTTCTCGCAAGTTTTTCAGTGCACCTATGTACATAGAAATAAATAATATTTGAAATGTTTGCAATTCATAATTATATATCTATATTTTTGTACCTCCAGTATTAGATTTATATCCACATTTTCCAGGATAGACTGCTTTTCCTAACTCTGTAAGCGTTATACTTTCTCCTGTATTTTCTTTACCCTGCATTTCGCAATAAACTACACCTGCATCTTTTCCTTCACCAGTAATGTGATGTACCTCTGTAAGAAATGCTGCATCCTATCGAAAGATACAGAGAAGTGTTAAATATTTTTTATCTCATATAATTTACATAAATTGCTACTTTTATGTATTAAAAATTATTAAAACTTCACCTGAAGAGTTGGATAAAGAATATGTTCAAGATATATCGGCATTAAGGAGAGAAATCCTTCACTACCAGCCGTCGTCATAGTATAATAAGTATGATCCGAACATGTATGAGCATTAGTGCCAGATGCTAGACATCTATTAGCCCAGAGATCCAAGAGGCCCTTGTAAGGATATTCCTCGCTTCCCAAGAAGATTAGATGTTCCAACGTATGAGGAAGACCATCATCATCAAATGCTTCGGTAACTAAGTAAGCATAAAAGTGAAAAATTACTTAAAAATCATTATTGAGACCTATTATACGAGTAATACTTTTATTGAAGTAGGAGTTGAATTAAGAGAGCTTCACGTCGAACAATTATTTCTAATGTATGAAGGCATATGTTCAATTACCGAGATTGAAATAGCCGCTGACAACTGGCCCCTCCACCTCCGCGATGCAAACTGTGATACCGGTATTCGTGGATTTATACATATGGAACGGAATCGTGTCGTTCACCTTCAGCATACATATTTGCTGAAATCCGCCCATATTTCCTCTCGGCGAACTGTCCACAGGCGGCATAATATCGCTCGGATTCGCGTCAACTTCGTCAAGTAATCACTCCGATTAGCATCAACCTCAACAGGCTGTGCAGTTCGGCGAACACCTCGGAGAGACTGTCAAGTGATGTTCGTAAATCAAGATTATCGAAGCGAACAGTTAGACGCCCTCTACATGCTAGGAATGAACTCTGTCCTACAGGAAGACTTTCGAACACACCCACTAGACAATTTTTGAATTTGCGATTGAAAGAGTACGATCTATGAATACGTATATCTATGGTTTTATCATTTCAATTTCTAATTTCTAAAGAAAGACGCGGCAAAAACATTGTTATATCGAGAATGGCAAGATATTCTAGCGAATCGGATTCGGATCCTAGTAGATATCGAAGAAGACGAAATCGAAAATCAAGGTAAAAAGCAGGAGAAATATATACTTAGTAATTTCATTACCAATTAGGTTAGAAATTTATACAATTATTTTTACAATTATACCGTACAATTACACTTAGCATAAATTTAATTGATATTGATAGAATATAATCTGATACATTTTACATTATTTATTTCAATTTTGTTATTATAAAGAAAATTTTAATATTGCATTGATAATTCTTTCAGATCTAGCACTTCCGATAGTAGTGAATCTTCTCCTCATCGAAGGAGATCGTCGAGGCATTCGAAAACAAAACGTAGACACCGTTCGCATTCAAGAAGTAGAGGAAGAGATCGAAATACAAAAGGTCATAAAGGCTCTAGAAGCAGTCATTCAAGAGACCGAGATAAGAGACGTTATCATAGCAGTACAGGTAGATCTCACTCTTCTGATCGTTCGAGAAGGAAAGCTAGATCTACTTCCAGGGACAAATCGCGAAGTCCTTCCAGCAGTTCGCAATCAAATCAATCAAAATTCAATGTTGAGAAGAATCAAGTTGTAGCAACAAAAGGTAAAACTCAGCTTATATTGACATTGTAAAAAATCTGAATTTAATGTGAGTTTAGAAGGTAATAAATACAAATTAATGTTGGTTTACAGATGATTTTCCTATTGAGCCACGTTTTAAAGATGGTGTACTTGAGGAAATAAATGCTGAAGGTTTCACTCCAAAACAATTTACTTCATCTGTTAAAGAAAATAAATTTAAGAATATAGTTATAGATATTAGTTCTGATACTATACAGATTCCATCAGTACCTAATATTCCTAGCGGTCTAGAAAGTATATTTCACACATCAGTAAGTTCTCGTCTGTAACTTTGAATTTCTTAATATTTTGTAATCAGATTATAAACAGATAATGTTCGTTTTATTCCTTAGATTATGATGGATCAAGAGGCAAGATTTGATAAATGGGTGAAAAAGCTCTATACTCTTAGACAAAAAGCTATAGCAGAGAGAGATAGAGAGACTTAATACATACAAATATTATTTAAACTATAATTATTGATAAATATCATTACATACAAATATTGATATTATATTATTTTAATATTATAATTAATTATAATTATATCATTAATATAAATAATATTATATATAAATTATATAATTTATATTATATAATTAATATTACAATTATAAAAAAATATATAATTTAGATAATTAAATATAATATAAATATAAACTTAATTCATTTTTAAATTAGTGTAATTAAAAATAAAAAATTTCTGTGAACTATATGCTCTAAAGATATAGATAACTAATAATGAAAATTTGTAAGACCAACTTTGAATTGATTTATGGGATAAAAATATATGATACGATTGCACAAATGCTAATATTCGTATGTCATATACGATTTATTCTTTATCAGACATTACAATTAATTTGCATACAATTTTACAAATTTGGTTTTTTAATACTGTACGAATAAAAAATTTAAACTTTTATCTGAGAAACACGAAAATAGTGGAAGCTATAAGAACTCAACTACAATCGCGTAAAACTTGAGATAGAATCATAACACTTTGAAAAAGTTTAAATGCATATCCGCAGACAATACGCATCATATAGAACTAATAGAAGTAAATTGATAATGATACTCTGCATTCTATCCCCACTGCAAAAGTGGTGGAACTAACTAATATATTATTTTTTTTTGTCACCTGTGATCGTGTGACCTACATGCCTACGAACATTTAAAACGTCGCGTACGTTCCGCTTTTACGTATATTCGCGCGTTTGTATTTGGTATCAGAATTGATATACAAGCGTTCTTGGAATTAATAATACAAGCAAGCATAGAACTGATATAATAGAATGACTTATAAATGTTCAGGCACTCGGTTCATGGTGCTGTGAATATGTTATTATATATATATATTATATGAGTATATTTCCATTATATTGATTTGTTTACAAAAAAAAATAATTTAAGCAATTTTACATAAAGATTGATTTAGAGATATGACACAATACTTTATTAGAATCACATATCTATATGTGGATATTAAAACATTACATTTTCTTTGCTTTTTGATATGCTATCAAAGTCTTACAATTAAATTATTTCAAATTCTATTTGTTAAGTTTCTTTTTATTGTATAGTCTCCTGCATTGGAAAAATTTGGGGCTATATTTAAAAACTATATTAGTACCTGACATGCAATACTTAAGGCTAATGAGTTTATGAGTAAAAAATTCCGAGTACCTGGATATATTTGCCGACATTGAACGTTGCATATACGCGTAATAAAATTAAAAATAATTTTAAATAACGATTTTGATAAAATAATGCATCAAAATAGACTAGTGGCAAAATTGCATTCAGTCACAATACATTCTTATCTATTCCAGTTTTTGGTTCTTCAATTCTAGTTTTTATAAATTGGTAATAAAAACTGGTACATAAAAGATATATTTAAAATACTGTATCATTAATACTTATTAAAACATGTGACTTCTCACTATGCAGAAATGCAGAACAGATAACAAACAAGTCTTAAGGAATGTCTGAACACCAAGATTTCTCTTGAATCAATGGTTTGTAATTTCTATTATTTTTCAATCCAAACGTTTTGTAAAAATATTTATATAGTCACAGTAATCTTATAAATGTGTGACATGTTTTATGTATTGATTACAATAATTAAAAGGATATATTTCTCACTGAAACATATACTAAGAAGCTATTTTAATTCTGATACTAGCAGTTTGTGTACTGCGCATTTCGAGTTTATCAAGTATTATACCTTTAATAAAAACGATACATTTTTAATAATTCACAAATAAACATATTTATAATTTATTAATAATAATATATTAGAGAACTGCATTTGCAAGCACAACGACTTATAGTGTATGGCTATTATATTATTATTAGTTTTACTGATTATTGATGCAGTTTGTAAATATAATCAACAAGCTGTGTATCAGAATCCATAATAGCAAAACATTTCATTACTATGGTGTGATTAACATTGCGCTTGTTATCTGTCTGAATATATTTTATGAAACATGGAAGAAATATTAATTCCTCTGTAAGAACCAACTTGCAGACAATATTCCATTTTATATATATATCTTCTTTTTTTTACTCAGACTTTATGTATATTTGGAACAATTCAATAATTTAATTATGTTCACGCTTAACTACTCATGATATTATAAAAAAACCCTCGTGATGCATTAAATACTTTTAATGAATAACAACCAACAAATCGCGTACTTAATCTCATTATATAATTTGGTGATTTATATCTAATAAGAAATATAATGGAAAGACAATGAAGATCTCAATAAATGTAAAAAAAATATCTGAATGTTTTAGAATATAAAAAAAAAATCAGTACTGATATATAATAAATCTAAGATAACGATCTTGAATTCGTAAATATTTACCTAAGTTTGCTCTGGACAGCATATAACTTTTATACATTGAGAACTACTGATGATTAATATTCTAGAATAATTGAAAATTTCCTCAATCGCTTTTAACAGCTTCATTCGAAGTCTTCTAGATTTATGATATCGACTTCCATAATACTGTTGCCGGCGAATTGGCCGAACACTCCGCTCGACGCACTGCGTTTTACAACTGGAAATTTGAGAAGAAAAAACGATAATGTATTAATGTGTCGCGTATGTAAAAAATTTTACTTTAAATTATTTGCAAGTTGACCACTAACCACTAGAAGCATCCACTTTCTTTAGCATGTAAATAGGCAAGTCTTTACATTCTCGTGCTATGTATGTTCCAACGACTGACATATCAGTGATTGGTGGTGTGACTACTTTCATAGTTTCACGTACAATTGCAGTATCTACTTCATAGTAACCTAATATATAAAAAAATTTATATGTATATATATAAATTTGTAAATATATATATATAAATATATATACAAAATATAAATTAACTTATTAGATTGCATTTTAAACTCACCATTGTACATCTTTCTAAGCAGATCATACATATTACGAGGTGGCAGTACGCGTTGACGATTCAATGGCATGACAAAGCAACATTGGCCATCGATATCTATGATACCTGTTTTATTCTGTAAATAAATAAGATATTACAAGAATATCTCGTTCGTGCAGAGATCATTTATAGAGTAGATAGGAATAAGATATCAACTCACAATGTTAAAATCATGTATAAAACGCCCTTGACGTCCACCGCGAAAATCAGGCACGTCAATTTTCTCATAATGCTCATTTTCAAGATCAATTTCAAATTTCTCTTTGAAGAAATTATTGATATCATGATCTAGATGACTTGCAATATCCAGTGCATTCTGTTCCATATTTCTGAGACTTTTGGTGAACAGATCAGAATCGGCCAATAGACCCTGATGAACTCCATTACTGCCATAAGATGCTTTGTTCGAGCTGTCGTATGGAATGCTGTACCAGCCGGTACGGAATCTGTGCATCTGAGTTCTCGCATATTGTTTATAGATGTAAAGCCCACCAATCACTCCAATAAGCAATATCATCAAGCCAACAAGGAAGAGCAAAAGCGTTGCTGTTAAATGTAAACGATGCATGTTTCTCTTAGAAACGAAATAATGACCAGTTGACTTGCATTTTGGACGTGGACGTGCTGCTTCTGGATCAGCTTTTGAAGCATCCTGTTAAAAAATATACAGAAAATATCTATATTTTTACTTATTCAACTGATAGAGCTTTCCAAGTTTTATTTTGATATTAATCTCTATAAGGATGCAAAATAAAAAAGCAAATATATAAAATTATATTTTTCTACATGTATCATAACTGTTTATCAATGCAGGTGCACCTACATCTTTTTGATAAAACAAAATTGACACAAGTAAACATTTAAATATCCCTCAAAATTTATTTTAAGAACTTTACAGTGAAGATAAAAATTTAACAAAAAGCTTTATTTTCCTATTTGATTAATCGTATAATAAAGAAATAAGTCGATACTTTAAAAACGAATAAAAACACAAATTTTTTTCTTTTATAAATATCTCGAATGTATCACGCTTCGTTTTTATGACGTATAAAAAATGTGTGGTGTACATCTGTCATAACAGTAGCCTTTTTATTGTCATAATATTACAAGTGTATTTTGTTTTTTATCGAGACATATACATTCCAAAGTGATATGTCAACGTTATCAAGCGCAAGCACAGATTTCCGCTGACCAAAACTGATACAGCATATACTGACTGATAAAGCGTATACATACATATGTATCGATGTAAAATGTAAATGTATATAAAATATATAATACACGTATGACCCTCTCGATAAATTGATAATTGGTCGAATATATATATATATTTTTTATACACGAAAATTACGCGTAGTTTCCGCGTTGCTCGACCTCGACAGTCAGTTGAAAGAAAACGTTTTTCCAATTGACGGGTCAATTTATTAGTCGGTGGGAGGCGATTTAAACAACGCATCGCGCGATACTAACCGTGGACTTTTCCTCAACAAACAATGGCTGCTCCATTTTGTCAGACGCCTTCTTTTCCGTGATCGCTTTCGTGATGACCGTCATCTTTGCGGATTTTTAGAGTACCTGAATGCGACGAGAATATCTGCGACACGACACGACAAACCGAATTCACGGCGATCGAACCGTCTACCTGGTCACTCCACGAACGCTTTATCGGAGTCGCCTCGGATGGCAACAGAGAGGAGGGGAACTGAATCAACACCAAATCGACGTACGATGAGGCTCGCGCGATAACTGCGTATGTTCTAAACGCCGAGATTGATCGCTGACAATTGTGCCCTCGGTGAGTCGATGGGAGCGAGCGCGCGCGCATGCGCATGCGTCGATCGCGGGATATTCGAGTACTAGAGTCGTTCTTCTTCTTCTCTATTATGGCTGCTTAGGCTTCCGAAGGAATAGGCCTATACACTATATAATAATTGTTATTGTAGTACTAGAGTCGGATAAAAACATTGACGAAGTAATATTAAACACAGTCAACCCTGGCTATGTCAAATAATCTTTTATATATATATATATATAAAAGTTTGTAGCGAGTCTCGATATGTCATAAATCGATATATCGATATCAACTCGAGCGACATTTTCCTAGGAAATAATGATTTTCATTGGACGTCGATTCGCCGATAATTTCAGACAATTTCAACTTTGTAAACATCAAATTCGCGTTTAAATGGAATTTTGATATTTTAATTTATGATTAAAAAATAATTAGTATTGTGTCTGTATGTATATAAGAGAGTATTTGAAAGTAATATCTTTACAGAGTTGCAATAATTCAAAGATTATATCAATATAAACTCTATGTTATGGATTAAAAATGTGTATAATTTAGGTTAACATTATACATAAATAAAGTTAATAATATGGATATTGTCAAAGATATAAAGTCAGAGGATAATGTTCTGACAGATACTAAGGAAGAATCATGTGCCGACAAAATACAGTCCGAAACTAAACAACTTAATCATCAAGAATTAATGAAATTGACTAAAACGACTATAGATAACATTATCAATAATGATCCATTGCTCTCCGGATTGCCTTCAGATGTTACAATAGAGGAACTTAAATCACAAATTGCAGTTGTACAAGGACAAGCTATAACTTTATTCTTAAATCGTGGGGATCTGCCAAAGCTCGCAGTGGTGGTAATATATATTTTCATCTTATACATTTGCATGCTATCAATTAATTAGATTTATTCATTAATATAATCTTTTTTCTATTTTATTTTCCAGGTTTCACCACATAATACAACAGTACTTGATTTGAAGAAAGCTATAAAGCGACATGTGAATTTATCCTTGAAAAGAGAAAAAGTCAAAAAGAAGATAAGTTGGAAGCACGTTTGGAAGAAATATCATCTCAGCTTTGAAGGCACCAGACTTTTTAATGACAATGAAAATATTAAATTTTACAATATCACTAATAAAGCAGAATTACACTTTGCCAAAAGACACAGAGAAAAGAACAAGTTGCTGAAAAATTAATAGCGCCTTTACATAAATTACTATGTTATCTATTGTCATTAATATTTTATATTTTTTTATTAATACTTGTCAAACATTTTTAATTTACAGTATCATGGTAATTGAGATTGCATGAATAATATTTAAATATTTTGTAAGTAAATGTGTATAACATAATAAATAATAAGTGAGTTTTATAAATATCTCTTATTATTTAGGAATATTTAATTATATATATTTATATTATATGTATACAAGAGTCAATATATTTTTATATTTCACTCATTCTAGATTTTTTATCAATATTACTATTCTATTGTTTCAGGTGTATAAATTTCACAAGTCAAATTAGGCATACAATCCTCCAGCATAAAACAAGTTAACTCGAATGCCACAGTTCTAAAGTGATTTGTTACAACCAACGTCTTTAAATTTTCCATTCTATACAATGACTCCAATCCTCTCTCGGTGATCTTCTCACAGCCAGAAATGTCCAAGTGTTCCAATGCCGGGAATTCCGCTGAGATCTTGTCCAAGCCCCAGTCATCGATGTTGCTGCAATTTTTCAGACTGAGCCATTTGAGTTTGTGGAGGCCGCACAAGTTGCTCAGACCCTCGTAATACAGATCAGTGTCACTGGCATCCACTGCCTCAAGAATATAGCGGGAATCGTACTGGTTGGGTAAATCATACGAGCCTTTCTCGTCCTTTTCCGTCCAGTAAGTGTTACCCTTAAATTTTACCCGGCCATCACGACATACGATGAAGTGAGCTGTGGCCAGATCAGCTCCCAATATCTCATGTCTCTCCGGTATGAAACTCTGATTTTCTTTGATATATTCGGTCCTTTTATGCACGAGCCATTTGGAAAAATTGCCAAAGGAGAAGTCAATCTCTTTTTTCGACTTCAGAGAAATCCACATAACATTCGAAGGCTTTTGTGGATTATCCTTTTCTATCTTTTCCTTCTCTTTCAATGAGTATTTATGTTTTTCATGTTCTACGCCTTGCGCGTATAATATTCGAGAGAGCGAGTAATCTCGAACACATGGTTGTTTACTTAAAACTGATATTATTCGCCTTGTTAACATTATCTTGACTTAACTCTATTTTTTAAGGTTAGCTTTTGACATTAATGAATGCCCACGTGCCATATTCTAACTTTACCTTAACCCAACCTGACTGTCAAACAATACGCGAGAATCTTACAGGAAAATCGTTAAATAAATACCGCACCATTTTGACAGTTCTTTTTTCTAGAATTTATATTTCTCTGCATATACAAACATATCTCTACTTTGTACATAAGTTGTATTTTCGAGTCCTCGATTTATTTTAATAATTACTAATAATTGTACATCGTAATTTATGTAAAATTATTAGGGAAAGCAATAAACAGAATATTGCACATTTCTCGAGTAATGTCGAAACTGACGTTATTATCTAAAATATAAGTCGATTAAAGTTATTTGTACATCATAACATCAGGGGATTGATACATGCACATATAAGCGTCACAAAGTAAACGTTTTGCATGTTCTGGTAAATGCCGGTCGTCTGTCAATTCAATCAAATAATTTCCTCCTTCTTCACTCAACCAATAAGGAAAATCTGGACATGGTACCATTTCTGGTATATTGTATCCATTTTGCTCGCCTAATAACAAAATACAAATTTATATAAGAATATATTAATTATAATTTAATATTATATTTTATTTTAATAATTACAGAAACTTTTTCTTAATTATAAAAAATTTTATATACGTATGAAAGTCAAGTACCTTTTCTATCAGCCATTGAATCAAAAAAGCACCATGGTGCCTCTGAACCAGGGCCACATTTTACAAATGAGACGTAATGTGAGGTTTCGATGCAAACTACTGCAGAAAGTTCCAAGTACAGACGTGGTACGGGACAATGTTCTTGCAGAATTGCAAATTCCATAGGGACAATCAGCTTCTTCGGTTCGTGATTAGTTCTTCGTTCATGACGATGTACCTAAAAAAAAAAAAAAGTACAAAATTAATTCCAATGTCTAATGCCATTGTTTGTTCATCTCGTAAATAATATTTTACAAACTTTTTCAAGACACTGTAAACAAAAAGCTATACTTTCGAGACCGACGCCACATTGTCCATAACATTCCTTGCACTCGAATTCTGCCAATTTGCCACACACTGTACATTGTCTGGGTGCTGTAAAACAATATATAAATGTTATTATAAATCGTTTCAGATAAAAAAAAATACCACGTGAAAAAAAAAAGATACGATATAACGATACTTAACAGTCCTCGATAATGTCTGTCACATCGAGTAGTAATGTAGGCTGTATCTTCTGATACATTTTATATGATTTTCCAAAACGTGGCATTTGTATAATAAGACACGAAGGAACTTCTTTTAATCTGATGTTGCTGGTCAGGAAACTCTGCTCCAATAATTGCTGCACAGTCGGCAAATTTAAATGGTCGTCTTTTTCGACAAACAATTGATAGTGATACGCATCCTGTCCGGAGCTTAATTTAAGGAACGGTTCGGCATTTAAAATCTGAGCAACTAGCGATGTTAAGAATTCTTCCGGATCTGAAAATTACAAAAATACAAATTATTATATTAGCGATTTAAAATTATTCAAAATTTATAATATTTCGAAATGTAAAGCAAATAAAAAAAACCTTTTTCTTCGCTAGTAAGACCGGACACTGACGATAATTTTTCGAGCAACGTTCTAAGCTTCATTACACGATCCGCTCTGACAAACATGTTCTTTCTAAGCGGATTCACAATCTCCTCTCTCAAAACTCTTTGCACTTCTTCATATTGCGGACAATCTTTTTCATTTGGTGGTCTGAAAAATCATTACATGTACACATATACACATTTTGCAAAAATTATACTAATATATCATACATCTATGTGATACAGCATATATTGTTTATTTAAAAAAGAAATCGTGATTTTTAATAATTATATATTACATTAAAATTAATTACCGAAACAAAAGATTGTCAAACACACTAGTAAATGTGAACATGCTGAAAAGAGTGGCATCTAAATAGCACGAATTGTGATGACCCTGAATACCACGATATTTCCCGCATATACTTTCCAAGTCTCCTTTAAGGGAGATAGGTCGTACTATGCCTGCGATTACAGAGCTCTCCATGTTACCAAAATTATCGTTATTTGTAAGTGTCGACTGTTCATTGAGCTTCGTCTGTTTACGAACAAAAAATTGTCATAATTTGTTTGTTTTCTTTGAAATTTTCTCACAATGGCGCATTAAATATTGACGAGATAACATTACAAATAATTAATTATTTTATACTTACATTTTCGTAATAAGAACAGTGTTCAATATCTGTAAATATAGCTTTGTAAGGCCTACAGTGAAAGTATCTGACATCTTTATAAGTTCCATCAGTACCTAAAGGATGTCCATCATCCTATGAATGACACATTGTTCAAATTTGTTATTTTATACTCTTATAACAATTTATTTAATCAATTCGTTTCACTCACCAATTCGACTGCTGCCATCAATTTGCCAGGACTTACACCAGACAGTGTGCCAATCCATCGAATGACTCCATAATGAATATCAGAATCCAGAAGTACTTTTACGGGAGAACCCACTATCAAATCTCCTTTGTTCTCTACTCTGAATTTTTCGATTTCGTTTTTTTCTAGTGGATTACCTAATTACAAATAATAATACACATAATTTGTCATAAATACTTGTAATATTTTTTTTTATATATTTTGACACAAAGTTTAAAGATAATGTATAAGAATGAAAATTGTTTTTTGATAAACATATAAAAGTATAAACATAATCGTGTTTAAGAACCAATATTTGCAGTAGAGGATGTTAACTACATCTTACTGTAATTCAACATGTCTATGCTACGCGCATCTTCCACATCACTGTATATATTTGACTCTATATCACTACTCCACTTGTGCTCCAATACAAAAATAGGAATGTTCTGCAATTCTGCTGTCATTTTTTTACACAATAATGCAATAACTGTGTAGTACTTTATAACCTGCCGACAGTTCTCTAGGAAATCAGACTAAGTCTGGGTCTATTTTTAGACAGCTATTATTAATTTCCTCTACCACGCGGAAGAAATCCCAGCATGGGTTAATTTTGTTTCTTATGGGAAAACATCATGTGAGTATATTTACTGCATTTACAACAAAAATTACCACATTTAAATAGAGCATGATCGACGCTTTTAGTATAATTATCAACATTATTTTCGAGATTCGATTTTGCAGCCTGATGACGTTCTTTCAATACGTTGACTGATTCTTGATTGTTGTTCTTATTGTCATCGAACAAGGTAAACTGTTCTAATAAAACAGCCGGTGTACTATCAAGCACAGATCTTTTTTTATCATTAGTATAGTCGGTTCCTGTGTTACTCTTTAAGAATGCTAAAATAAGAATATGTAAAATTGGATAACTATGAGACTATTACATATAAAAAATATTAAATAATATTTTATATACTTTTTTCAATATTGCCAGAAATTATGTCAGATTCAACTTTATATGGATATATATTATTTACAGTAGCAAATGTTGCACTAGCATTTGAATGCGTAGAAATATTATACTCTTTGGCCAATAGAGATGTTTTGGATACTTCTTGGCTTTCCTGGAATATATATATGTATGTATTTTTAAGATTATTATACTTTATGTTAATATACATTTAATTATATTAACTGTATCATTTCCTCTTTAACAACACAAATTTTCTCATAATTTTTAGATCTCATCTACATAGAATCAATCTCTTGATTTAAAAAATATAGTAAATATGTATATATAGCAAATATAATAAACATTGCGTTTTTCATTTTCAATATTAAATATTTCTATATTAAAGCTCCAATTAATATTAATTTAAAATAAAAACAAAGCTATATTATTTGCTTGTGAGTGTAACTTGTTAAAATTTTTCTAATTTTATTTCTATATCTAACAATAAGAGAGGGAATCGACCACAACTTTAAAACTTATACACAATACATTGAACTGCTAAAATGTATAAAATAGAATCTCTTTCATATAAGAGTAACAGATACATTAAAAGTTAGCATTATTAATTCACCAATAATTCAAGGCCAAAGTAATGTCCTAATCCGAGTTGCTTCACAGGTCCGATGTATCTGACAAGCGCAAGCTCTTTAGCTCGTCTGTTAGAAGAGTCTGAGCAGTACCAGACCCTGTCGTTGACAGAGATACTCCTTATTCGCTCGCACAGAGCCTCGTCGTTCGCGATTCGGATTCTTTCCTGAGGGGATTGTACGGTGAGCAAGTACTGCCAGATCTTGTGCGACACAGGGATTAGATCGTACTTGTGGCAACGCCATTCCGTACCGCACCAGATCTTAGATCCGTCGATGGGGTCGATCACGCGGACCTTCAACCTACTCTCCTTCAAATCCTCCAGTGCTTCTACAAGCATTCCCACACGCAGCTCGTTAACATTAACGGGGCACGCACCGTATAGCCGTATCAGTACCGTGTCTTGCTTGGCAATGTAGTGTTGCAGGTATTCCTTGTTAGGGTCGCGATCTTCCATGGTGTCGTACAATTCGAAAATAATTATCACCTATAGTACCTACACGAAAGAAACGTGATTTATCAGCTCGTCTGTCAACCTCAGCTGGTTCGCTCGTCTCCCATACAAAATCTTATTCGATATTATATTTGTGATTGGCGATACAATTTTTTAAATTCTTCTTTCAACTTTGAAAAAACAGATATTCTTCCTTTTATTTACATATTTTCATAGATTATTGCTCGCCGACAATATTTATCTCGTCGTGTATTCACTTGTGCGGAGAAATTGGATTCAAGCAGAAATTGACGCACCATCTGTCAATAAATCTAGTAAGTTTTTTTTTTCATATGTTGTATATAGCTGTCACTCGGCTTTGAATGTTCGACCAATCGGGACGAAGGAACTAAAAATTTCTTTATTCCGATTGGTCAATCGTTCGCTAGTAACGTTAGGTGTCTAGTAAATCTAGTGAATATTTCTACGTACTCGTACGCCTCTCTATAATATTCATAGTTCGTGGCTCATAACCCTTGCCGCGCGATTTACAAGATTTTATGGACGGTATCACATGTTGTTTCGTTCAACAAACACAGAAGTTCAAAAGGGAATATAATAATAACATTTGTAAGACTTTTTAGCATTAAAACATGGGCGATACGGGACACGCGGACGCGTTGCCTATCGATACTGCCAGATTGACGGCCGATTCCGGCTTCAGCGAGTTGCTGAGGTCGGCGGAGCAGATATCCGCGGCCGCCGAGGGAAACGATGACATGCCGCATGTCGATCGAAATCTCCAGCAGATATTGGAGGCTTCGAACGAGCTGTGGTGTCGGGTCACGCAAACCGCTACCCAGGAGAACGAGGCCCAGGCGTAAGTCTATTTCAAGACTTCTCATATAACTTGTGATTTTATGTGTCAATTTTGTATATTTCTTATATATAGGATTACTTTTGAGTATTTCTGTTATTATATCTGAAAATAAATGCTTCAGCCACGTCTTGCTGGGTTCTCGAGGGATAGACTTGTCTCAAATCTCACAGAAGTTGAACTCGCTTAGTGCAAGACGCACATTTGAACCATTAGATCCTATCGCAGACACTGATATTGTCAGTTATCTTAGGAATGAGAAGGAAAATGCGATTCTTTCTATCATCGAACAGGTTCACAAGGATGTAAGCCTATGTATACTTATTAAAATATTTACATACTCTGTATACTTATTTGTATACAATAGAAAAATATATTAAATTAATCTCTGTTTTTAGACATTTGAGCTTACTAGAGCACAACAAATGGAACATATGCTGGGTGAATGGAAACAAATGCGTTTTGAGATAATAAATGCCATGACTGCTCCATCTGGAGAGCTAGTAGACTTACGTGGAACACCGCAGCGCACAAAACTAGCAGGTTCAATGATTAGTGGTCTCTCTAGCATAGAGGTTGCATATGTAAAAGAACTGCAAAATTATAACGATCATGTGCTTCGAGGTATAACCCGGCCCAGTTTGTTTAATGCATTCTGCAAAGCCTCTGAATCGTTTAATGACAAGAAGATTGTAGACTTGTGGCAAATGGTGAAGTGTATGGTTGATATTCCACCGACACCTAGAGGAGATCAAATTAAATCCAGAAGTAGTCCTGCGATTGAACAAAAAATTGTTTTACAAGCCAAAAAGTATTTGGAAAACAGATATAGAGATTTCATGAATTCCATAATCAACGAGAATCTGGTGCAGGCCAAACGAGGTGGCATTCCAGGCACGATTCCTCTGGTCAAGAGTTTTGTAGGTGTCAAAGTACAAAATTTGAGAGATTTGGAAGATGATATGGTCGAAGACAAGCCATTGTGGCCTTTAGTATATTACTGCATGCGATCCGGAGACTATAAAGCCGCGTTGCAATGTCTGAATCAATGTAATACAGAGTTCTTGGAATTTAAAACAGCTCTTGAAGAAGCTTGCGACGATCCGCAACATCATCCGAGTAGTCGTGCGGAGTCCATTTTGAAGTTACACTACAGAAAGCAAGTTCGATCCGTCAGCGACTTATACAAGAGAGCGGCATATTGCGCGTTGGTTCCTTGCGAGCCGGACGATTTGCATTCCGAAGTGATAGCTACAGCCGATGATTATTTATGGTTAAAGTTATGTCAAGTAAGAGATCAGGCAGATGTCGAGAATAAACTAACATTGGATTATTTGCAGACTACAATCTCAGAAATATATGGTAATATTAATCTTAGATATCTTTTACTTGAGGATTTATTTAATTGTAATTATACAATTTACAGGAGAAACTTATTATCACGCACACGAGCAGCCATTTTTGTATTTCTCGATGCTATTTTTGACTGGACAATTCGAAGCAGCAATAGAATTTTTAGCCACTGGAGCTGGAGCAAGGCATTTACCGCATGCGGTTCATTTAGCAGCTGCGATGCATGAGCATAATTTATTGGCTGTCAGTCAAAGTGTCTTAGCACCTTTGATTAGCGTAGATCCTGCTGATAAACCACCAGCAAAGAGACTAAATTTCGCCAGATTAATATTGTTATACATTAAAAGATTTGAGTTGTCAGATCCAAAAGAAAGTCTTCATTATCTCTTTTTATTGAGGTAATTATGTATTTTTATCATGTAAAGTCAGTTAAATTAGAAGTTTCTCATGTTTTAATGATATTTTGCTTTTAGATGTATGAAGGACCCATATGATCGTAACATGTTTGCTGCATCTGCCGCAGAAATGGTAGTGGATGTCTCTCCTGCAAATCGTATTTTGTTAGTCGGGAAACTTGATAAAGATCGAAGACTTCCGGGTATCTTGGATCAATTCCAAATTAATACAGAAGACGTGATAAATATTTGCGCTGAAACGTTGTACAGAAAAGGTCTGCTCGAAGATGCAGTCATGATGTACGATTTAGCGAGAAATCATGAGAAGGTTCTTAGTTTGATGTGCACACTCTTAACGCAAGTTGTCAGTCAGAAAGGATTGCCCGGTTCTCTCAGGTCACGATTACAAGAGACAGCTATGGACATTGGTACAAGGTAAATTCGTACATTTGCAACATATTAGATGATAATATAAATATTTTCAAATTTAAACTTCTTATTGGCATCATAAACCTTTTCAGATATAAAGACATTGTAATCCAAGCGCCCTCAGAAGTCGTGTCGTCATTCTATACCTTAAAAGATCTTATGGTTTTCTTTGATCAGTTCCACAATGAACAGTATCAAAGTGCACTTAGAGTAAGTGATTTTTTATTAAAGAGAAAGAGTAAATGTATTATTTAGTCTATTTTATCGTTAAAAGAAAGATTTAAATAACGCGATATATTTTTTCTTTAGACAATTGCAGATTCGAAGATGTTGCCTCTTTCTGTGAAAGAAGTCGATGAGAGAGTGAACGCTTTACGTCGTGTATCGCCCGAAGTGGCTGGAACATTGGCCGACGTTCTTTTAGCTACTATGACGATATTATATCGTCAGTATCAGAAATTGCGATCAGTAGAACCAGGAGACGAAATCGCGAGGGACCAGCAGCTACATGATCTCAGAGAACAAGCTCGAGCGTTGACGAGTTTTGCAGGAACCTTGCCATACCGTATGCCAAACGAAACTAACAGTAAACTTGTACAAATGGAGATTCTTATGCATTAAAATCGATATAGTATAAGTACATCTATCGAATATAATTCGAAATGTTTATCTTTCGGTCTGAATATTTAAGAACGTTTTATATATTTCATTCTCTTCTTATATATTTCTCATTCGTCTATATCTTTCATTTCTTCTATATATTTATCTTCTTTATATATATTCTCTATATATTTGTTAACATAGCACTTCAAAAAATAATTTTTTTTTATATTTAAAGATTTATTTTTTTTAATTTTATGTACTAAAATACAATTATACATTTTCAAAACATAATAGTTGAAAAGACTTAATACTTTTAGAAATGTAATTATTATATAGATTGCTACTTAAAGAAATCAATAACACATGCAGAAAAAATGCTATATAGGATATTTAAATTATTTTTATATTTCTATTTGTAAAAATGATATGATATACATACATTTTTGCAGATAGGATCATTAATAAATACTGAACACAATATGTGTGTGCGAATGTGTTTGTTAATGTTTGACTTATATATCACATTTTACAATCGGTTTTTTCTAATATGTCTTATCTTTTATTTTGAAAGGCATCTCTCGATACTAAAATCGTGTATATTATCTTGGTGATTTATTGCAATCTTCTGCATTATAGAATTTTAATGATGTAACAGCTATTCCACAACTGAGATCTTCAACTTTACCTTCTTTTACCTATAAAAAACTCTTTATTACATACAGATCGAAAGATAAAGTAATTTTAATTGATTTTACATACTGCTCTATAATCAAGAAACATTTCCTTAAAAGCCAAAAAGTCTGTTATCGTTGACAATACTTCAAAGACTTCACCTTCCAATTCTGCCTGTTTTTCACTGAGTTATCATATTCAAACATACAAAGTAAAAAGTTTATTAGATAAAAGTTAATAAAATTTGTATTTTGAAAGAATATATATTATAATTACTTTAATTGATGTAAAAGAATATCTATTGTAAATTGTGGCATAACTTTTTTAAGATAATCCTCAATGTACATCTCCACAGTTTTATTCTGAAACATACATGTAATGTGATATTTCAAAGAATTGTGGCAGAATTTGAAGAATTTTGAAACTTATATGAAACTCACATATTCGTTAAATATATCAGTATAAATTAATTTGTTGTCCTCCACTGGTTCAAAAACATTCCAATACTTTTCTAAAAATCTTTGCTGAAGCGCTTGAAAGTCTTCCTCTGAAAAGCCGATTCATCATCAATATATACAATTTTACTGATTAACAATCGTTTATTTTTTGTGCATGAATTATTTTATACCTAATAATAGATCTTCGATATGTCCGATTACTTCGTCAAATGAATAGTTTTCTCGGTTTTTCAAAATTCGTTTCTCATCTCCTGAACTCGATAAACCTGATTCATCTGTTTGAAAAATTAATTTCAACATGTATAAATAAATAATTGCTATAATATTTCACGAATATGTATCAGACTTGGCACGATATACATATAAGATTTCATGAAGATAAGAAAATGTAATTTATAGAGGAACACGAACCCATGCTGCTTTTTTTTATTTTTGTTATTTTAAAAAATAAGGCACAAGTTTATTTTGTGAAATAAAACCTTCTTGATTGAGTAAACTGATTGAGTTCGCTGTCAAATTATACACAAATCAAGTTTATCGTGGTTGGAAACGACAATTGATTAATCGATCAGTCTGGAAGGTTATATTTCAAGTAATGATTAGAATAAATTATTAATACATTTTCGAGGAACGTATCAATTTTATATTAATATTTAAACATTTCATAATACATTATATGTAGATCAAACATTAAATATCACTGCGTTATGATTAGGAGAATGTATACATAAGTATGTATCGATAGAGCAAGTTAGAAATGCACGAAGTTACCATAAAAAGAGAATAGATGGCGCATAATGCCACATTTAAAATTTTTAGATTATATTTAACGACTAGTGAAAATGAATAGTGTGTGTTTGTAGTTTGTGCAAGTTAGATTGCGTGATAACGAAGAAATTTACTGTAAAATACGATTGGCGAACCATTCATTTCAAATTCGATTTACATCACGCAGATAAAAGGGGTAAACTCCTTTAATAATTGATTAAGTAACATATATATTTTGGAGTACATTGAAATAATATACTAAAATGTTGTTGAAACTCTACGTGCTCGTAGAGAAAATTGCTTCTAGTTACTATAATAAGTTATAATGCGCGCACAACAATTTCACGCTCCATAAAGCAACTTCATAAATCGCGAATCTTTATCGTCATCGTATACTCGGCACCAATATTTATGGAATTCATACAAACTCAAGCGAAACCGCTTACGTGCGTCAGAGCAAAATGTTGTGACGCAAATAGAATCATAGAGTATGTCGAATTAAATTTTGACGTGAATGTTGTTGTTGACGTATCGACGATCGGGAGAACGATTTCCAATTTATTCGTTATATGTGGAAAAATGCAAGAAAAACGATGGATATAATACATTTTACTTTTTTGCGATCCCAATAACTTTAATCGTTGACGATAAAAAACGATATGGCATCTTACGTCATTTTACATATAATTTCTTCCTCGAATATAAAATATTTAATATGATGATATAAATATAGCCATGAAATTATCGCTAATTAATTATGTGATAAATTACTATATACTATGTATTACAAATATTTAGGGCCACAATTGAAAACATTATAATTTGCTGAACAATGATTTTGTAAAGAAAAGTTTAATTAGTCGTTTGATGATATGGTTTATTATATTATTCATCATTTTTCTTTGCGATATTTATAAAAATAATTATAGAATTATGTGTAGGATAAGTTAGATTTATTTATATATCATATATATATATAAAGTGGCACGCTTATATTTTAATTATCTAAGATATCAGTTTTGCATCTCAAGAGATATTATCAAAATTGTAAAATTCGTCAAACTATATATCATATTATTGAGAGCGTACAAGCAATATACTATTTAATAATTCAAGACATCAACAAATCTTGTTACCGGAGTATCATAGTTGCTCGGTATCTTGTATTATATTAAGATGTCAGCTTGACACTTGTTGGTACATTAATTAACTAAAAGCATTGCGCTAACGGTAGCGACACAACCGAGCATCTACGAAATCTCTCTGTGTATAAAATCCATCAATTTGTCTGTGAAATTATTGCGAATTTGGCTCGATAATTCAAATCACTGACTATAATTTAAATCTTGTTAACATAAATAGCAACAGGAGTCTCCTCGTCATCATCTCGTGGACAGTCTCTCTTAAGACAGTAAATGCAGTGATCACAAAGATTGATAATTAAGACGGCATATTTAAAAGGTAAAAATAAAAAAAATAAGACATTTCTCCTATCAAATTATAATAGGCTTGATGAAATAACAACTCGTTTGTGCATGTCAATGAATATATTTAAAATATTCAATTGATGTTATTAATCAATAATTTCAAATATATGTATCTCTCATTGGGGATAATTTAGATAATTGAAATAATTATTTCTCTCATTATTTATATATAAAAGCAGTAAAGTATTTAGAGAGGTTATTTCAACGAATTGTCAACTGTTATATATATTTCATGTCAAAATCGATTTAATTACACTACAATTGTAATCAATATTCGTATATAGAAAGTTTCCTTATCAGTAAGCAGTAAAGTAAACTTTTACTTTTGCAGTATAAATATTTATTCTTTGCTAAAATCACCTAATATGATACTTTGAGAGATACTACACATTTATTGAAAATGAAAATAGTTAAGATTTGCATAAACTCTTTAATTATAAATTAATAAAAATTTAAAAATATATACACATTGCGCATTAAAACGCAATGTATATATTTTTAAATTTAAACATAAACTAGTTGTTGAAGATAATGTTCAAATTAAATTATATATTTCAATTGTTTCTCTAAAATAATCAATATTCAAGATCAACTTGTTTAATTCATAATACAAACTATAATGAGATCCATGTGATTTTGTAATTAAATACGTATTGTTTTAATTATTTTTCCAATCATTTTACTTGTTATATAATATTCATAATATATAACATATTTGTTTAAATATATTTATTTTAATTTAGATAATTTCTTTCTGACACAACTTTTGAAACTATATAATTTAACAATAAAAACGATCATTTTTCATATATATTTGTGAAAATGTATATTTGTTTAATTAAACGAAATAATAATTGTTTGCAGGACTGTTTATAACAACGCGCGCTGGAAATATGGCCGCGCAGTGAAGTGCGCCGCGAATACCGGCCGAGTCGGCGGCGCTCGGCAGCGCTCGGCGGCGCTCGGGCGCGCTCGGGCGCGCTCGGCAATCTCCGCGGATCTCTGCGGGGGCAGAGGCCTCCTACTCTCTCGCGCAGTCTCGCACCGCGCCGCGCAGTATTCACACTCACGCGAACGGCAGCGCACGTAGCGCAGCGTCTCTCGGTCCATCTTCGTCCTGCGAGTGAGATCCTGCGCCGGAGTTTAATACATCGGTGGTGCGTCGCGGTAATAAGCCGGGCTCGCGCACGCGAATTGTCGTCGCGTGTCATCGAGGATCCCGGTGTGAACATCCTCTCTTCCTCGCGTGTATCAATCTCGCGGATACGCGAAACCACCCCTCATTTGAGTTCGCGTTTCCCAGCCACCCTCGCATCCACCACCCATCCCCGGTTGTCGTCGTCGTCGTTGTCGTCGTCGCTGCCACTCCTCCGCCGCCCACCCTCCTCGACGCAATTAGAACGGATGCCCGAGGGCTTTCAACACGCGGCGGATGATATTCCGAGGTGGGTGATCGGTTGTCGAATCGAGCGAATCGATCCGCCATCGTGGATCCCGCGGTCGACTTCGGGACCGACTTGAATTTGGCGCGAGTGTTAGTGCGGGGAAACTTCGCTGCGATATAGAGCGAAGTGTGCGACACATGTGAATATAGCCTCGCGTAGCTACGTTCCGCGCGAGTCGCGGACATTCCTCTCTTCGTCGGACTGTGTCGTCGTCGTGGCGACGCGCTTCCGGAAGATAAACCTGCAATCCGGCATTTCGCGCGCGGCAATAGTTATTCGTGATTGGTTAAATACAATTTAGTCTGTGGTCGTCGCGAGAGACAACTTCGCGCGGAGGTAAATCAACGTCGAAAAGGAGTCGAACATATTTCGGTGGCGTGTCGAGCCGGGGATTAAAACTGTGCGAAGTTCTCTCGAGTGTGAAATAATCGGATTATCAAACTTTTCCAAGACGAAGTGCGCGTTCGACGTTATATATTCGAAATTCGCGAGTTCGCGAGTCAGTGAAGAGATTCTTGCATATGGGCGGACTCGTCTTCCCCGGAAGCGGAACGGAACCGGAATGCTCGCGGTTGTGTGAGGACAATCGAGGGTCGTCGACGAGACTCTAACAGCGGCGGCTTCGGAACTGGGACTCGCGAGCAAGTTGTATCACCCTGTCGGCCACGAGACACACGTTGATGATATGATCGGAAGCGGAGAGGAAACACGAGAAGAACCGAGACGAGACGGCGCCGAGACGAGCGGAGTCTGTTGACCGGAGTAAAGTTGTGCGCGAATTCGTCGCGGAGTGTGTTCGTCGTTTACGTACGATATGTGAGAATAACGTGTGATACGGATATCGATACAGTGATATATATATGTATATATATATATAGGGAACGAGAGTAGCGGTGATAAAGGATCCTTCCCTCGTTCGAGAAGCGCGAATAGTGCTTTTCCATCGTCTTTACGTTACTTCATCCGCGCGCGCGCGAGTGTCAAAAGTGTATGTGTGTGTGTGCCCATAAACGGACAACGGACAACTTCATCGCACGACCATGAAAGTCTTCTCCAGGTTGACGATAGCGGAAAAGCTCCTCGGGATGTGGCTCCTCGTCCTCATCGCCGCCTGCTCGACGTCGCTTGTAAAAGGTTTGTGTGTATTAATTTTTATGCCCATCCCTCACGCGAAGAGCGAAGCTCTTTCGAGGGGACGATGTATCGTAAAAAGAGCGTACCTTCGCGTCTGCAATGTCAGCGTTTCGGGGAAACGGAGACTACCGTAATTCGGGGAATCTTCGTTCGCGAAAAGGTTTTCGAATTCGAGTGGTCGTTCGCGAACACGATTTTGCTCGAGTAAATAGAAAGAGACGGCCAAATTCCATAATCCGTATTTTATCGAGTCTTTTCGTTACGGAATATGCTGTATTTATATCAATTTTCACATCGTTTTTTTTTTGGAGGAAACAATTTTGTTTATATATATTTAATTGAATAGAACGTACAGAAGTGATTTTATAAAATGGTAGAAGGTATTTAAATAGAATTTTTTTATTACATTTGAAATTACGATATTATTTTACATGGTATATTATAAAATAATGCAGAGTATTTTTGGAATGCAGCAGCTCTCATCTTATATAATTTATATCCAATAGATGAATAAATGAATAAAAACAGGGAGTGTATTATTTTCAAAAACAAAAAAAAGAATAGTAAATATAAATGCAGAATTGTGCAACTACGTTCAATCCGGAATCAACATACATTTTATTTGTTTTAATACAAAAACAACGCTGTTAGACGCTATTTTTTTCCCGATGAATTTTTAATATTCGATATTAAATATCTTGCTAACTATATAAGCGGTAAATTAAAATCCTACTTAAGTAAAAGGCGCTTGGAATTAATTGAAGACATTACTGGGCGCTGTATATTAGATCATTATTTAAAGTTTAACACGAAAGAGCCCGCTTTTCAATCGCTCATAGCTCTCGCATAGACTATTAACGCTTCGATGTTTTAAGATCGGCTTTAAATTAATCGAATAGTACCTTTATTAAAACTAAGACGCTAGGAATTCTGAATATTTCGCAGTATCAAGTTAAATGCGCAAATATGATATATACATATATCGAAGATGATATATTATGTATCGCGAGATAAGCGATTTATTTGTCGTTATTTTTCCCAAATAATTTCAGAAACAAATTGCAATTTTGCAAAGGTAAGCTACGAAGATAATAATTATTAATAGTATTTAATTATTATTAAATACTATTTTTTCTCTCTCTCTCTCTCTTCAAAAGGGATTTTAGAAACAATATTTATTTTAGTCTCCTTCCTCTCTAAAATTCGATAGTCGAAAATTCGTTGACATTCCATCCGGTTAATTGCGACACAAATTATTTTTGATTTAATAATTATTACAAACAAATAATTCTTTTTTATAGATATGAAAACAATTTTGAAATGAAGTATAAGCTTTAAATAAATTTTTGGATATATGTATATATTTATATTTTAATGTCGCAATTTATCTCGATTTACTTCGTATATAGAATTTTATTATAATATTACTGAAAATTCAGAAATTTTGTTTCAACTTTTTGATCTCCGCTGTGCTTAATTTACCGTTAATATATTTCCATATTATTGCTTCAGCTTCATTTCCGAGGCTGTTTAGCGAAACTAATGAATATGCGTTTATTCATCGATTCATTATACATGTCGCTGTGTATATGGATCTCATTATTTGTAGACACTATTTGTGTATATTATATATTGGACGAAAAAAATGCGTCACCAGAAAATGGACATGGCCCCGTCGTTAAAATGCAATGTTGTTTGCATAATGTAGTCGCATTATAAAAATATGATAGCATCATTCGGCAGGCGCGAAATGCGGAAATATAATGCGGGGGGATAAAGCGCACGAGGGGAGGGAAGAGCACACAGAGGGATGTTACATTATAAAATATGATTTAATTTTAAAATACCGCGGTTGTGTATACGCGAGACGGATCGTTTTCGCGCTTTATAATTTCGTCATCTCTAGCGACGCTCCGTCGAAGAGGAAAATCACGGCGCGAAAATATGTATAACAATAGGGCTTCGCGGGCTGAATCGATATGGTAATGTGTTTGTCTATTAAACTACGCGAAAATAAAATTTTTACAAAAAGAAATGACTTACGAAACGAACGGAGCATATATGTATATATAGTATATGTATGCGCGCGATATTCTGTTGCATCTATTTCGCGCGTATTAATTTAATTGTGAATGGAAATCAATTTCGCGAAACTGAATGTATCGCGAAAAATTTTCGATATTAATCCGTACGTTGCTGTATGTACATACTATTTACGAGGATCGTTATATCTTTTATTGGCCCCGCGTAAAACTCAACGATATTTTTTATCCTTTCGATCGCGCGCGCATTGATTTGCTCCGTTTAATCGTTTCTACATTTTTGTTATGACATAATATATATTTTTTTTCTCTCGTAATTACCTGTACCATATTGTGCACGATGTATTATTACAACAGCGGTCAGAAAGAAATATATTCCATACTCTCTGGCATGCACGCGTGCGTTGCAAAATCCATATTTTCCTAATTGAATCGATTGTTTTTTAATGAACATTACACGATTAACGTGTTTTCAAATTCTTGTTAATCAATGTTATATCTACAATATTCTTTAATTTATTAATGCACGTTTTTCATTAACAAAGAGTCGCTGCTAATTAACTTAAAATCGTTTGTCATTACATTAACCTTTGATGCATCAATATCGTAATTTCAAAAAGATTCGATAAATAGTTTCATCACCTATATATAGAGAGAATGAAATACAGACCCGATAAATAAACACATTTCATTTTTGTTTCTTTCCCTATATATATATATATATATATACCATCATATCTATTCATTCTTTTTTCTTTCTCTCTCTAATAAACATTTGTTGAAAATAATCACTATGCATTTTTCTCGCAAAAAATTGTTACATATTCCACGAAAAACGGCCCTTGAAAGCCGGAGCTGAATTTGACCCAGTTTCGATAGTCTGTGAGACTATCGAAACACACCTACACACATACTCACACACACTTACCCACACATATATAGGCACACGCACAAGCTTACGAGCTTTTAATTTGCGAAAACGTTTCAATTCCGAAAATCAAACAGCTCGATAATTGAATGCTGGATTAAAATATCGTTGAGGGATAAAACGCGCATGTTGCTTAAAGAGCAGGAGATTTTGTTATTGATATTCGATCTTTTCGGGACACATATTTCGCGTACTTTTACGTAATAATAGTAATAATAGAAATAATAAAACTTTGTATTTATATATACACATACCGTGCTTCATATTCTCATATATTATTCTCATATTCTCATATAACTTCATAACATTATTTTTCTTCAAGTATCGTTTTTCCTTCCTGACCGTTGTTGCTTGCTCGCAACTTGTTTTATTAAACGGGGAAGAGTGCAACAGTCATGAGAGAGTATTTCAACTAAAGAAACTACTTACTGCACACAAGAGAGATATAAATTTCCGCGAGAAGGCGGAAATTTGCGGGCTTAAAATGACGAATTTTACGTGTCGAAAATTACATGTCATTTATAATGCAAATTGTGGCCTGTTATCGAAATATATCCGGCTAATTATTGCGCGGTCACATAGATGAAAGTGCCTACGGTTGGCGCGTTAAGCCGCATATACGCGTGATACAAACAAAATATTATAAAGAGAAAGTACCAGCATAATAAATATATACGTAAATGGTGAATATATGCGCGAGTCTGCGAGAATACACGTGCGTATTTGTTCTTTAAATGGACTTGAAATCGTTCCTTTTTCGGGCGCAAGCCAATTAATTATATAGGACTTGTATTTGCTTATTTAATCCTCTTCCAACGTTCCGATATCCGGCCGCGTGATTAAGCTCTCTAAAACCTTTGGTATTTTAATGTTGATCTTGGAATCAAATCCCTGGGTCAAATGAAGTCCTCGCGCATGTATATAATCGTATATATCGACATATTTGCGCGCGCGTACAGAACTTGTCGGCGAACGAATCCTTAAAAGATGGTGTGTAAGGACTCGGAAAAGTCTCTTGGATCCTGGCCAGAGTCGATTGTTGTGCAGCCGCGATACGAGATATTATACGCGATAGAGTTACAGGGTGGGGACAGAAGGGAGGAAACCGCGAACAACAGCGGAGGGAGATCTGTCTCGCGTTAAAAAAAAAAAAAAAATAAATAAATAAAATAAAAGCAGAGAGCTTTTGCGATCTCATTCGTTATCACGCGGATATCCCCCGTTTCTCTCGAATGGCTGAATTGCGGATTCATTCGCGCGATCCTTCCTGCCCAGTCTCGGAATATCGCGTAATTACGAACTTGAACTTTCGGAGTAGCTGACGAGGAGTCACGATCGATGCAGCGTTTTCTCGTTTTCGCAGAACTTCGCGCAGTTGCAAAACTGTAATTGCACGTCGTTTAGCTACGTTTCTTAATAAACTGATCATTCGGCGGGAAAGGAGAAACGTATAGGTGTATATACATACATACATATGTACGCCAGAGCGAGTCTGATTTGATCGGTACACAGATTTTGGCGCCAACTACGTTCGCATTTACTTACTCTTGTATTTTGGAGTTTGCGGAGCTTGTTGCGGACGTTAGCATCGGCGATTAAATTGGCGATAAAGGTCGAATGCGCCGTTTCGTAACCACTTAAACGACGGATCGTTCGAAAACACCGAGTAGAGCATTTTTAGATAAGAATGCGCCCGGATAAAAAAAGACGGATAAAGATTTTTAATTAAATTGTTAATAAAACGATTAATTTCAGTATCGCTCGTGACTCGGAAATTACAGTCATCCGAATATAATTTTTATCGACGAGAGAAGCTAACTTTATAAAATCGGTCGAGAATAAAATAAAGTTAAAATTAATGGCGCGCTTTTTTTTTAGAATATTATATATAAATGTTCGGAATAAAACGCTCGGTGCGTTTCGTCACGATGTAAAATGACATAGTATTATACTATATAGAGAATGTAACGAGAATCGATGGCTATTGTTATTTTGGATTTTCGCCGAAAACGTCGCCCTATCTCTCTCTC